GTTATTCAGGTCTTTTGGGATAGGCTATGATGTAGTGATGTGATGAACGTAATTAACCAAGTAGGATGGGGCTCGGATGCGAGATAAGATAGATCTCACTAGCTGTTTGTGGTTAGTGGATAGCTATTTATGGACTAGTTCGTGTAATGCTTGGCGTGCGTCATGTTGACGGGGAGTGATTCAACCACTCCGTTTACTTTATTCCTGACTATATAACTCCCTTCAAGTGTATCCTCTAAAGATATTCTCCCAATTTACTCATCACATACAACTACTCATTGCCATTGAACCTCTCAATCCTCCCTTGCAACACCTACATCACCACAATCATGATGAACAGATCCCCCAGAGTCGCAACCCGCTGTCTGCGACAGCAACGCCTCCGCCAATCAGCCAGTCGCTACCGTAACGCTCGATTCCAATCCTCGTCCTCATCTTCGTCCTCTTCCTCCGGCTCCACTGGCACCGGCAGCAGCAATCCCGCCCTGGTCGGCGGTCTCAGCGGCGGTCTCGTCGCCATCGTCACCGGCTACACATGGTACCACTTTTCGGGAGCCCGCAAAGCCGTCAAGACCATGAAACAGACACAGGTCTATGCCGATCAAGTAAAGCAAGGTATCATCAACAACGCTCCAGAGCCGGACAAGGCGCTGAACTGGCTGCGCGATACGCTGAAGAGCTATGCGGTGTTTCTCCCGGGCGTGAGCCAGCATATTGATACTGCGTTCGATGATCTGGAGAAGGTGAAGCAACGGCATGGGCCTGAAGTGGATAGCATCGTGCGGGATGCGTATAAGGAGCTGAAGTCGCTGGGAAGCAAGGGTGGTTCGAATGCGGATACCGCTATTCAGGCATTGCAGGTGCTGCAGAAGAGTCTGACGCGCTTGATGGAGTTGTCTGGCGATGCTGCCGGAGATATTCTTGATAACCACCCGTGGTTGCAGGAGAAGGTTGGTGGTGGATGGAAACAGTTGAAGGAGATGGGAGAAGCGTATGGACCGCAGGCAAAGGAGGAGGTGGATAAGACGAGGGAGCAACTTGCCGGAGTGGCCAAGAAGGGATTCAGTCTTGCGTCGGTGGAGGAGGTAAGGAAGCTTATTCAGGAGAAGTCGGAGAAGTTGCAGAAGCTTGGGGATGAGATGTGGCAGAAGGGGTTGGAGGAGAGTAAGCAGTACTTGGATAAGAATCCGAAGGTCAAGGAGTTGGTGGAGAATAATGCGGATGCGTTGAAGAAGGGCAATGTTAGTGAGTTGTGGGGTATGGTGAAGGAGGCTGCGTCATCAGGCAAGACGGAGCAGGTGGAAAAGTATGTCAAGGAGAAGGTCGATCAGGCACAGCAAAGTGGGTCTTTTGATTTGAGCAAGTGGGCGGATATGGTTCCTGGAGGATCGAATGTTCTGGGCCAGTTGCAGTCGCTTCGCACGCTGCAGGAGAAGAAGGGCAAGGAGGCTGAGAATGTCCTCAAGGAGACGATGGATGAAATCCAGCAGGTTTTGAAGAAGAGAAAGGAGCAGATGGAGAAGCTCGCCAGTGAGGCGAAGAAGGATAACTAGTGTCTCCGTGCGGAACTTAATGTATATGTGAGATGAAGTACCATCGATCGATGATTAGATCTAATAATACATGTTCTAGAAATTTCTGACAAAACCCATTCTAACTTTTGTGCCGGTCGATGAGCTCACGACTTGACGTTAGTACGCCTTGTACGCCCTTGGCAATCTCGAACCGTCCGTCGTACAGTGGATAGACCACAACAGCGAAAAAGGCACAGAATTGCCAGATGATTGCGACCGTAGTCCACCCCGAGAAAAATGATTTAGTGAAGATATAGTCGCGATAGAGCGGCATTGGCCAGAGCACAAAGGTAATCAAAACCAAAACCACGAACATGGCCCACGCGATCCATGACCATCGGTGCAGCTTGCGCAGGGTGTCTTCTGTGAAAGGGTGGCGCACGTCGTCTAAACTGAGACGGCTCGGGGTTGACGTCGGGCTGGCATCCGTCGAGATATAGACCCCTTCAACCTTGGTCTCTTGAGCTGCAGGCGGCGAGGTCCTGGTCGGTGCTTCTTCGGCGAGTTCGATCCTGAGGAACTCTCTCCAGTCGAACGCGTACGGACGGTATAGAGAAATTACCACGGAATAGAGAGCAGGCGAGAAGAAAGAGCCGATAGCGCCGTATAGTGCGGGCAGCTCTTCGCCAGTCGTGGTCATGTTCACGGCCCCATACATTGACTTGGCCGTGGCGAGCCAAATAGCGAGACCAGTAAAGAAGCCAAGCACTGGCGAAGCGATAGCGGCGAGGCGCGTCTGGCGGGACCAGAACAGAGTCAGTCCGAGAGGGATGATCCCTGGACAGGACAGAATAGGCCGAAAGTAGCCGATCCACGTCATATTGGCGCCCCCGTAGTTGAGAGCAATGGAAATTCCGGTAATAAAGATGGCATGGAATACGACTGTTATGTGACTAACTCCCAGGAGCCGGCGATCACTGGCTTGGGGGTTGATATACGTCTTGTACATATCAAACGACAGAATACTGCTGACGGCGATCATTGAGGATGAGACGGTGCTGGTCAATGCCATGAATAACAGCACGAAAAAGGCGATCATTCCAGACTCTCCAAGAAGGGCTTTGACCAGGTACGGCATCACCATGCCTTTGCTGACCTCAGTTGTCGTGATATCAACGGGATAGGTGGGCCAGATGGGAGTGTGGTGGAGCGCTCGAGCAGTCAGGCCAATAACAGTGCCTAAACCCCAGGGGATACCAAAGACAGCTATGGCAGCCAAGTTGTATGCCGGTACGGTAGAATTCACTTCACTAGCGAAGGACTTTTGCCAAAACGCAGTGTCCTATATCAGAGTGAGTCTTAATGTTTTCCAGGAAAGGAATGGATGGGCCTACCATAACTACCAGAGCTAGATTACCGAATTTCAAGATCAAGCCCCAGATAATGGCGCCTTTCGATTTCATTGTGAGCAGCGATCCCTCAAAGTTCCCGGAGATGTAATTTTCGCTCGCAGTTGCGACCACCTTGTCGTAAAGTCCAGCCAATCCGCCAACCTCGGGATGTGTGAGGACGGAGAGAGTAAAATAAATTATCAGAATTAAGGCGACTGCGGTGTGCAGAAAGTCGGTCAGAAACGTCGCCTTCAGGCCCCCGACAGCCGTGTAAAGAACGACTTTGCCATACTTTGTCAGTATAATACCCTGTGTTATTCACTGACCGAGCTTACCTCCTAGGGGAATTAGAATGGTCGCAGCAACGAAGTTCATGCCGGAAACACCGTTGATAAGCTGGGATCCGGTCAAGATCATCGAGGCACAGCCAAATACGTTGTTCGTTAAGTTCAAGACCATGTAGATAACATGTCCGATCCAGCCGTACCGCATACGAGTAATCTCAAGCGATGTGTGGGCATACGGGACCCGGATTTTGGCCATGACACCCAAGGCAGCCATCAAGGCGATCTGGAAACAGAGACCCGATCCCCACCACTGTATGAGTGATACATATCAGCATCTGACATAACTAAAATTAAAGGCTTTAAACATACTAGCGGGACTGCCAATCCATAGCGATAGCACATCGCCGCAGATAGCACCGTCTCGTTGATCCACATCCACGAGGAGAACACAGCAGACGCAGTCAAACCTGTGCCAACTGATCGATTTGCGACCATGAACATCTCCGACGTGCCAGAATCCTCAGAGAGATACACTTTCTGCACCTTGATTGCGATAAGAATCACCCCGCAGAAGAACACACCAAGGCCGATAAGGAGGCCATAGGCCGTCCCTTGCGTAACGAGTTCGACAGCTGCCATGGTGACCAATGCGCTACGCGGCAAAAATGACCATCAGCCTCGGGTTACCGAGGAAGTTACATGGATGCCAGGCATCATGATTTAAGTATCTGCCGGATGAGCACAATGCCTAGCGGCTCGCCGATAACCGTCAGTGTCACGCTGTTCTTGGCTATGATGGCGTTATACATAACCCGGCCGAGAACAGGGCGGGGAAGCTACAAGGATGCAGCTGTGAGCCGCTTAATACGGCATTGATTTCACGGTGGATGAACTGAGTTTCTAGACAGAGATCGGGTGGCCCCTTGCTGGTGGGAGGGGATATGGCGTGCGCCCTGCCGCCGATGGCAACACCAGCGGGAGAGGATCTGATAGGCTTTGTCGGCCAGTAGCGTATCTAAGTGACCTAGACCTTACTTTGAATTGGCTGGCCAGGAGTGAAGATCCAAGCACCCAATGGTGCAGAAGGATCACGCATGCTGGTTCTTCACCTCGACTGTTCTTATGCTTCTATTGGAGCCTGAGGCAGTAAGGCACGGCATCAGGGCAATGAACAGAACTCCACAGAGGCCGACGCATGCAAAATGACACGTACAGAGTATGTTTGTCGCTTACTTTTCAGTCTGTATATTGCGGCTGTTAGCTTAAAGTGGGTCGCAGATGTCCAGTTTCAGCTGGGGCTATAGTTGACTGTTACAAATCCCATTGAGGTTGTTGTGAAGCGATGTAATGGAGTAGATCTCAGTCGCAGCCTGACTGATAAGGCAGTCAGATGGGTCGGGCCGGGTTACTCCGACCACTGTTCGATAAGTAGTCACGTGTCAGGAATCTTATCGCTACTATCTTATCGCTAATTTGACTCCCTTGGAGCTCATCATCGAATAGTTAATACTTTGCCTGTCTGATATGGATTATGCCAATATTCATACAATTATTCTTCCAAAATATTAGTACTCATTTCTCTTTCCCCGAGCTATAGTGCATACCAGTTGACCGAAGCTGAAGCTCCATCATCATGATGCTACTAAATGAATCACCATCGTCGTAATGTGTTAAAAATATATATCTTCAGTAGTACTACCTCAATAATGGTCCTACTTACTCGACCAGGCCTCATCACACAGGTGATGTACTAGTATGTAAGTCACGACGAGACGAGACTCCTCTAGAATACCCAAGGAGCCATCCCTCCCAATTTGGCAATTTGGGACGAGTTGACCATAACTATCTCCAAGATAGACGCGCTGTTTACTGGTGAACAATGACACCAAAATCTGACGGCCAGCCAAGTAAGAGGGGGAGGGGAATTAACCGCCGATCATCGGTGTTTTATTCCAGAGATCTATCTCCCTTTACAAGAACCACCCCTCTAGGACTGACTATATATAGCTATATCATATATCGAACAAACTGAACCACTCTATCATATGTCAAACTAAACAGACGCCGCAACCGCCTTATCAACCACCGCCGCAATCTTTTCCACCAACATCTCCGGCTCACTCAGCATCGGCGAATGACCCGCGCTACAGCGATCAATCTCCGCCCGGGCCAACTTAGCAAACCCGCCTTGAAATGTAGCCGGTACAGCCTGATCACCCTCACAGATGAGATAGGTAGATGGCAGATACTCATACGCCGCCCGAGTGGTGGGGGTGGTTTGTACCAAGTAAGACTGCGGAATGAGGCGCGATTCCCACAGGGCTGCTTCGCCGTCCGGGAGATCACTGTACAGAGTTTTGGCTCCGTTCATGATACGGAAGCGGCCGTCCGACTGAAAGCAATGAATTAAGCTGGTCCTTAAGATTGTAAACGGATTAGATGGTGAAAAACATACGGTCACATAATTGTTCGGCGACTCGCCAAATGTTGATATGACGGATGTACCCTCTGGTAGAACAAAGGCAGCATAGTAGAAGAGATGTAAAACACCGCCCTTCTTGCCCTCTGCTTGACGGGAAGTATAGGCGAGGGACTGGGGAATAGCCGTACTGCCCACGATGCCACCGTATGAATGCATTACAACAACGACGGATCTTTCCTCTTTTTCGATGAGCTGCTGTAAGGTTTCGGCGACGGTGCGTGTGTCGTCTTCCATTGTGCGGGTTGGGAAGACATCGGCCTCTACGTCGGCGCAGCTGGGGAGGGTTGGGTGGATGACGGGGTATCCTAGGTCGCGAAGTCCCGCTGCTAACTTGGCGTAAACGAGGGGGGTCTGGAAGGAGCCTTGGATGAGTACGATTGATGGTTTCTCGGTAGCCATTGTATTTGGGGATTTTAATCCTTGTGTAATTTGGGTTGTAGGTGGTTGTTGGCAGAAGTGAGAACAAGAAGTTCAAAATGGGGAAAAACATAAGCGCGCCCGGGCACTAGGTACAGCCCTTGGTTGAGTGGCATCCTGGGCTGATCATCCCTGTTAATTCCGTTACAGTTCGCCGATCGGCAGACTCCATCGGAGAATAGTCGCTCCCTGCGGTTGAGGTATAAGATTTCATCTGTTTAATCCTAATAGGCACTTCAGGTTCAAACTTCCTCAACATACAGCAGGAACCCCCCATTTCACTCATGGCTATGTCAAAAACCCGGACAAATAATCAAATACACCTGCATTAAGCATACCTGCTAAACCAGACATCTCCAGCGCCCTTCCTTAGATCAAGCCTATCCCATAACTCCCGAAAACTGTCCAGTTCCACCTCAGCAAATGTACAATCCTCTTCCGTCTCCGACAACGAACTAGAATTCGGAAAAAAGGCTGCAAAACTGGTATCGAAGGCGCTCACCCCCCTATCTTCTGAAAGTACACAGAGAAGGCATAAGTCTTCGGCGGAAGCGTAATCTCATTCTTCTGTGGAGACACCTGCAACATCCGCAAAATCACCTTCATAAGAGTCCAGTTTCAAGACAAGGCACAAGAGGTGACACAAAGTTCAGTGAAGGCGCTGCAATCTCACTCTTGTCAAGGTTCTCTGCGAGAGTTAAGAGGGCCATACCCACCCAGTGAATGGTCGTCGGTGAAATGTCATCTGGTCCCCACCGGGTGCGACGAATGTATAGAAAGTCGATGATTGCTAATGCGGAATCCACGCAGCCTTCCTTGCTCCCTCGCGGGCTACCTTGAGATTATTTTTACCGTTCGTGTCTTCCTGCTTGACAAGGCTCCAAAGCATGATCACCACCGCGTGATAGAGCATACTGGATGCAGGTACTCTGGTTAGTAGAACGATAATAAAAGCCCATGCTGTTGTCGGTTTCGGGTTGGGTTATGCTCCTTACTGCAAACTCAACGATTGAGGAACAGTGGGGTTGTCAGGGCTTAGGCAAGTAGGAAGTTTGCTCTTCCAGTCGTCCAGCCGTTTCTGGATATCTTTCAGGGCCCTTTCCAGTTCATCGCGCGGTGACTTGAGGCCGCTTGCGAACACGAGTCGATTCGCATCCACGTTGATCTCACTTAGCGCAGTGAACCTGTTCAGCACGCAAGGAATGTGGGATTGAAATGGATCCATTTGCCGGGGGTACGCGGTCCAGATTTCTTCCTGGGAATTATCGAAGGCCATATGCTTCATGAGCGAGATTGATGCCGTTCTAGAATATAGCTTAGGATTGAAAGGTGCTAGCAGCCAGATATGAGCAGACTCACGCTGTAAGATTGTAGATGCCCCAGATGGTATTGTCAATTGCGCGAGTTTCCCTGGTAGGGGTCGTGGGCGGCGAGTCAAGATGCTTCTTAGCGTATTCCTCAGCCATGCTGCGAACTTGACCGAGATACCACCAGCCCATGCAATCTTTTCCCATAGCCGCCATACTGTATAGTGAGGTTTGATGACGGGACATGTGATCTAGTCGGGAGTTAGCTCACCACACGAACAGCACCCCGCAGCCTTGGATGGATGGCATATCAAGCCGACCCTCTATCTTCTCGTAGAGCTTCCGCGCTTCCTCGTAAAAGTGGACGCCTTTCGAATTTGGATTATTCGGGTCAGCATAAGCCTCCGGATAGTCGGAGTGATACTAGGTTCGCCAATTAGCGGACCACAAACAAACGCTCTGTGATACTCATGAGCTTACGCATGCCTCGGCCAGAATGCAGTTCACAAGGAATGGAGAACAAAATTGCGAATTCGTCTTTCCTGCCACAGCGTCACGAAGAAAGAGCTCCCGATCAATCCAGTTATAGAACGTATGACTCCAGGTCAACCATAAGGAGATTAGATGAGATACAAAATCGTCACTTTCAGTGACCGAGGTCCACGGGGCCGCTGGAATTCGATAGACGGGTATATCTACGACATGCTGGTTATTCGAGGCCATGCGAGGATGTTTGTTTGTTCTCATTTCCCAGCATCGACATCTGATTGTCGATTCCAGCCAAGGTCGGCGCGGTCTCTCGATCAAGCTCCGAAATGTCGCTATCTATGTAAAGTTTAATTTCGCTGAGTGGAGCCTTACTTCGCATGAGGTCGAAAACTTGCATAGCCTTGGAGTCAGAGCTATTTTGAAGTGTCTTGACTAGCTGCAGCAAGTCATCACGCTCTTCCTCCAGCTTTACAATCTTCCGTTTGTGAGCCAGCTTCCGCCGCTTGTCTTCTTCCAAGTCGAATGCACACGAAAGGCGACGTTCGGTACACCGGTCGCACTGGGAGGCGCCTTCCTTAATGTGACACTGCCACGGATCAGCGTCTGGGGTAAACTATTTATGGAATGTAAAGAATTGCTGCTACCCGCGCCTTAGTTCGTTTGCACTCCCGGCATGCTGTTGATGCCTTGCGAAGCCGAGGGACGGAGGCGTTGGGGGTAGAGGAAGGGTTGGAGGTAACTGGGCGCAGTGGAGCTGGAGCGATGGGCTGCATTATGGCGATGTTGGGAAGTATTAAAGGTTAACGGTGGGGTCGACCAGGAAGTTTCAGTGGTCTTTATCAATACTATGGAGAGATAGTTAGAGTGGGGTTGGTACTGGTGATACAGGGACAACTCTGTGAACCAAGGGGGATGGTGGAACGGCGCCGGATAGTTCAGCCGTCCGTAAACGCTGGTTTTTCCATCTTGACAGATATGGATCCCTCCACTGTGCATGGGTCAATTGCAAGCTGCTGATTGGGTTGATGATCATGTAGGGCCTGCATTAGTAGCCTATTGCGGTGACGCTGGCGGTTCCATACTGCTCATCCTGACCGCCTCGAAGCATTCCTTATGGCCGGGAGGTTCCATGGCAAAGCGCAAGGACATCCTGTAAAAGAAGTCCATTGATCATATCCCCATAAGCGGACGTGGTTCTCATAAGTTAAACATCCGATAGGCAATATTCAGTGAATACAAAATTCATAACCCTGGACACGCACTTGTCAATTTGTCATGGAAACATCCAATAGTCAGGCTTCTCCCTGTCACACCGGTTCGAGGACAGACCATGTGCCTATAAGGACACGGGTACTGCCTCCCTGATGGCTTATCAGATTAACTTGTGAATTGCGTGTCACTGTGTATGCACTTCTATGTCTCCTCATGAACCAGGTAGGTGGCTGTAATCACTGATAACCTGGTCATACACAGGCAATTCTCGCACTTATACATGAAAGGCTTGGTATATTCCAAATACTTCGTTTATTTATCCTCTCATGAGTCACTGTATCTGATAAATAATAAGTATTAGCAATAACGGATGTACAGGAAGTCTTTGAGGACTGACCCGTTATAAAGGCTTCGATGGATTGTCGCCTACTAGATTTTCTCATGTCACTGACTGCACACCCAAAAGGTAAGGCTCTTGATAACGACTAACCTGTATCAGCAGTTCTTCTCGTGTGAAAAACAATCCCACCGAGACTACAATCCTACCGAGACTATCATCACCACTAATCACATCTCCACGATACAAAACAACAGAATGTCCGAATTGTATCACCAAGATCGGCCAAATTGTGAAGTTGTGCGCTGGGCCGAGCGCTTAAAACAGTTTCTCACCCAAAAACACAATCCCATCACCCAGTCCGAGACCCAAAGCGGCTTCAACCCACTCAAGTACAATATCGTTCTTGAAAGGAGGATTTTCGAAGATAAGAGCCCTTATGAGGTCTGTAAATTTGTGCACCACAATTACAACGAAATCATTATTCTCGTCGGTTGCAGTGAAAAGCCTACCACCAAGCTCCCCACATATGTGTGGTTGGACGCAAGAGCGCACGAATTGTGTGCTGAAACTGACTCGAGATTGCCGTCTGATAAAGGTCTCTACGTTGCAAAGGTGTGGCTGGGTCACGTACACTTTTTCAGGGCTGTGCGTTCATATAGTGGTTGTTATGCTATGCATCCCATTGTCAAGGGAGACAGATGGCTACTGGATGGGGATACCGATTTGGTCTATGATACCTTGAATGACATCAGAGCGCAGTTTGGCTTCCCTCCACTTCATGAGCCTTTTGTGCGGCTGAGCTCGTTGGAGAACTACCAAGTTCTTGCGGAGACCTCCAGGATCATGTCTGAGTCTGACCCGAAGGTTGAATATCGTAATTGGTTTACTGATACCGATCATGAGAGAAATACTGTGGTCGATAATTAGGTGAAAATGAGCACTGATGCGAGTCGCCAGGGATAATTCTGGAGTGTTGATATGATTTTGCTTTGTGATCAGTGTGATTTGTCTCTTGGTCGGCGATTGTGGCTTGGACTTCGGGTTATTCCTTTGCCCTGGAACCACTATTACTTTTAGTGCAGACTACCTCAACAATACATTAGTCTTTGCTTTGCCTACTTTGCAGATCATGTCTTTATTCGACTGTATATCCAAGACAAGGCGCTGCCACACAAGGATTTTGGTATTAACGTCGATATCATACCGGATACCGGATGGTGTAGCGTAAGGTGAAGGCACAACTTTGGATGGTAAGGCGTGAATTCGAAATACATAAAGCGCTTTATATTGTGAATCTGAATAATATCATCGGACGGGAATGTCTGCAGTGAACAATGTTCACAGTTCAATAAGAGTCATTCCCTGCCCAAATTATCAGCAGCACCTATAAAGCCTTCGCCTGCGCCACCTTCCTCTTCCTTCCCTTTCCATGACAAATAGCCATTTTATCAGGATCAAGAAGAATATATGGTACTCAGAGTTTTCCCAATAACTAAGCATGAAATCATGGTCAATTGTCAGACATACACATATCATAACCGGGCTCAAGAGGCTTTATTGGAAAGCTCACTTTGATATACCGCCTTGCCTAACTGTACACTTTATTTCTGACGTAATAACATATCCACAGTCCGTCAAACTCAAAAGGCGAATGCTACGAATTTAAATTTCGTGACTAGCATTTACAGAGAATGAATGGCATACGAAGTTCCTCATATTATTTAGCCCCATCGATACTAAAAAAAAATAGACGGTGCATACTAACTGCACTACTTCTTCCACCACGTCCCAGTGACCGGTCTATCTGCAGTTCGAGAAGGACATGGATTCTGGGAACAAGAAATGCGTTATATACGGCATGTCCTGAACACCCGCTATGCAGTTGAGTACACAACTACAATCCAGCCAACGCCGGGAAAAAGCCCATACCATCAAAGTACTCAAAGTGAATATTGTTCGCACAGGGACACCGCTAAGAGAGGGCATATACCGGAGCCCGGAGCGATGCTGTCCTCTTCAACACACTCGACAACAAATAGGAACAGAGCACAGAGTACCAGAATAGTGCATCCCTTGATCACTTAATGCGTTCGATCAATCTACCATCTATATGAGAACGATATGGAAATTTATCTGAATATCACCGATGAACGCGGATATCTCGTACCGGGTAGAACCGATTACTCAACTTTGGATACGTGAACAACGCTCATGAATCCTCTTTTTGTGCCACGCCTGAAGGCTGGGTGAGTCAGATATCCTTCATATGCTGCTATCCTTAATTTCGAATGACACATAATAAACGCAATAGCCACAGGCCTAGAGGAATCGCATGGGATATATGTTATATTCATATTCCGGGGCACGATGAGAGAAAGGCAATCGACGAAGGTATCAAGGTGTACTTTGATTTGGTAAAGACTGAATCTCAGGTTTGAAAGTCTCAAAAGAGACTCCTCATCTTTTCCGGTGACTAGTCTGATTCCAGAACTTCCCGCTAATTTTTCTTGACATTTTGGAGGTTATTACTCATGGAAATGGACTATCTCGTCGAAGGACCGGTTTCCTGTGACCCTTAATTTCTGTACGCTGCTTTGGCTGCGCTTTTGTCTTATCTGTGATCTATTGCTTGAATATACGAAGTGTCATTGTTAGCATACTCTCACAAGAGCCGAGACGGATACCAGGTTAGTTCAGAACGTTCTTTGTGCTCATTGGTGAGGTTCGGTCGTTCTGATTACCTGCAGTTTCAGATAAACATCGAACTACCTCGAGGTGTTGAAGAATCTGCATAGACTGTCTGGATGCACAGACAATTCGATATGATACAGAAGTCGATGGGAAATGGGATAAAGCAAATCTGGTAGTCTATGAAGCTAAGATACCAGGAGTCAGGTGTCTATTACACACATCTTGCGAATTGACAAGCAGCACATTTGTGAACACTTCGACTTTGACTAGTATGGTCTCACTTATAGTAACCTCATTATAAAGTGATATATAATGGCTACGTGCCTATGTTGTCTTTCAGGCAAGTTACCCCAGTCCGGTTTCATTGTACATCCTCAATAACAATACATCCCGAATAATGTCGTAGATTACTATTGAAAAGATACTTAGATAAGCGGTGTAGTAATGGAAGCTAAAAGACAAATTATCTTCTACTAGCAACTGCTAGTGGAGACAGTCAGATGTGGAAATCTTTGTTGCATCCAAGCCAGCGCGTCAATTGCTTCTCGGCTAATCGAACGAAGAACTATCTGAATCACCTTCTCCGCAAGATTCACCGGTTTCTCGCTCTTCTGTCGTGAACAGGAGATGAATACCTCCTACCACTTTACAGAGCGCCATACCCTGCCTGATTATCCGGCAGATGCGACTCACAATCTCCTGCTGATCGAAGTTCCAGGATAAATCCAATTTAGCAGAGTACTGCATTTTGGATATGGTTAGGCCTGGGAAAGGGCAAGAAAATCAGCAATCACGAGAGGTATATGAGATTTCTTACCTTCCCGTCATTATCAACGTTGAAACGTTCCAATGATAGGTGTCTGTATGAATTCCGTACATTGGCCTATACTCACCGGCCTACTTGTGCACGCGATGGATAGCGACTGTGTCGGATGAAGTTAATCAATCACCTTCGCAATTAGCTATAGCATTGACAGAACAAAAGTACCTGGGTGAGCTTGATACGTATTGATAGAACACTGTCGACTAACGATTTCTAGCAATGATACATCATGCTCGCCGAATGGCCGGCCGTGAGGATACCTCTGTCTACGGGCTCGCAACGGATGGTTCTTGCTGGGAATTCATTCGGTTGGATAACGATGACAAGATAACCCTCGTAGGAGCAGATAATGCACTATCGTTCTATTCTCGACAGACAAAGTGTTTAGTACACGAGGCATATTTATGAACGGGAACAAGGAGAGGCAAAAGGGGTTATATCAACCTTGAAAAGGATCATTATCCACGCTAGCGGGTTAGTCCATGGTTTGGTGCGTTGCAGTAGCTTGGAGGAGTTGAGCGGGCTTGAGTCTGCGCGACCTTAGTAGAAGGTGGGTCCGAAAGGGAGGAGATGTAAGATGGAGATTTTGGAGCAAGAATGCTATTTCAAACGCTAGACATACCGATCAGCCAACCAACGACATTCTAGGCGGATGACCGCATCACTATGCTCCCAACACGAGTATGCATTTTCCAGAGCAATATGGCATGGATGAGATAAGCCGCAGTGGCATCAGGGCGCAGTTTGAAATGGTGATACAAGGGTGTGATTGAAGGTCTGACAGTTATTCTCCGCGCGGGTGGAACCATTATGGACCGATACGAAGTGATATGATGTGATATGGACGATGTAGCGAAGAGAGACCTCTTTCTATTGTTCGCCTAGTTCTAGATATGACATCGTATGATTATGCGAGGTGAGGGGGTTGCTTCTTCCCTGGGCGGGTTTGTGATCGTGGCTTGCACATAAACGCATTGCTGCCCGAATTCGGTGCATATATGAACCCACGTCGTATATGATATTGAGCAAGGAATTGTAAATTTGACCAATGATATAAAATAACACCATATCCCCGGAGTATACTAGTAGCATCGTATTCGGGGCCATCGTTTCCTTCCAGGGATATATATCACTCGGCTTTGCGTATCACCTCATCTCATCCCATTATCTCACCACATCCGACTTCTTTTCGCTGAACATCCCTTCCCGTCGCAGGGATATCTTATATTCCGCTTCATATCGCACAAGGAGAGGTTTCCTTTCCCAAAAGACAAGAATATAAATATCCTCCGTGCTTAGTGACCAAACTACGTCAAGATGAATCTCAAATTACCCAGCACTAAGCTCCTCATGACCCTCAGCATCGTCACAACCATCGTCACCACCACCATGTCCAGTACCACTAGCACCAGTCCAATGCTAACCCGCGACGTCTGCATTATCGGCGGCGGCGCAGCAGGAACCTACGCTGCCATCCGTCTTCAACAACTTGACAAGTCCGTTGTCGTAATCGACCACAAACCGCGCTTGGGCGGACAGACAACCACGTACACCAATCCAGCCATCACCCCGCTTCCCATCGAATACGGGGTGACCTACTACCAGAACATGTCTATTGTGCGGGACTTTTTCGGTCACTTCAACATCCCGCTGACCTACTCGGCATTCGATTACAAGATCGACATGTTTGACTTCGTCACGGGGACGGTCATACCTGCTACTGCGGAGGCGGAATCCAACGCTGCTATGGACCGCTATATCGCGAAGTTGAGAGAGTACCCGTATCTGAGGGTCGGGCTTGAGTTACCTGATCCTGTACCGGAGGATTTGGTAATGCCGTTCGGAGAGTTCGTGGACAAGTATGATCTGGAAGCCGGGATTGGGGACTTGGGGGGTTCAATTGATCCGTTGGGAATGTGGCCTGATTTGCCGACGCTTTACGTAATGAAGTACGCGAATTTGGATGTTTTGGAAGGCGATAGGACTGGGTTTGTAAGACCAAAGAGTCGGAACAATAGTGAGTTGTATGGGGATGCGCAGAAGGAGTTAGGGGAGGAGGGATTGTTGTTGGGGAGTGAGGTTGTCAGCATGGATCGGGATGGGAGTGCGGACTGGGTGTATGTGACGGTGAGGAAAGCAGAGGAGGAGACAACGGTTCAGGCGAAAAGCTTGGTGGTGGCAGTGCAGCCGAGCTTGGACAGTCTGAAAGGGTTCGACCTCGGGATTAAGGAGCAGACTCTGTTTGGACAGTTCAAAAATTTGTTCTTCTATACGGCATTGGTGCGAGTCAAGGGGCTGCCAGATCGGACTTGTTACATGAATCGTGGGGCAAACGATCCGTTCCTGATCCCGCAATTGCCTGGGATGCTCGTTCTCAAGCCCACGGAGGCATCGGAGCTAAAGGTAGCGAATTATCTCAGCACGAAGGCATTGTCGGAGGAGGAGGTGAAACAGGGTATGCTACACGATATGGATAGCATCCGCCGGAGAGCAAATGTCGACTTTCCGGACCCAGATTTCCTCGCCATTGGGGATCATAGCCCGTATCAGCTGACTGTTTCAGCTGAGGCCATCGAGAACGGTTTCTACCGTGATCTCAATTCCCTGCAAGGGGAGCGTCGGACGTTCTACACTGCGGCTACATGGGAATCTCATAGCACACCGCAGATCTGGGAGTTCACCGAGCAAATGTTGCAAAGCGATCTCCTAAAGTTACTGTGACAACTTAATAGCCGATGTCGAAATAGAAGTTCTGTGAATATGAGCAGATGCTAGCCGTATCACGTCCATGTAGGTCGTTAAACTTAGCTTGTAACAAGTCCGCAGATCCTTGCGGGAGGCACCGGCAGCGGTGTAGAATTGGGATACTGTCAGACAAAGCAGAGAGGGCATGTGGAAACTCCGCGGTTGTGCGTCCATCTGATGGGCCATTGAGATAATTCGACAGGCGGCCGAGACCGAGGCCGTCAGCTGTGGAGAGCCGAGTTTCAAGGTCAGCTGTGAAACGTTGTACAGGCGTTGTCATTCCCTCACACAGACACTTGGTGACCGATAACCCAGATCGGACATGACTAATTGAATATCCTCCGATCAGGAAGTACGAGCTATCAGACTTGCGCACAGACTGTTGTCCCGAGACAGGTGTAACCCTATTTCAATTCATGTATGACAAGACCAACGAATTTTGATCAGATAATTGCAACATATTCCATCATTAACGAGAATTTGCGAAAGATAACCACAAAACCAACGGACTTCGCCGGGCCGTCCTGCATTAACCCGAGCTGAGCTCACTATACCGAGCCAATTGCTACTCAACACACCGGAATTTCGCTTCCTTCTTCCACTCACTGGCAATCTCCAGCTGACCAGTCTGATCATTAACAGCCAAGAAACGATTACTGTAATCTCCGCCAGGTACGATGGGGATAAGCCCGTACTATGACAATCGGGAGGCCACGCGTCAGTAACGTGGGATCCAATAGCGACTAATGTTGCGGCAGGCCAGCTTACCTCCAGTGCGTCATCGCTGTAACCACGTGTCTCAACCCAAATGTTATACTCACGGTTATCATACAGGAAGACTACCTGGAAACCACTGATTGAAATCATGTGTACTGGATGTAGCAAGGAGGGGATTACTTACCTTGTCTGGGTTTCCGAACTTCCCAATCAACTTGGATTGCGAGAGCGAGTCATTAGCACCAGTTCGCAACTGATCGGAATACAGAGCAACTAACGCCATCGTCACGACAGAGCCAGAACTCGCCATTAGCTCGGAGCTTATCCGCGGGGCTAGGCTGGTGATCGTTTGAATGGAGAGAGAGGCGATTGTCTTCGTCAATGCCCAGAACGCAGCCGGTGAAGGTGGTGAAGAGACCAGAGTGACTCGGCATTTTGCAATGGATGGACAGTGTCTGAAACTTATGGAAGGTGTTGCAAGCAATGCGATGGTGATTTTAATATAGGATTGGAAGCCTGGAAACCGTAGCTTAACACGGGAAGCTTTCTACAACGTCTTACGTCGCATCGCAGGATGCAAAAACGTGGAATCGTACCAAGCTGAGCGTTTCACGGCATCAGCTCACTGTGTCTAGCCATGGTCCTCGTGGCCATGGCTGTAGGGGGCCCTGCTCCGCTCTTTCTAGGTATCATGATGAAACAAAATCGGCCAGTAAGCCTGGAGACCTGGTCTTAGAAACAAGGAAGAAATGCGGCGATGATGAAGTCATTCTTGGGAGAGAGGAGCGTGATGCGAACACGAACATTGAATCTCACATCATCTCCAACGGGAATGCCGTTCGAAGTCTCCTGATGTCTCAATGCTAAGCGACCACAGCAAATGCTGTAAACAACAGGACTTTATATGACACCACACGCCTTGCATGGCTTGTTCGAATCTCCTTGGAATTGCATTCCATAATCCATGATTCCACGTCTTATTTTTCTTGTGCATTCTGCAGGAAACACAAGCACAATGGATCAGGCGAACAATGACAGCAAAAAGACACATTGCTTTTCCCAGGCAACAGTGAATGCCATGTGGGCTGCCAGGCTATCGCCAATGAGCGTACAGGCGGTTCATCAGGCATCGGCGTTCCAGGAAGAGATGGTTGTTGCAACGATTGGAGACAGCAAGCATCAGGTCAACGTGGAAGCACAACACTTCACCTGTCGTGAAAGACTCAATGTGGCTCACTTGAACAATGCCGCTCATGCACTGGCCCGAAGACATGTTGTCCTACGTTCCCTCTTTTGCTGGAATGATCATGCTACAAAACAACATCCCGCCCGGATATTGATGTTAGTTCTTGGAGCCGATTACCCAGTAGCGAATATCAAGCTTGTCAGTGAAGGATCGACCCAGGATACGAATACAGAAGATTCCCCTATTGACTTTCATGTGCTGGGATTGTCTGACGCTTCAGGAATTCGCCAATGGCATGGAGAGATGCCTTGGAGGTTAACAATCAACTCATTGCCTGACCAGAAAGGTTCTCGTCTATCACTGTGCTACCATACCGCAATCCTGGACGAGTCTTCGGCTTGTCGGATGTTGCGCTACCTGTGGGATGAGCTGCAGGCCCCCGGTTCCACCGTCGTGTCCGACTTCATTGCGGCCCACAAGGGCCTGGCGTTCCGACGCAGCCATGATATGCAACGTCGGGTTCGAGAAAGATTTGCGGGAGCACCTCCTCTCCTAGCCGTCTTCGGTAGCACAAAGCCACTTGACAGAGAGGGGTATGGTGTGACGATCGACAAAGTGGCTATGCCTTACGCTCGGGCCGATTGCCTGTCGAGAGCGCGGGAGGCCCTATATATGGCACTCTGCACATTAGACGGGACACAAGAGGCAACATTTTTAGAGTTAACGTCACACAGAGGAGCACTCCCCTCGAACCATAGAGAGGTTTTGGGTCCAATTCTAGTGCCTCAGATTCGGTGGACTCAACATGATAGCCACACACCACTCCCACAAATCGCTGAAAGTCTTGCTTCGGGATGCGACATTAACCACGCCTTCTCACCTGGCGAGCTGTGCTCCTTCTTTTCGAACGCGGCATGTCGACCTTCAGTGTCTCTTATTTGCCACATCGATTCATGTGCCTCCACGGGAGTCGAAGCCTGGACTTGGGAAGGCAAAGATTCATGGTCAGATGTCCCTTTGGTAATCGAGCTGATTCCATGTGGCGGGGATTCCTACCTCATCCGCAATTGCTACCACCGTGACCTGTTCACAGACAACGCCATTGCGGCATTCCGACAGTTCTTTTGCGCATCGCTAGAATGGCAACAACATGAGCATGATACAAGGAAAGACATTACCCTCGAGTTTGTGGTCCACAGTATCCTGAGTTCATGCCCCGATGCAGCTGTCCACCTGGAGAACCAGAAGAAGATCCAAACCAACAATAAGCATGTCGGCGAGTCTCCAGAGACTATCATGCTCAGTACTACATCTCACATTACTATAGAGAAGTGCACTGGACATACATATTCTTCTCCGAGTAACATGAGGGCCGAAGGTAATGCATGTGCGCATGACCTGCTGGAGCGGAGTGCTAGAAGATTTCCGGAGAAGATTGCCTTGCAATATGAGGTTTCCGACTATTTGACATATAAAGACTTGAACAATCGTTGTGACCAGGTTGCGGAGTCTTTGACCTGTTGGATCGAGCGTGCCCAACAAGCGTCTCCTGGTGCAGAAATCATTATCCCAATTTCATTCGAGAAAGGTTTTGATCTGGTAATAGCGATGTTCTCGGTGCTGAAGGCAGGGGGGGCTTTCGTGCATATCGATGCGAGCCTGCCCGCTGATCGAATAGCGGGGATCGTACGGAAGGCAGGAGTGCCATTCATTCTTTACGATGGAAAGGCCGACACGCATAGGTTGACCGAAGTTGCCCGGAGGGAAGGGAAGGCAATCGTTGCGCTCAACGATTTGTCCAAAATGCAGGACAAGCATACACTTCCGTTCATCCGGAGTGAGCAACTAGGTTCATCGCTTGCGTACATTCAAGTGACATCTGGAACGACTGGAGAGCCTAAATGTATCATGATCGAGCACCGTAACTTGGTGGCTTTCATGGAAGCCGACGAGCCGGATTTTCTAGGAGCCTGGACGACCAACAAGCTGCAGCTCTCAAACCGCACCTTTGACATAGCCATGGCGGACATATTTGGCACATTGGGTCGCGGAGGAAGATTAGTGTTCGGTCCAGACGCAGCCATACTGTCCTCTCTGGAAGAATGGCTGGAGATGACTAGCGTTACGGATCTGAATACGTCTCCCCTGGTCGCAGATTTGCTGAAGAACCATGTTCCAGCTTTCCTGAGCGTCCTGATGGTCGGCGGAGAGCCTTTCCACCCCTCCCTCATAGAGGGCATCCCTAAGGAGTGTCGATTATACAATAACTATGGCCCAAGCGAAACAACCTTCGTAGCGACGACATACACTGTATCAGAGGAGGATAAAGATAAGTCAAACGTCCCGATTGGACGCTCTTTTGGATCCTGTGGTATTCATATACTGGCACCTGAAGGCACTGAAAGGGTCAAAAGTGGAGACATTGGCGAACTCTGCATCAGTGGGTTCCAAGTATCGAGGGGTTACCTGGGACAGCCCGAGCTTACTGGCAAAAGCTTTGTCTCAGATCCTTCTGCGAAAGATGATAAATGCAAGCTGTATCGCACTGGAGACCTTGGACGATTTCTACCCGACGGAAAACTGGAGTATATCGGGCGCAAAGATAAGCAAGTGAAACTTCGAGGGCAGCGTGTCGAAACACTCGAAATAGAAATGGAGATTAGGAAGCATCCTCGAGTGAAGGCTTGCGCAGTCGCCACAGGCAACTCAAGCCATGGAATGGCGCTCGTTGCATTCATTGAGACACAGCCGAACCACCAAGACTCATTCACCGATGCGACAGCTGAAGACCGCCTCTGGGCGAGTCTGGTAGATGAGATCAAGACCGTTCTATCCCAGACCCTGCCAGACTATATGACACCAACGCGCATTGTGAAGCTTGATGATGGCTTACCTCGTTTACCTAGCAACAAGCTTGATCAGAAAGCATTGTCATCTCGAGCAACAGAAGTTTTAGCAAGCCAAGCGTCCCAAGCGGCATTGGAATACGTCCATCCACGGGACGAATTGGAAAGACATATCTGTGAAGCTTTCAGCAATGTGTTTTCTTGCCAGGTTGGCATTACAAACAATTTCCTGGATCTTGGAGGACACTCTGTCACAGCGATACGGTTGGCGAGTAAAGTAAGGAAGCACCTCCGCACTAATATCACCTTCCGGGATGTGCTGGAATGCTTGACTCCGGAAACGCTGAGTGCGCACATTCGTGCTTCTGCGGAAAACATACAGCAAAGTCCACCGACATATCGACCGCCAGATAGCATGGTTGTTGAACAATCCTTCGCACAAGGCCGCTTGTGGTTCTTGGAACAGCTTCATCCAAATCTGATCTGGTACCACATGCCACTTGCATTCAGGTTGCGAGGACGATTGCACCTCGACGCCTTAGAGGCCGCTTTGTTAGCGCTTGAACAGCGTCATGAAACGCTGCGAACTACATTCAGAGGAAGGGGCGACATGGATGTACAAGTAGTCCAGCCCTTTTCGCCGAAGGCTATCCGAATCTTGGATCTTACCTGGGACCCTAGTGACGAAACGCTTTACTCGGTCCTTCGCAGTGAGCAGACAAAGCCATTCAGCCTTACGGAAGAACCCGGGTGGAGAGTAGCCGTGGTGCGGCTTAGTTCCCAAGAACATGTTCTTTCCCTCGTTATCCACCATATAATTGCAGATGGATGGTCTTTGGGGGTGGTCTTGCGAGAGCTCGCATTGTTCTATTCTGAGAGCCTCCGTGGAAAAGATCCCTCGTTGAGATTACCGCCCCTACATTTTCATTACCGAGGGTACTCGCTATGGCAACGTCAGGAAGAACAGCTCCGGCAGCAGCAGCGTCATTTAGCGTATTGGACACAACAGCTACGAGGCAGCCACCCGGCCGAATTTCCGTGTGATAAGCCTCGGCCTGATGTGCCATCAGGACAGGCTGCTGTGAGGGGAATCAAGATAGGCGGTGCTTTGTACATTGGTTTGGAAAGGTTCTGCAAGCGACATTCAATAACACCCTTCATCGTTCTACTGGCGGCCTTCCGGGCAGCTCATTACCGAATGACAGGGGCAGCTGATGCGACTATCGGCACTCCAATCACCAATCGCAACCGTGAGGAACATGAAGATATAATTGGGCTATTCGTGAATATGCAGTGTATGAGAGTCGAAATTTCGGAAAGCGATTCCTTTGAGGTACTGGTTCAACGGGTAAAGGAGACAGCAGCGGCGGCTTTCGAACACAATGAGGTGCCTTTCGAGATGATCGTCTTCGAGCTACACCCAACACGGGATAGTTCACGCAATCCACTGATTGAAACTATCTTCGCATTTCACCCAGAACGTGTTGATAAGATCAGCCTCGAAGGCATCGACTCGGAACTGATTAGCCTGACACATGCGACAAGGTTCGACCTCGAATTCCACGTCTGCCAGTGTGAAGATAGCCTGGAGGGTGACATCATATTCTCCACTGAGCTTTTCCATGGTCGAACGATCGAGATATTGCTATCGACCTTTCAGGATATATTGAGAGCCGGCCTAGAGAATTCACATACAGTCATTGAGACGATCCCCCTGCCGAGCGCTACTTCCGCACTTGATGACATGGACCTGTTGGGGATTCGCCGCTCCGAGTACCCTCGAACTTCGAGCATAGTTGATGTATTTCGCGAACAGGTAGCCGCACATCCAGATAGAACAGCAGTCAAGGACAATCAGTATCAATGGAGCTATACCAGGCTTGACCTAGAGTCCGACAAGATGGCGGGTTGGTTGCGTGCTTTGGAACTGCCAAAAGAGACTGTGATCACGGTTTTCGCAAACAGATCGTGCGAGACCATCGCAGCGTTTCTGGGCATACTTAAGGCAAATATGGCCTATCTTCCACTAGATATCAAGTTCCCGACTGGCCGGATCGAGTCCATTCTGTCTTTTATTGAAGGCAATCGATTTATTCTGGTCGGCTCCGGATGTGATTTCCCAATTACCCACTTGGATCGGGTAGACGTTGTCCCCATGGCACGACTGTCGAGCGGTTCCGGTCAGAACCCAGCATATATTGATGATATAATGCCTACTCCCAAGAGCCTCGCATATGTTATGTTCACCTCGGGCTCCACCGGGCAACCGAAAGGGGTCATGATTGAGCACAGGGCAGTTGTGTCACGAGTGAAGGGTTTCAGTTTACTCAAGGAAGAGGTTGCCGCGAAGCCGTTCGCCCACGTTTCCAGCATTTCTTTTGATGCAGCAGTTTGGGAGATATACACTCCTCTGCTCAACGGCGGCACTGTGATTTGCATTGACAGTATGACAATCACGAACTTTGAAGCCTTATCCAATGTCTTTCATGCGGAAGGCATTAGGGTAGCACTTATTACACCCGCCCTGCTGAAACAGCTTCTCACAGAGTCATCGGCTTCGATCTCTGAACTTCATACACTGGTCGTGGGCGGAGATCGAGCGGATCCCAAAGACATGATCAAAGCACGCAAGTTAGTTCAGTGTGATGTCATAAACGCTTATGGCCCAACGGAGAATACCATAATCAGCACCTTTTATCGACTTCCAGAGGGCAACGTATATCATAACGGTGTACCAATTGGACAAGCAGGGCCTAACTTGGGGGCTTACGTTGTGGATCAGCAACTATGTCTAGTACCACCCGGCGTAATCGGTGAACTTGTTGTTGTCGGTGATGGCCTAGCGCGTGGCTATACTGATACACGAAGGGATGTGAATCGTTTCGTCAACATTGATATCCGCGGCCAGGTTCTGAGAGCGTATCGCACGGGTGACCGAGTTCGTCGCCGTCCGGTAGACGGACAGCTTGAATACATTGGCCGGTTGGATGGCCAGGTCAAGATTCGAGGTTTTCGTGTTGAGACCGAGGAGATCGAGCACGTTCTTCGCAGCTCAGGGCTAGTCGGAAACGCCGCAGTGCTCTTCCAGCAGCCTGATAATCGAGATGGTCGGCTAGTAGCTTTTGTCACGTTGTTGAAAAAGGCCGATAAGCAAGTTCCCATGGATGAGGTAGCAAGGGGTAGAGAAGAACAGGAATCAGAACAGGCTTGGACGCAAATTTTCAGTGAAGTCACTTATGATAGCCAGATCGACCCTCGTGAGGCCGGTAGAGACTTCTCTGGATGGAAGTCAATGTACGATGGTACTGACATCGACAAAGGAGAAATGGAGGAGTGGCTGGACGATACGATCACAACGCTGCTCAATGGTGCACCGCCAGGCAACGTGGTTGAGATTGGTACCGGCTCAGGAATGATTTTTTTCAATATTGCAAACGACCTGCAGACCTATGTTGGCCTTGAACCGGTACAATCGATAGTGGAATTTGTCAAGACCATGATGGGCAAAGTTAATCCGACTCTAGCAAGCAAAGTACAGCTGCATATTGGAAGTGCCAGTGACTTAGACAAGATATCATCCGACATTTCATCGCCCGACATCGTGGTGGTGAATTCTGTTGCGCAGTATTTCCCTAGTGCGGGATACCTGTCCAAACTGATATTGGATCTTCTGCGAAAGCATCAGGCCAAGACCCTCTTCTTCGGAGACATACGTTCATACGCTCTATATGCGCAATTTCAGGTCACCAAGGCCCTGCACGGAGAAGAAAAGATTAGTCCCGAATATATCCGTCAAAGTATGGCAGATACTGTGGAGAATGAAACTGAGTTACTGATTGACCCTGCTTTCTTCACGTCCCTGGCAACTGAATTCCCAGATCTCGTCCACCATGTCGAGATACTTCCGAAAAGAATGCGAGCGACAAACGAACTTAGTTGCTATCGTTATTCGGCCATCATCCATGCTGTGCGACCAGATTATCTCCCCATCATTCATGCTGTAGACGCAGATCAGTGGATCGACTACAGCGCCCAAGGCCTAAGCCGGAACGGGCTCTTGGATCTATTAAGGGAATGCTCAGAATCAGCTGTTGTGGCTATCGCCAACATCCCGCACAGCAAGACTATATTCGAACGACTAGTCGTTGAGGCAATTTCCAACCGGACAACAATGACAGATACTGGTTGGCTACCATCGATCCGTCGGAATGCAGATGAAGTTCACGGACTCTCGGCAATGGATCTTGTTGATCTGGGTACCTTGGCAGGGCTCCATGTGGAACTAAGTTGGGCGCGACAATTTTCCCAGCACGGAGGACTGGATGCCATATTTCACCGCATCAAGTCCCAGGATGGACGAAAAAGAACCATGTTTCGATTTTGCACCGATCATGAAGGTCGCTCAACTGAAGATTTCAGCAACCGGCCAATGCAAGGTCAGCCGACCCGCCATATCATAAGAGATCTCCAGCAATTCCTGAAGACACACGTGCCTTGGTACATGGTTCCGGCTGTGATAAAGGCTCTTGAGGACATGCCTACTAATCATAGTGGCAAGATAGACAGACAAGCTCTGTCTCAAATTGCAGCCACGATGGCACCTAGGCAGGCACTAGCTGACATGACCTTCGTGCGTCCTAAAACTAAGTTCGAAGTGATTGTCTGTGAAGCATTCGGTCACGTTCTTGGATGTGAGATGGGCGTTACGGAGAATTTCTTCGATCTCGGTGGACACTCCCTGATGGCGACAAGAGCAATATCCAGGATTGTTGAGCGCGCACAGTGTGCCATTACGGTCCGAGACCTGTTTGACTGCCCAACGCCAGGAGCTTTGGCAAACAGGATCTCGACAATTTGTGATGAACGTGGCAAGGCAGAAGCAGAGAGTGACAGAATACAAGGCATTGATGAGTTTGCTGATAACGAACCGGTCGCGCACGATGAATGGAATCAAGCTGTGGAGGCGGTCGGCATTTGCGCAGCAGACGTAGTGCATATAATTCCGTGTTCTCCCTTTCAGGAGGGTGTCCTTACCGCCGACCTCGTCCTCAGAGACTCTCCCGCTTATTTGGCTACCATGAAGCTGAAGTTCGACGGACACCTCGACGTGGATACGTTGCAATCAGCGTGGTATTCAACGGTAGCACGAGAGGAAATGCTTCGAACAGCCTTCATGCCATCGACACAAGATTTGTCCTTAAGCGGAATGTGTAGTGGAGCCTTTCTGCAGGCCGTCCTCCGGTACGACTCCAACGAAGTGGAAAGGGTCTCGACACTACGGCAACAGGAGTATAATCAGCCGCCTGACCTTGGGATGGGCCATATACCGGTTTCTTTGGCATTATGGCAAGACGACGTGACAGGTTTCATGCAACTTGAATTGACAATGCATCATGCTCTATATGATGAAGCCTCTCTGTCGTATATTCTGGACGGCTTGTCTCGTGATTATCACTATGCACAGAGCCATGGCCCAAGAAACGAGGACCAGAGCAGCCACATTCCGTTCATAACGTTCATTCGCACGTTGCAACTGAAGGATCGATCAGTAGGCTCCTCCTTCTGGAAGAAATACCTAGATGGGGCACCAGCATGTACTTGGCCAACTCCATGTGGTCTCAGAGGTCCTATGGATGGAGTTCAAATCCCTCATGAAGTTCGTGCTGAATGGAACGGAGATGCAGAAGCACTGGCAAGAATTTACAGCACCACCCCGGCCGGTCTTGTTCGAGCAGCTTTAGCTTTGTCCATTGCTATACATAGTGACTCAGACGACGTCATATTCGGTGAGGTGTCGAGTGGACGAGCTCATTCGGAGTTCGTCAAAGGCCCCTGCATCGCCACCCATCCGGTACGAATCCCGCTTGCAGTGAACTCGAAGCAGCATTCTAGTGACGGACGACGAGGGAAAGTTTCAATAGAAGAACTACTCACACGCACCCGTGATGCGTACTTAGACACGATGCCATTTCAGCATCTTGGACTCGAATCTATCCGACGCTTGACTGAGAACCCCGACTTGCTTCCTTTCCAGGTGCTTTTTGTTTTTCAGGCACAAGTCACAAGTGCCAAGAATCACAGATTTCCATGGAGCCGATTCAGTATTGCCGACGGTGAGCTGAAGCGTACGGAATTTCCCATGGTGCTTGAAGTGTTCTGTCAAGAGCTCACAGGCCATCTTCACATGCGATGTGTGTTTGACCCGGCGGCAATACTTCCAGCAGATGCAGATTGGGTGTTGCAGCATATCATCGACTCAATTGACCTCATGCAAACACGTTCCATGCAACATGAGGAAGATCAATGCCCTGAGGCTAAGCTCGTAGTCAAGAAACGAGAGATAACTGTCATCGAACAATTATTGGGCCACCAAGAGGGGGAATCGTCTGAGGGCGGTAGTGCGTTGTCTACCGTTATCGAACTCTTTCGCAAGTGCGCAATGGTCATGCCAGACAAGATCGCTTTGCAAGTTCAAAGGAGTGAGTTTGTTACGTTCAGACAACTCGACGACCTAAGCAATCAGATTGCTTTCGGCCTTGAAAAAATTCTCAACTATCAAACAAGTGCGACCACCAAGCAGCGATACGTGCCGATCTTCTTCGAGAAGTCATATCACATGGTTGGCGCCATTTTGGGCATCCTGAAGGCCGGAGCAGCTGTTGTTCCCATGGACATTGAACATCCGATGCAGAGGCTGGAGACAATATGCGTAGCAAGCGCAGCCACTGTCTTCCTTTGGGACGGTATAAATAGTGGTGAGAAGGTACAAAGTCTTGTCATGTCAACGGGAGCAACCGTACTCACAGTAGATGATCTTCTCCAGTATACCAGCCAGACGTACAAGCACAAAATTCTACCCCTGGACTCTCTGGCTTATGTGCTTTTTACCTCAGGAACGACCGGTATTCCAAAAGGAGTGATGATCAATCATCGGAACTTGGCATCATTTTTGTCCTCCAATAGAGGAAGTACTGACTGCTCATGGACTTCAAACAGACTCGCGCTTCTTGCTCCTACCTTTGATGCGGCGATGGGAGATTTGTTCGCCACGCTCTGCAAAGGTGGCCGTCTCTTGTTGGGTAAACAACAGGCTATTCTCTCCGGGTTGAGCCATTGTTTAGAAGACCTGAGTGTCACACATCTGTCACTAACTCCCACGTTGGGTACGCTGATACTGAACGATCTTGACAACGAAGGACTATCTTTTCTGCGCTCTTTGGTCTTTGGGGGTGAGCCTTTCCCGCTGAGTACTTTGAGCCGCGTACCCAGGACAATAAATGTCTGGAATGGTTATGGTCCTACCGAGGCGACCATTGAGATAGCAGCCTGCAAGGTACAAGGACCAGATGTTGATGTGTGCGGAAGCCGATCGTTTGTTCCCATCGGAGAGCCCGGGCAGAACAGACACATTCGGGTGTTATATCCCGAAACTACGGAGCAAGTCCCACTGGGTTCAGTTGGTGAATTATGCATTAGTGGACTACAAGTGGCACAAGGCTATCTAGGCCAAGCTGACTTGACCGCGAAACATTTCACACCTGACCCGTTCTCACCGACGGGGCGGAGGAGAATGTATCGTACGGGAGATAGAGCAAGACTCCACGGAGATGGATACCTTGAGTACCTTGGTCGCATGGATGGGCAGATAAAAGTTCGCGGCTTCCGAATTGACACTGAAGAGGTTTGCTCGGTGGCGCAGAAGCATCCACAGATCATTGCATGTGCAGTGACTAAGCTTCAGAGCAGCGGAACTGAGACCCTGACAGCGCTTGTTGAAGTAGTCCATCCACTCCAGCCCGGAGATGTCATATGTGAAGCCACGGTCAAAGAGCATCTGGCCCAATACCTTCCTTCCTATATGGTTCCTGCCTTCAACTGGGTGCAGACAACACCCTTACCGCGTACAACAAGTGGTAAACTAGACAGAATCGCTATCACCAAGATGGCCGAGGACAGACATAAAGAGAGTCTAAAAGACGGTTCGAGGCACTCTCACACGCCTGTTCGCGCCGCGCCGGGAAGCCTAGAAGACAAAATAGCTTCACTCTGGGCAAAGGTGCTGGGGATCAACGAAGACTCTGTTGACACCACTGCAGCTTTTCACAATATGGGCGGTGACTCCATTCGCGCAATAGCATTGCTTGCAATACTTCGTCGACAAGAGCTACACCTCGATTTGATAGACGTTTCACAGACTTCAACAGTGCAGTCACAAGCAGCCAGAGTTCGACAGGGGTCAGCCGTCAAAAACAATGCAAATTACCTACATTTTCACATGCGCCAAGGGAGCCTGGCAACCATTGTCCTTGTTCATCCGTTCCTTGCGCAATCCATGGTATTCGAGCCTCTGCTGCCATTACTAGACGGCACGATTGATGTGCTCCTAGTCGACGACCCATTCATGGGCGCATCTCGTTATCCAGAAACGCTATCGCAGTGGGCTAATCGTTACTTGTCCGATATGGAAGAGCATATTCAGACTGCCCACCCTGTGATATTTGGGGGGTATTCATTTGGTGGATTCATTGCATTCGAGATGGCACATAAATGGGACCAGGTATACGGTGCCCATTTCAGCTCGGTAGTTCTCCTCGACCCTGGCACTTACGAGGTGGATAACAGAGTATGGAAGGGTGGGAGTGAAAAGGACAATTTGATTATGAGCTCGCTGGGCAGATCGGAGATCCGTCCTCGAGACAATCTACCGCTTCAGAAGTGCTTCGATGGCTATGTTAGAGCCTTGGAGCAATCTGAAAGTCCACCAGTCTATGAGGGTAAGTGCCTTCATGTGGCGTTACCCGATCGGCTCCAGGACGGAGTGGTAGATTGGTGGAAGGCACATTGCACCAACATCACTTTGGGCGTTGTCGACTGCGACAACCATTACGCGTTGATGAAGGATGCAGGCTGTGTGGCTGGAATCAGTCGGTTTATCAATGAGCACTGCAACGCCGTTATAGAAGAGAATCGAGCAGTGAACAGCGCGAGTTCAGAGTCCCGGATGTATGGGGGATCTTCGAGAACCGACGTGTCGACGGAAGATGGAGACGTGAAGGAGGAGACCAGGTGATTATCTAAATAGGACTAGCGCGTCTCTTCGTATCTACAGCCCGATCCGGAATAGTCGGTCGGGCATAACTGTTCATGATTCGTCATCTATGAAGATTCCCGCAATCAAAGAAGCCAGCCTCCAAGATTCCCAGATGTAGATGCTTGACGAACTGAAACATCCGACAGAAACCATTATATCCACTTGGGGCCAGACGACCGGATCAATCATATTCATCCCTCAACAGCTACAGGGCCCACTTCGGTAACCCATTTGCCGGAAGAGGTATCACATCACCACCGCTGTTACCTGCACTTTAGTGCATCAACAAAGTAGACACCATGCAGGATCAAACGGCCAAACGCCTGTCAGCACTAGTTCATAATAAGCAAGCTCTGTTGTCTCGAATCCTTGATCTGGGGCTGAAATCATGGTTCCCGACCAGTCAAATCCAGATTCCCGACTAAGGACCGCTACTACATATAAAGTTTAACCTACACGCTCCGAAACTTGCTTATCATCAATCTACCACCACGAGAGACATCATATATACTCAGGGCAGTCACTACCTTGATAGATAGCTCATTTACCCAATTCGTATCGTAAGGGCCATCCCATCAACACCCAACTGCATTAAAATGGGCCAATCCCCCTCCACCCCCCAACCCGGAACCAAACTCCGCGTCATCGGCGCAGGCCTCTCCCGAACCGGCACAGCATCCTTCAGCGCCGCCCTCGCCATCCTCCTTAACGGCCCAGTCTACCACGGCGGCACGCAAACAACAACAGGACCACCGGACAATATTACCACATGGATGAAAGTCATGCGCCTCATCCTCAACGACAACGCCCCTGACCGACAGCAAGCCCTCACCCTCATAGACCGGCAATTAGACGGCTACGCCGCCATCACAGACGCCCCGGGTACCCAACTCGTCCCAGAGCTGATGGAAGTCTACCCCGACGCCAAGGTCATCTGCACCGTTCGCGACCCGATAGCGTGGGAGAAAAGCATGACGCACCTGGAAGGTCTGGTGCGATCGTCATGGTTTCTGCGCGTAGTAACGCTGCCGATTCCTGGAATAAGACATTTTATGGACTTTCTGGCGTTGGTTGCTTTGCAATGGCGGAGGATATATGGGAGGAGAGGGGGTCCGAGTGGTGCTTATCATAAGCATATTGAGTGGTTGAAGGAGGTGGTTCCAGAGGAGAAGTTGATGTTTTTTGATATTAGGGATGGATGGGAGCCGTTGTGCAAGGCGCTGGGAATGGAGGTGCCGAAGGATACACCGTTTCCGAGGGACAATGATTCCGAGGCGATCACTCGGACAGTGAGATGGCATGTTCGTCGTGGGTTGATTCGGTGGGTGGGTATATTTGCTGTGGTTGCTGCTATGTCTTTTGGGGTGTATATGCTGCGGAGGTGAGGGGAGTGCCATTGGCGTGTATGATTTAATTGCCTTGAAACGCCCCATAATTTACAGATGAAGGAAATATAAACTTTCTACTACATGTGTATTGTGAGGTCATACTTTGCGGCTGAAGCCACCTGTTCAGGTGTAATGCAGTGCAAATATATAATCGGCTACAGTTCGCCCTACCGCGAGAGATACCGATCCAAGATAATTAGATAAAGCATGCATCTGGTCAAGTTCAGACACAGATCCAATTATTTTCATTTCACAATAGACATTAGAGATGTCTACGGTATTTGGGTTCGTTTTATTGGTCAATGAATCAATTCCCTCAGACACCGATCAGTCGGGGGTTTCCTTGCGGGCAATTGGCATCAATACGCGGTATCATTACACAACGATATTCTACCACCGAACGAGGCATCAATACCACTGAAACAGAGACAGCCCTAACCGACCAGAATATCTGCCAATTTCGGACCCCATGAGCTCACCTGTTCACAGATCAGTCAGTCACTCAATCTTCATTCATTACTTGCAGAGGTTCTATATACAAGGAAGGAGGCAACTTACATTCGACGCATCCATCAATGAAAAGTGATTCCCCTCAACGCGGATCACTCGCACATTGTCCAGTAAATCTTCCCACCCCAGCGCCCCGTCGTCGACCCGATCATCCAAAAACCATTCCACAGCGCTCTGCTCGTCGCTTCCCACCTTCGGTCGAGGCACGGCCTCTTGTTTGTCGACCCCCTCGCGCGCTGAAAAGAGAACCACGTCTTGGATGAGGCCCTCTTGCAACCCCCGCAGCGGACGCATCCGGTATTGCCGCAGCTGTTCCCGAGATAAAGTGAAGTGGACGCTGCTGCCCACGGTTCCCTGGGCAATATTATTATGGTTATTGGTCGCGTCAATTGCATCCAGAAATTGCACCAGTTCATCAGGGAATGAGTGCACTTTGCTTGGGCTCGCCGAGTCGATCAACACCAGCCGCTCCACGATTTCACCCGCTTCCACCAGTTGGCGCGCTGCCTCGAAGGCCACCACCCCGCCCAGTGAGTAACCCCCAATGAGATACGGTCCCGTCGGCTGTCGCTTTTTAATCTCCTCCATATAAATATTTGACAACACCTCGATGGAGGGTAGCTGGTCAATGATTACGCGATTCGTCACCACCAATGAAAGGAAGGGGCTACTGAGTGCGTAGGCCGAAGTATCCGGTACGCGCGCCAAGTACGGCGCTAGCGCCGTGAAAACGGCTCCCGAGCCGAAGCCGTCGGGCATTAGGAATAGATTGCGCTGTCCAGTCATAGCGACGGACCCCCGATGCAATAGGGTTGATGGTGCTCTGAGGGGTTGCTGCAATTCCTGCCATGGCTTTGGGGAAGCAGGAGTAGTGAAGCCGCACACCACCTGCACACCGCGCTTTTCTTGGCTGACACTCTCAGACCAGTCAACGTGCGGAAAGCCGGCTTCATGCATCATACGCTCCCAGGCATGTGGGCTCTGCAGTGGGTAGTCCCGGCCGTCGTCGAATAGCCACCACCCATCTAGGAGCCCCCAGACCAGGTCGTACCATGGCAGTTTCTCTGTCAGTTCGAGCAACGCTACGCATCCATCATCTGGACGCAGCACCCGGCGTATATGCTGTAGGCTTTGGCGGAGGTCTCGGGTTGCATGAACGCAGTTGGCGGAGATGACCAGGTGGTAGTGCCCGTGGAGCTCCGGCTCCGGGACTGCCTCGAGATCAAATTGGCGGAACTCCATGCAAGCGACGCCCGCAAAAATTGACCGTTTTGCACGCGCGAGAAGAGAGACGGAGAGATCGGTAAAGGTGTAGGTAAAGGGAATGCCAGTGGCCTGGAGGAGCGGGACGAGATGTTTGGTTGTGCCTCCGGTGCCAGCACCGACTTCGAGTATATGAAATGGCTCTGTGTTGTTGACGGCTTCCGCATGAGCACTGATGGCAGCCGAGACAAAGTCACACAGGACCTGGGTGGCGGCGCGAATATCGGGTGCATTGGCGTGAAACTCTTCGAGCAAGTGTCGCCCACGCTCACTGCCAAAGAGAAGAGAGACTGGATCCGCGTGGCCGATGAGGTACTCGGCGAGGTGCGGTCCGAGAAGATCGGGTAGCCCGTGGGTGGATGCAAAGACAGGAAATTCCTCCATCAACTCCTGGCTCAGCTGGGCTGCAGGCTTGATTGGAGGGGTTGCGGGTCCGCAGATGAAGACTTCGTAGTCGGCTTCCGGTGCATGCCTGATGATGTTGGCTTCCACAAGAATGTTATGCAGTCGGCGGACGAGACGATGATACTTGGGTAGTATTCCTTGCAGAAGGGGCAACGTCTTCCCGGGCTGGAGCTCGCGGATTGGACACCCCAAGTTCTTGAACGCTTCCAATATGAATGCAGATACGACTTGCAACTGCACAGGATACACATTCTCCCAGTAGCCTGACAACTGGAAGGCTTTGGCATGGGCGTCGTAATTGCGGCGAATCTCCTGAAAGACGGTTGGCATGTTTGGGTCCGATGGAGCCACTGCATCCGAGATGCCGGATGAACCTGTGGTTGGGGTAGGCTTGGCATCCTCCAGCCCCAAAGCATCCGCGAGCAGATCCAACAGGGAATCCACGTCTACCAATCCTGAGAACTCGGCTGAAGAGAGCTCAACATTCAATGATTCCTTGATGTTGTTAATAATTTCGGGGGTGATGAGTGAATCGACGCCAAGGTCTTCGAGGACTGAGTCCTGTCTAATTTCGGATACAGGAACCTCCAGGGAATGACTAAGAATTGCAAAGACCGCTTCTTGCCACTCATTGTTGACTTCAGGGGTGGTCTCCCTGCCTGGGTCGGATGTCTGCATGGCGACGTCGTGATCATCAGGTTCAGCACGTCCGAGCCGCGTTCTGACAAGATCGCAGAGATCTCCGACTGTATTCAGCGATGTGAACTCATTTGCAGATATCTCAATGTCAAATTGGTCCCGGATACTGGACAAAATCTCCGGGCTAACAAGTGAGTCGGTTCCTAGCTCTCTCAGCGTGGTAGGTCTGCTCACGTCCTGACAGGGTACATCCACACATATGCTGAGGATTGTCTGAATTCCATCCAAAATGAAATTGCGGACCTGAGGTATAGTTGGCGGAAGAGGAGGGGAATCCTTGTCCGTAAGTTGGAAGGTTATCTTCTCGGCCGCAGGCTTTCTCTGCAGCTCCTCCCTGGATTGTGCACCGATGGCATTGAGGCTGCCAATGCCTTAGCCAGCGAAGGGCGGGGAACCCTTGAGAACCTGAGGCCCTGCGCGGTCCAAACCACTGTAGCGCTATCGGCATCGAAGGCAAGGAGATCTAGTCTAATCTCTTTCTGATCCTCTCGTAAGATCTTCGCATACACCCTGTAAGACTCGCTGCACGGCAGCTTTGTCAAAGGACCAACTGATCCCATTCCCGTGCAAATAAACGACATGTCACTGTCTTCATCATCTGGAGTGTCTGCAACACGCAGAGAATGCACAAAGGCTCCGGGAACCTGCATGAAGTTATCCAGAATCAGTGGGTCAGCGATACTGTCGTTAAAAGATCGGCCTCGCTCATTAGCCTGCTCCGGGCTTGTGAGAGGCATAGAAATAACCCCGGCTGCTTCTTCTCCCTTTCCCACAATCAACCGTAGGCCTCGGTATATAGCGGAGTACTTCACCATTCTGGAAAAGACCTTATATACCATGGGACCACGCAACTCGTCCATCTCCGGTTCTTCTTCCAGAAGACGTGTCAGACGCGCCCACCCGCCCGAGAATTCTGACGGCACGCCTGTATTCTGCGCCTGTAGGGATACAATGCCATTTGCATGGTATATCAACTTTGACGGCAGAGTTTTTTTGCCAAAATTGTCGCTGGAGGAGAACTGGAACTTGAAACTTCCGTTTTCCTTCTTATCCAACCTCAACAAGACAGGCCGCCGCAGGTCCAGGCCCAGCGGCGCCATTATCTCTAAGTCCTGAACCCAGACGTAGCCCCTCTTGTTGGCGAGCGGCGCTGCGTGCGCGTTCCATTCGATTTGAACTACAGCATGATGTACAAGCTCCAGGTACATAGCGGCGGGACTGATAGGGGATCCGACAACAACATGGCCCTTCACCAGCTCCTGATACCGGGGGCTGCGTGGGTCAATACGGAAGATTACCCCGTCTTTCGAACCTGGCGGCGACCCCTCCAGTGTGATGTAAGGATATTCGTCCGTTGCCTTGCCGCAGTGAGGACATGTCTCGGAGTGCTGCTGAGCATCCTGTGGATCCTTGTCTCCAGACTCGACGGGAATATGCTCCAGCCAATGCGAATGTTTCTCGAATTGGTACTGCGGTAGGGTCACATGTTGATAGCTCGCTCGTTGCTTTGAGTGAAAGGGCCAGAACTGCACAGCAAGATGGCCGTTCTGCCACAGCTGAAGTACTGCCTCTGCTAGCCCTCGAACTGGGTCTTTTCCATCGATTGCCACGAATGTATGGGGCGGTTGGTGTTTCGAGGAAGTAAGGGGAGGCGAAAGCGCATTCCGGGCCATGGAAACGACAGGGCCCCCAATGCCAGCTTCGAGGAAGATACATGGACCTCCTCCTAGTCGGCTGACAATGCGGTAAATTGCTTCGGAAAAGAATACTGGTCCCCGAGTGTTGCGGGCAATGAAATTGGTCCCTGGGCCTGTCCACGGATCCTTGTGGCATGTCTCGAACGGAAGGGTTGGAGTCTGTAAGGGGTAGATTTAGCCATGATTGTGGACAGTCCAACGCGTCGGTAATATGGACAGACCTGGATTGGTATTGTAGCTGACAGTCGGGCAGACTCATCGAGGATTGAGTCTGCCATAACAGAATGATAGGCATGCATGCCACGCAACATCTTGAATCTGATCTTAACGCCGCGACGTTTCTCCTGGATCAAGTCAGTCTCCAAGGCCTCCATGGCCGACGTCCGCCCGGCCACAACGTAGTTATTGGGACCATTGTAGCAGGCAATATCGAAGGTAAAATCTGGATGTTTACGACGGAAGGGCTCTAGGTGTTGGCTGGCTGTTGTCTGTGTCCCCACAAGATCCGTCTCGATGGCAATCATCGCTCCGGGATCAGGACCCCAATACTTTTTGATGATGGATGCGCGTCCTGCCTTCTCGTTTAGTGATAGCCCAGCTTTGATACTTGAAAGTGTACGAACTGCACCCTGTTAGTATCTGCGTCGAGGGATGACGAATCAACCGAATCAACCTACCCAATAACGAGCTTTAATCCTGCCTCAAGCGTCAATGCACCCGAGACGGTCATCGCAGCCCATTCCCCGAATGAATGCCCACAAACTGCATCTGGCTTCAACCCACATTCGAGCCATGTCATACCAGATGAGTACTGGATGGCAAACATAGCAGCATGGCGGAAAACAATGTCGGTGCTTCCGTCGATGCCATCTAGTATAGATGGAAACAGATTGGGGCCGCGCAGGGACTGTATCACTTCATTACAGCTGTGTAAAAAGTTCCTGAAGATTATTGACGTCCTATAGAGTGGCTGTGCAGCAGGGACAGTATTTCCATTTTGTCCGCTGAAGAGAAGAACAATGGGCTGGCGTAAGGTTTCGCGCTTTACGATGTATCTTTCAGGACTGGACAGCCGGGCGTCCAGTTCCTCCACTGCAACAAAGGTGAGTACTTAGTGGATGTGTACCTTACTCGAGTCCGGCTCTCAATAGCAGGAAAGCATGCTTACCAGATGTGACAGTAGTGGCGAAAGCCTGGCCAAGCTGCCGATTCTGCTTGCTGCTGAGTGCGAAGCCGAGATGAACGCCCAGCTCCGGTCGAAAATTAGGTTGCAGTATCAGCTCTCTTAGCTTCTGACAGTAGGATCTTATGCTGGCTGCCGACGCTGCAGAGATTGAGACAGGCCATGCTGATAGTGCTTTTGAAGGGACGGACATTCGGGGAGGCAAAGACTGTGCAAGTGGCTCTGGCGGCGGAGGCGAGGCCACCAGGGCCGCGGCATTGCTCCCAGATGCACCGTAGCTATTCACCATAGCCACTAGGAGGCCACTTGAGTTGTGCCACTCAAGACTCGAGGTGGGGATAGCCATACAATTCGACTCAAGGGCAGTAATGTTGGGGTTGAGTCGCTCAAAGTTCGCCTGTGGTGGAATCTGGCGATACTTCATCATCAGCAAGACTTTTATTAGAGAGATTACCCCTGAGGCACCCTCTGAGTGTCCGATGTTAGCTTTGATTCCGCCAATATGTAATAGAGAGTCTCTCTCAGGCCCCCCTAGCACCTGCCTGATCCCTTCAACTTCAATGGGATCACCGGCGCGCGTCCCCGTGCCATGGGCTTCGACGTAGGATACTTGGCTGGAGGAGATACCCCCCTGGGCCAGTATCTTACGATAGAGCGCTGTCTGGCTGTCTAATACTGGATTTGTAATGCTGGTATTGTTAATATTCTGATTCTCCCCCGTCCCTAGAAGAATACCCCTAATTTCGTCTCCATCCTGCAGTGCCTGGGATAGAGGCTTTAGGACCAGGACCCCAACGGCCTCACCTCGGCAGTACCCATCTGCCCGAGCGTCAAAGGTTTTGCACGCACCGGTCTCGCTGAGGAAGCCTCCGCTTCGCAGTGCGCCAAAAAAGACCGAATTGGTAATTAAATTGACACCCCCCGCCACTGCCCTGGTACAGTCCCCTGCTTGAAGGGCACGGCAGGCCTGGTGAATGGCTACCATGGCTGAAGAACAGGCTGTATCAATGACATGGGAAGGACCAGTCCACCCGAAGTGATGACTCAAGCGACCAGCGACAAAGGATCGCATCATCCCAACTCCTGTATAGGGGCTGGGAGCGTGACTTCCTAAATTTAGAGGATAATCAGGGGCATTCATGCCAATAAAGCAGCCTGTCGTATTTCCAAAATCCGGCCCATTGTGTTTCTCGGGTATTTGTTCCTGCGCCAGCCATCCAGCCGACTCCAAAGCATGATAAGTCGTCTCAAGTAGAAGCCGTTGGTGAGGGTCCAGAGCGGCCGATTCACGCTTGGACTTGCCAAAAAAGCCATGATCAAAAGATTCAGGGTCAGGGAGGAAGTTTCCCCACAGTTTGGTGTCTTTCCTTGCGGCGGCCTCAGGAAAGCGTCTTGCATCAATCTCCCGCACTGTCGTCTGTCCCGTTCGAATCACGTCCCATAAGTCATCTGCCGTATCGCCTGCAGCCGTGCGGCATGCCAGACCAACGACTGCCACCGCGTGGGCTGGATATTTCCACTGGGCTTGCCGCACAGGTTTGCGTGGTGTGATATCTTGCAGTATGGGGTGTCGCACTGGTTCGCCTGTTTCAAGTGCCACCGCGCGTACCACAGCGACGTGATCGGTAGCAAGCTGAACGATCCGGTCTAATGTAGCAAGTGCCTCATCTGGGGCCATGTACTCAATACCTCGGGCCTGCATGCCGCGATCAATCATGCGCGTCGTTGATTTGTTCTGCGCCACCAGTCCCACTCCGCGCCAGGAGGTCCATTGAATAGAGGTACAGGCATCTCCCTGCTGCCGTCGGTAGACTGCAAATTCGTCTAGAAAGGCATTTGCTGGCGCGTACGTAAGCTGACCTGGGAATCCGACAAGTTGTCCCACGGAGGAGGTCAGCAGGAAAAAGTCCAGAACCCCGGGTGAGAATAGAGCGTCCAACGCCAAAGCACCACGTGCTTTAGGCGCCATGGTGTAATCGAGGTCGGAAGGTGCGCATCGGTCCAACGTGTTATATTGAGCAACGCCCGCGGCATGGACGACGCCTTTAATCGGCGGAAGGTGAAGAGGATCAATGGCCTGCCGAAGGGACTTTTCTGCCTCAGGTAGAGCGAGATCAATACTCAAGACGTGTACCGTGACACCTCGACTCTGCAGGTCCTTCATGTGGGATGTGAGTGTGTTGTTACTACCATCGCTCACACCCTTCTCTAGTCCATGGCGCGCCGCGAGAATGATGTTCCCAGCGCCACGCTTGCCCATCCAGGCTGCAATCTTCAGTCCCATGCCCCGTGTACCACCAGTGATAAGATAGGTGCTCTCCGGTCTTAGCCGGAGACGCGTTACAGTGTCATCTGGCTGCTCCGGAAAAGGCTGCAAGCAAGCTATGTGGGGAACACCATGACAGATTCGAACCACATCAAAACCCTGCGCATACTTGATCGCATCGAGTGGAAATGACCCCGGTTCTGCTTCGAACAGTCCACCGAAAGTGTTTGGCATTTCCATCTTCAAAACCCGCGCCAAGCCATACAGAGGAGCATGACCAAGTTGGCCAATACCAGCGGCGGTAGTAACGACAGTAAACACCTTATGGCCGTCATGTTTGGATAGGATCCGTGCCGCCGCTATCAGACTGTTGCAGGATTCTGTAGCTGTCTCATGGACGCTGTCTTTTTCCCTTGCCAGCTTAGGAAGATGAACAATAATTGTCCCAGAATTCAGGTGCAATGGTATCTCGGTAGCGTCTTTGACTACAAGTAGTGTATAGCCCGCATCGATCAGCTGTCCTTTGTACACAAGAAAGTCTTCCTGCTTCGAGTTGGGGTTGAGCACAAGAATGATCTTTTGAAACGTGATGGGTGCATTCGATAGCGCAGCAGGCTTCCAAGTCACCTTATGAAAGGGGTCTTGGGTATTCATCAGAGGCGGTTGGAAGTTGATTTGGATCTTTGTGGTATCTTAATGGAGCTATGGCGGCCTGGCTACCGGGAAGGAATACCACCTGGACAAGGCTTTAATGTATCGGCTGCCTTTACCACTGCATGACTGCATCAGAACTCCATCACTTGGCTGTATATCATAGACTGAGAACCTTGTCTCTTTCGGTACCTATTCACAGGGGTGGTGTAAATGCGGCGTCGCCCTTCGGAGCTGGTACCGTCCCTAGTTAGCAGCAAGGATGTTTCACACGAATCTCGGCATAACATAGGAAGACCAGGTGACCTTGCAGACTTACGGTATCTCTACAGAGAGATCATGATAGATGCATGACTGAACTGAAAGCAGACGTGTCGCTCATACCACATAACAAGTGATTGCAGTGTTCTCCCGCGTCGAAGTCATTTCTTATGGATGATCAACGGTTACGCAGCATATCTCCTGACCGTTTATGCGAGGCTCTGGCTAGTTTCAGATGTCCCCGCCTTAGAAGCCCCCCTTGCATTGCAGTCCAGATGGAGTGAAGGGGTAATGGCACCGAGGAGTAAGGAGAAGGAGCAGGGAAGATCAGGCATTCGACCATCTACCAGTTACTATCTCACTTGTATTGATGCAGAAACCAGTGATAAGGCTTAGATAACCACGCATTATATGTGATACGAACTTGGGTATGTGGCTTGTAGATTCTGATAGTTCTTTCCTGTTTTCAAGCCCTGTCACATCATATCTCCATTAGTTTCTACCAGAGTCGGCTTTCATGGATCACGAGTAATTGGTCTAATACTAGCATGTAGAATTCGTCCAGACAAATTTGTAGCATTCTCATTCTCTTGAGGTTCCCAAACTATTCTCTAATCTGTCTAGAAATACTAGCAAAAATCAATGTTCGTAACATCTAAGCTTCCTGTCGTCAATGTCCTTCGTCGTCCTTGGTATCAGCACCTTTAATGAGTTTCCCTTGCTCCCGTCTTTTGATCCGGCAAGTAAAGCCTCGGTGCTTGGAAAAAAAGCAGTTCTCCCATTTGAATGGCAAAGGCTTCACCAATTGTATCTATTGTTGTTAGCTTCCGCCCCAAACTGTGGATGATGCAGCTGCCAACCTCGTAATTCACAAATAGAAATGGTAAAAGCTTCTTCAATTCCACAATCCCAATTTGCTTACCCAGACACACCCGTCTCCCGGCGCCGAACTATAGTCCACAGTTACTATTGTATCATCGCTAACACCGTAAAAAGATCGTACATACTGTGAGCAGGCTCTTCTCCAGTGTCTTCCTGTGGCTTTCGTCTCCTTCAAGCCATCTCTCTGGCCTCCAAGCCTCCACATCTGGCCCAAAGGTGCCTTCGTGACGATTTACGACGTAAGCATTACCACCCACGTTAGTTCCCTCGGGCAAATAATGACCGAGTACTGTCACGCCACCTCGAGGGGTAACCCGTTCAAATGGAAGAGCAAATGGGGGATGCACACGTGCGGCTTCCTGGATACAAGCGTCCAGAAAAGGCAAATCACGAACTTGTTCCCACAGCGGATATGGCCTGGTCAGGTTGGCCCCGTCGAGTTCGCGTTGCAGCTTTTCGAGGGAATCGGGGTGAGAAAGAAGGTTAACTGTTTTGGGTCAATGGGACAGTTTCTATCCTCTCCTACGTGCAGAACAATTGCATTTTTTGCGCCTTTCTGGGGCCATGGGGATCGGACTCACTACCCAAGTATTAATGTCTGGTCTAGCATCGCATAACACTATGGTAGAGAAGGAGAAGGTAGGTTCACTCACCACATAGCAGTTTTCATTACGGTCCCAACAGAGTCGGAGCCAGCGATGATATTTGAAAAGGTCCATGCTGTAGAAGCCCTATGAGCAGTATCCGTATCAACAAAAGCTCCTTTTCTGCTGAAGAATCTATTGGTTTGGGGGAGGGGGGGAAGGGGGGGAGACATACCATGGTGGAAGCTTTGGACTCTGGCGATGGATCTCGAGGAAACGGTCCAAGAAATCCTTCTTGCGAGGTGGAATATCTGCATCTTCCTTGTCGTTGTCTTCCTTAGCTATCCGCTCCTTAATAGCTCTGCTTGCAAAGTCTAAGATGGACATGGACGGTGTCTTTTTCTGTAGCTTTCGAAGGGTGTGCACCAAACGATTTTTGTACAGGATCGGGTCAAGCCAGGTTATTTGTGTCATCTGCGATATGAATCATCATCATTATCACTTCTTGTTCGTTATTATGTCCGGACTTCAGGGCAAGACGCACCGGTGCTGCCAGCCGAAAGAACCGATAGACCTCGCTCAGCATGCCATTCACATCACGACCTTGCTCAAGAGCGCCATACTGCTTTGAAAATGACAGGGTCCCCATAACGTCAAATGCGAAAAAATGTAACCAATCGGCGCAGTCGAATGTCTCACCCGTGGCCACGAAGCGCTCATCCAACTGCTTAGATAGAACTGCAAGCACTTCATCCACTAGACCTTCGAATTGAACTACACTGGAGAGCGAGAAGAGTGGGGCGATTGGGCTTTTGATTAGCTTGTGCATTGACTCATCCTGGGTGTTAAACACTAGGTATATAGGGCCTCGTTCGCTTGTATAAGGACGCAAAGCAGAGTAAAGATCACCCTGGGATAAGCCTTAGCTTGACCTCGAGTGTCGATTGGGAGTGAAGAAAAGGGTAAGGAGATCATGGACAAGCCAACCTTGGGGAAGCCGGGCCGAACAGGATAGACGGTAGGAATAGCTTCGGGGTTGCTGAAGGAAACCATGCGTGGTCCAATGCGGACTACATCCCCATATTTTGCATGCGCGGCTTGATGGTAAAGATGCGCGCGACCGGTTATTTGCCACCATACACGAGGCAGGTTGGAAATGCTGGCGAGAAATGGGCCAGGGATGTGCCTCAGCAACCACCATGTTCGGGCAAGTTTGAGAAGACCCAGGATGAGCGTGAGGCCTCCGGCCCACAGTAGCCACCATCCTGTAGTTGCTGTGGTGAGCTGCTGCCATTTTCCAAGGAAAGCATTCAGTGCAAAGATGCCATTAGAGGTCTCCATTGTGTGTGGGCTGCAGTAGCTGGGAATTTCCTGTATACTGTGTGCAGGATAACCAAACGATAACGGTCGTGTGCGAGCAGATTTGACCTTCGTTGTCTTTTATCCTGCCTGTATGTTTAGTCATGACAGCAGATAGGGTACCGTAAGTTTTCAGGCACCCACTTTGGCCAATTTCAGACATATTCTTCCTATTTCCAATCGTCATCAGGAAGTTACTCGGCTTTGGGATGTTCCCCCTCTCCTCTCAGGGGATGACTGGTCTTCGCAGTATCTGGTGCTTTCCCGGGGAGACCGCAGTTTACGGTATCACAGGCGAAGATCATGACTTAAAAAGACAGTTGCAACTCTGTTGATCACTCCCGATGGTGCATGCAGTGTTGAGACATCCTAAAGTGGCCAATTATTATATGTATTTTAACTAGACCCCTGACATGCCCAGTTCTAGCGGTGAAACAGCCCCCTTCACCGAGTACACAAACTATTTATGCCTTGGCAGGTGATCTCTGACACGGGCACTGCATGTCACACCAGGCTACATGCACAACATTTCCTGCATGCAGTGGGGCAGAAGACATATGCTCCCCTCTCGTCGCCTCTTCAAGCTGGCAGCCCAGCGTCGAGGGCGCAACCTTTTGTCTAATAGTTGTGATATAGTAGGTTAGTTTGCAGCATGATCTATGAGTCAACAGTCCCTATCAAACATCTTCACCATGGCCAAATCCACTAGCCCTCCAAACGATGTTCTTGGGACATTGAACGCCATCAATGCCGACTCTTTCAGTGCGGAGGGCGATCGCATCAATGCTCTCTTAGCCGCATATGCGCTAGTCAGCCGACTTGAGACCCCTTGGGAGAGAATCGCGAGGATGTGTATGGGCGAGGCGAGTCCCGACAATAACACTGATATCGTCAACAACAAGTAGACTAATCAATCCGAGCAACCATAGCCAGCATTATCAGCGAGCTTGAAGGTAGTCAAAGACCTGCGGTTATTCGAGAAATGGCATGCCGATGGCGATGGAGCGCGAAGTGGCGATGAGTTGGCCGCCCTGGCCAACTGCGAACGGGACCTCCTTGGTCAGTGTGAAGGCCTCAATTCGGGCTTGTGCAAATATTCTAACTGGCACAATCTGTTCAGGCCGCATTCTGCGACATCTGGCTACAAACCACATTCTGATTGAGCCTACAGCCGGGGTATTCAAGCCGACAACCTTTTCTCTTTCTCTTTTGCAACCTGTTTTCGGGGAATGGATCTCTTTTCTGTAAGTATATGGCTAAGGGAAACCAAAACCACCTGCTTTGATCTTTTCAATGCGCTTGACTCATACTGACCACACAAGATTTGATGTCGGCATCCCCGTCCTCCACAAAACCCCTGAGTTCCTGCAGAAGACTGGCTATAAGAATCCCACCGATCCCAAGGATGTGGCTTTTCAATACGCTAAGGGCTATCAGGGCGACATGTTTGACTACTTCACCAGCCATCCGCGGGAAGGAGCGTCATTCAACCATGTCATGGGCGGGGTGATGGCTCATCAAGCCAGCTGGCTGGAAATCATCCCAGCCGAACATTTCACGAATGGATCAGATCCCAATGGGCCATTGGTGGTCGACGTGGGAGGAAACATCGGCCACGATATCGAAAAATTCCGCCAGGTCCATCCAGAGACCGCACACCGACTCTACCTTCAGGACTTAACGGCAGTGGTTAAACTCGCCAAATGTCCCGACCCGGTAAACAAAATGGCTCACAACTTCTTCCAGCCTCAGCCAGTTCTAGGTAGGTAATCCTTTAGTTGTGAAAGTTTAGAGACAATATTGATGGTGGGTTCCTACAGGATCTCGTATCTATTATATGCATGCTGTTCTGCATGATTGGTCGGATGAGCCGGCGCGGCAGATTCTAAAGATGATCCGAGATGCTATGAAGCCCGGGTATAGTAGGCTGCTCGTCCATGACCATGTGGTGCCAGAGAAAGATGCCCATCCACATGCAACTGCGTACGATCTTACCATGATGGCCCTGTTAGCCGGCGTCGAGCGCACCGAGACGCAGTGGCGGGACTTGCTATCCTCCGTGGGATATCGGGTGGTAAAAGTATGGCGATCCCCCTTGGCTGCACAGGCAATCATTGAGGCTGTCATAGCAGATTGAGTTTGGTAGTTTTTGTATACGTGTTTCTTGTGCCGTTATGGTTGGAAAACATCTTCTCCTTTCTATTTAATTTCAAACCAATTAAATAGACATTTACAAGTGAGTTTTCACATTTACTATTCAGGGATGGGAGTGGCAGCAGATAACTCAAGCACTACCTAGAGTTGCGGTGTTCTCCGCTGCATGTTTGAAACATAATAGCCATGAATGAGAAGAAGAAGAAGACGACGAAAGAAATTGAAAAAGAAGAAGGAAAAACCGAAGAGGAAGAGTCACTAAGACAGAGACAGATCGAATATATAACCACAATGTAGCATAGTATTGAATGATAGAAAGCAGGAATCGAAATGAGGCATTGGATGATGCAATTATTATTGTTGCAATGCGTAGCAGGCAACAATGCACTGTGGAGGATGGCGGGTAATGACATTGATCATGAATAGCAATTAAGAGACCAGTTATGGCAGAGGAGTGAGGGTAGTAATTGCCTATCTCGCTCGTCCTGCCATGTCATGCGTTGCACCTCATCCCTTGCCTTGCCTTGATAACTGATGCTACTTTATCCCCCCACTCCCCCTTGCCAGCTCCCATGTCTCTCCTCTTCTCCATATCAGCCAGCCTTCATGGAAAAATCCCAGCCCCGCCCTAAGTCTCCCCCGGATTATCCCAACCCAGCCTCCCCTTTCCCTGTCGATGTCCGCATACTCAACACGTAAGCCAAGTCATCCCTGACCTCTTCGTTCAGATAATACATTCAGATCTGCGATCAGCTACGATGAAACTGGTAATACGCGCCTCTACCTCCCACCATGGGCATTTTTGGAGCCCATCCTGCGTGGATTCAGAGGACCCCAGGCCCCTATCTACTGTTTCCTAATCTCGCATGAAGAACATCACATCATCTTCTACCTTGGCTCCACACCAACTTGGAGAATCATGCACCCGAGACCGTTCGAGCAATCGAAGCAGCCACGGTCGTGAGTGACTGCAGGTACCCATCCAACCCGGACGGCCTTGTGCTGGTACAGTGACGCGGCCGGTCGCTCTGTCCGCGAGATCAGCTTTGACCACGACAGCCCCTTGCGCGTGGGCCCCTTCAACATCGTCGACTACTTTGGTGACGGATTCTTTTACATCCTCGATGCTCCCGGTCAGTCTGGGGGTGCACTTCCGTGGCCTCGCTCGCAAAACCGCTAACCCACCCACCTTTGTCTTCATGGGCGCTGATGCCTGTCATCATCCGGGTGTGCCAAGGCCATCGCCATATTTGCCTCTGCCGCTGCCCCAAGCAGAGGTAGAGGGGAACTACCATGATCCCCAGCTTTAAGTGGAAGAATATGGAGGCTGTCCAGGAGATCTGTTGGGGCAGATTGCGACCGGGCAGAATCCCCATTAAACCCTTCTTTCAGGTTGCTCGAGGACCGATGTGCGGCAACCATCTAACTGTAATTGAAACAGTCGCGAAGATTCAGGAGCTTGATGCGTTGGATAACGTTCTGGTGTTGGTGGCGCACGATTAATCTTTGCAAGGTCAGCTGAACGCGTCAGTGATTAGGAGGCTCGAGGAGTGGGCGGTGATACGAAGTAATTGTTTTGTCGTGAGATGCAACATGTGTATGGTGGTTGATACAAGTATGTGTCCTTTTGATTTCTATACATCGTCTTCTTTTTGGCAGGTTATGTGACATGTGTGTACCTTGAGTTATCATTTTTAGAGGTGACGTTTATGCATTAGCCAAAGTATCTATCAAGTTTTCTTCTCCCACATTCACGTGCCATGCAATGTATGTTCTTAGCACAGAGTTTTGATGGCGTAACTTCAACTTTCTTACAGTAAACTATATTCTCTTCGTAGTTAAAAGACTTCATGTTTCAATTTCAAACATCCATCTGCCATTTTCCAGAATTTGATCTCACCTAGACCCGAAAGGTATATGACAACATTATTCTAGGCATTTCCAATCAGTCAACATATATCACGTCGTCGTAATAACAAAGGCCATGGAATCCCTGTTTGACCTGCGAAGCGCATCTCATCGATCTCGTTGCATATTACTTGGAGAACTCGGCCCGCTTCGCTGCCGGATATCCGCAATAGCCTTGCAACAGCATGATTTTCATTATTCTTCTGCGCAAAATTCATGGCCCTGCGATATTCCTCAAGCCTTCGCTGTCAATCCTTGCCCCCGCATCACATAAAACATCTAGAACATATCGATCCAACGCTGTTCTCATATATTTCACTATTCGTGTTAACTCCTATACCTAGCTGCGATTTCCCGATAAACTATTGGCGGTTGCATATATTCGCCGATACCATTTGCAGGTACTTCTGCGTCAAACCAGGCTATGCTCTATGAGTACATCGACTTCAATGGAATCAATTCCCGGAATCTGGCCAGCAATCCACAACTTCTCCGCCCTCACGCACAGCAACTACAACCGACCCTTCTCCGCGCAACGGGTTTCCGTCCCACAACACCAAATCACCTGTGTACTCTTGGCTACCATTGGCATCGGAGTCAAGTCTCAGAATCCGCTCAATGTTGGACGATACAAGCGCGACAGCCTCCTTATCACTCAGTCCAGCTTGCTTAGCCGCCCAGCGCGCCTCCCGCGCTAGCCCATGAAGTCTGGAATCACCCTGCAGTGCTAAACCAAGCTGCACACCAGCTTCAATCAATACCTCGGCTGAGCTATCGCTGAGCGGTGGCCCTGGAAGCGCATTCCTCTTTTCCCACTTATCAGGAGCCCCGAGGTTGCCGGTTAGGATGACTGGGATGCCTGCTTCGGCTAGGGGTTTGGCGACCTAACGTAGGGTGTAAGTTATAGTGACATTGGCTGGGATAGAAATAAAGGCTGGCTTACTAGAGCAGCACCATGGCCACCGTATATAATTAGATTGACGGAAGGAAACTCTCGTTTCACCAGAATCAATTGAGAGATGTCGTCCTCGTTGTATGTCTCAACCACCAGTGGAAGAGAGCCATTTGCAGCCTGTGCATATACGCTGTGCTGCTCTGCGTCGCTCTTACTGCCCTCCTTCAAAATCTGGCGCAGGGCTTGGATTTCTGAAGCAACAGTTGGGGTATCTCCATCTGAATACATTTGTTAGCCCTTTTCCTTTTGCATCGCAGAACACCAATGTACTCACCCTTGGCCCCCTGTCCAACCGAGAAATGAAGCGCCACATCGTCCCTCCAGATTGCCCCATCTAATATCGTCGCGTTAGGATCAGTTCGCAACCCTACACTGACACCCTTGATAAGTCCACTACCATGCGGCGGAGTAATCGCTTTCGTAACTCCTCCAATCCTTGCTCTGTCAAATGCAACCCCATGTAAATGAGCTCCATATTTGGCAAAGTGGACGCTCTTTGCTTCGTTCAAAAGATCGCCAGTTGCACCACTTGATCCGTCGCCTGTCGACTCTTCGGATGAAATTGCTTGAATTCCAAGGTCATTGCCAAAGGCAATCAACCCGGGAGTAATGTAGCCATTTTTTAGGGCTACTTCGGTGACCCCATCGTCCTCGCCTCTTATGCATGTCTGTTTCGCACCGAGGCACGAAACCTTGTTATTCTCTACCACGAGGACTAAATGTTCGGCCACTTGATCAAGACTTGGGCGGTCGATAAGTGCTTTCTGAATACCGGTAAACACGAGACGTGGCTTCGAACAGACATTGATCCGCTGGTCGAGATCTGCCACCGGTCGCATCTCGGGTACACGTTGCAGATCATCGAAGCCGGAAGTCGAAGATATCTCTGTAATGTCTCGCTTCTGTAACAACGCACGTCCGTCAATGAAAACCTCGACAGCTGTGGCCCCGACTTGGAGTGGATGACTGTCCCATATGACGATATCGGCGTCGTATCCCGTACGGACGTATCCGATGCGGTGGTCCTGCTGCATTGAGTGGGCTGGTACGGAAGTGACTGATTGTAAAGCCTTATCGGCCGGTAAACCGAATGAGTGAGCAATAGAGGCTTGGTCGCTATTACATTATTAGTAGCCTGTCGGAAGAGATGCTGGGGCGTAACTAACAGAAGGTACTTGGCATAGTTCTCTTCCCCGGTGTGATCCTAAATTTATATCAGTATTATTCCGTATCTATACAGTTCAGTAGGTTGCTCCAATACCGATTTATACGCGACCCGCACTCCGTGGTCATTAAGTATCTTTCCTGCTCGCAGGTTTGCTTCATAGGCCTCGGCCTTGTACAGCGCATTGTCCGCGAATGTGGCAACCGTGACATTCCTGCATACATTATTAGTACCACCACACATATAGTGATTACATACTCACGGCTCCAAATGCTTCAAGAGTTCCGGCACCTGCCACGCTTCCAATGCATGATGGAAAGCCTGAGGATGGATACCAAACTCATGGAGGACAGCCAGCATGCGCTCCAAATCCTCCGGTGTATAACAATGGACATTCACATTCAGCTCTCCCCTTATCAAAGACACGAACGTACTCAACTCGAATGAATCGGGTCGCCCTCCTTGTTGTTCTAGGAAGCGCGATATATGCCGCGCTCGATCAAACCTGGTGTGCTCGATCTCCAACGCTCCGCGACACCAAGCAGCCTGACGCTGCTCTAGTTCCCGCGCCTCTGCAAGCTTCTCCCTCAAGAGCCAAGCAAGTCCCATTCGGGTGTGCTGGTAATTGCGTTTCGGGTTTTCACCACACGCCATCTTAAGATACCGCTGGCGGTCTTGCTCTGGGATACCGTGCTCCAGGAGTAGTTCCTCGATTACGGGTTCACCGTGTTCGCCTGACAACGGCAGATTCTTAACGGGGTAGGCCTCGCCGCCGACGATGTTTGCTGAGCCGGGTAGGACTAGCGAGGAGGTAATTCCACCCGATGCGATGATCTTGATGGTTGGATCAGACGGCGTGAAGCCGTCGATTGCGCGCACAAAGTGAGTAATTGGTCCGAGCGACTTCTCATTCACATCACTCGTTGCTACCACTTGAGGAAATGGCATTACCAGATGATGAGAGTGCATATCCACTAGGCCCGGTGTGACATGTTTGCCGTGAACGTCGATAATGTTTGCGTTCGCGGGCAGAGCATCACCTGAGCCAGTGGAAACAACTGAGGTGATAACACCAGCCTCGAAGACGATGTCTACGGCGTCTGGGAGCGTCGATTCGCCATCAAAGAGGGTTGCGTTTTGGATAACGACTGGGGTGGCTTGTCCAGAGACTGGGTTCCATCGGGGATTATTTTGTCTTGAGCTGGCCCCATCATCTGGCGCATGCAGTTGACGTTCAGCGTCGTAGCATTGTTGCAGTCCCGTGTAAAATTCATGATGCGTGGTTGCACTGGTTGACAATAGCAGTTCTCTTGGATTGGCTCCGACCAGCAGAATTGCCGCGGCACAGATTCCCGCACAGATTGGCAGTTGCCATTGTCTTATCGTGCGGCTTCGCGGTCGTCCAGAGGACGAGCTCCGAAACAGCGGGATGAATGTTTCCTCCTTGACAGTCATTGTCGACTTCACCATCGCACAATGAAGGGGGATAATTGAAGGTGAGAATTGACAGCTATCGCGGGGGAAGGTAGTTGTTCGACCCTTGCGTGACTGCAACCCGGTACGACGTCAGCATATCTGTCCAGTGGGTCCGGTCGCATTTCTTATCAGATATGCTATAAGCCTAAAACTGTCTATCTGTCCCGTCCACTTAGGGCATAGTGCAATTGGTGGGTGACACTGAATCGGAGGGTTCCTTATTCTTCTGTCATGTGTTTACGAAGCCTAATAACTGTTCCAATTTCAGACAATAACCGGAAGCTAGCGCGTGGGCGACCGAATGCTGCCCCTTCGTCCCTGTAAGCCGCGACGGATGAAGCTCTTGGCCTGTCTTCCCGCTTCGGCCCGTCTTCACCGTCTTATCGACCACCGAACAATTCCATTACATCTAGTGCTGACAGCGGATCAATGAAGCCTAAGACCCAATATCTTAGCGAGCCGACCTATTAGGTTGCTCAGCCTCACCTGGTCCATAAAATAATTGGGGGCCATCTTTGGAATCGCTACCATTTATTAAGCGTTCCTCCCTTCCACGGAGTAGAATTAAGCATCATCGAGTTTACCTCTCCACGATCGCAATATGTCCAACCCAACACTAGTCTTCTGTGCCGGTGCCTGGTACTCACCAGTAGCATTCGGTCCACTCATCGAGAGGCTGCCTGAGTATACCTGTCGCACCGTGGCCTTCCCCTCCATCGAGCAAGCCAATGAAGTCAAAGACCTCCAGCCCGACATCACTGCCGTCCGCAGTGTGGTCGAGACAGAATGCGATGCCGGAAACAACGTTGCAATTGTCCTGCACAGCTGGTCTGGTCTCCCCGTCAGCAGTGCCCTTGATGGACTCAGCAAGTCGGAGCGCCAAGAAGCGGGTAAATCAGGGGGCGTGGTGAAGCTCATCTACCTCTCTGCATTTATTCCGGAGGTTGGTGAGAGTTTGATCGGGGCATTTGGAGGGGTGCCACCGGATTGGTATGTTCGGGATGTGAGTATACCTTCTGTCCTTGTTTATATCTCGATAGGATTCTAATGTGGTGTAGGTGGAGAATGGCACCGTGCTGCCTGACGATCCCTTCAAGTTATTTTTCCACGATGTTCCCGATGGCCAGAAATGGGCCGAGACATTGCGACCCCATGCATGGGCGACCAAGAATAGCCCTGCCACAAGTGCAGCGTACCTGCGAATTCCATCTGCCTATCTGCTGTGTGAAGATGATCGAGCAATCCCATTTTTTGCACAAGAAGGAATGGTTGAAAAGGCCCGAGCCAAGGGAGCCACGTTCGAGACAGACAAGGTTAAGACGGGACATACGCCGTGGCTGGTGGTGCCGGATCAGGTGGTGGAGTTTGTGAAGAGACATGCATGAGAGTAATATAATTAATTTGAAGAGCAGTCATTTCGATTGAACGAGTCCTTCCATCTGCATCCTGCTTCCCTTCAAGTGAGGGGTTCGAGCGTTGAGAATCACATCGTGGCGGGTGGTCCCATTACCGGAGCCCGTCCGCGCCTGTCTTCCTGCATGAAGCTAACGGCTTAGTTGCTTGGTTTAGTCTTCTCATTACTCATTCACACTTAATATCCTGCTTAACTCTGCTACTACTGGCTCTCTCTACTCTCTGGCGGAAGATATAATACCCCTTTCTCTCGATACTCTCAGCCCGGTAGGGCATTGCGCCTTTGTGCAATCCCGACCTCTACAAACCCCACCAAACCCTGCATAAGTACCCCATCTCGTCGTCATCTTCATCACTGCCACTGCCACTGCCACCACAATGGCAGCAGAAACACCCTCATCGCCCCTCCATCGCTCCCTCCTCATCCCGGAAATCCTCGAACGAATCCTCATCCACCTAGACATCCACACTCTCCTCTTCTCCCAACGCGTCTGCACCGCCTGGGCCTCTCTAATTCAAGAATCTCCGTCCCTCCAACAAGCCCTTTTCTTCGCCCCAGCTCAATGGTCCAAAGAAGACATCATTTACAACCCCCTCCTGATCAAACATTTTCCCCCGTTCTTCCCAGGTACCATCCAAAACGACCTCGTTAAACCGCGAGACTGCTACCCACCTCACTTCCTCCCAATGCAATACGTCGGCAATGAGAACGCGTGGAGCCACCCCGTCAAGGACGACCTCACCCGAGCAGAAGTCTTCTACTCCGAGCTCCCTCTCCAAAAATATCCCCTGCGCCGTAAGGCGTACCTGTACCCCCAGGCATCCTGGCGTCGCATGCTCACCCAGCAACCGCCCGCACCCCACATCCCAGTCCTCCGCGTCTGGTCCTGGGCCCGGGGCAAAACCTTTGATCGTTACCGCATCCCAGGCACATTGAAAGACGTGATGGATCTGGAGAGATACGTCCAACAGAACCCAAAGGACTCCGAACCACCCGAGTCTTCGTCTTCTCCCACTAACAACCTCGACGACGGTGGTGGCGTCACAATGGGCCTCCTCTTCGACTACGTGACCTGTGATCTGGATCTAAAGTGGTGGATGATCATGTGGGGAGATCTGCCACCCGTTTCGATGGCGCTGGAACTGGGACCGGAATATGTAGATGCTTATAAGCGCGCAGCGGAGGATGGGAGTATTGTGATTCTCACATTTCAGATCGTGCAGGGGGCTGAATGGTGGTATGATATTGCTGGGGCGAATGCGAAGAATCTGAGGTTTCGTATTGTCGATGAGTATAGGGCTAGGGGGTGGGTCGGGGAGAGACCGCCTACGTTTTCGAATCGGTTGAGGGCCGTGGAGAACGGGAGATTTCCGCATTTTACCACGCAGGCGCCATTTCTGGCGAGGTATTTGTTGCCGGGGTGGGGGGTTGCTGTGGGCTAGTTGTGGGTTAAGTGCGTACTAGATTTGTGTTATTCTTTGTTACGTTGTCTGATATCGTGTGAGAGATAAGAGTTTGGCTATACACGGTCCGGCAAAGCATAGAGACGGGGTGTTGTACTCCTTTAGTGTATTCATCGAATGTATCACAAATAAAAATCACCATAACCGAGTACCAGCCCCTACTGCGCACCCTTAATAATATCCGCCGCTCTCTCCGCCACCGCATACACAGTCGACATAGGATTCGCAGTCGTCATAAGGGGAAAGATACTCGCATCACACACCCGCAAATTCGTAGTCCCATACACCCGAAGATTCTCATCCACCACCCCCCCTTATTCCCGTGGAAACATAGCTGCTGTACCACTCAAGTGATAGCTCGTAGTAGCAGTATCCCGCAATTCTTCTTCGCTGACTCCAGATCCATCAGAGATGCATCCGGATGGCTCCGACATCCGCCCTCCACTAGATAATTTGCGATAGGCTTGACGCTGTGAAGTGCTCAACACTCAATAAATTCCGCGCAATTATATCTATATCCAGAGTATTTAAAAATTTGAAAATTAGCGAGGATTTATGATTGGTGGCATAGTGGGATCCGCTGACCGCTCCGCGCGAGAAAGGCACTGAGGTACTTTCCGGCTTCGAGCACAATAACCGACCGGCTGAAGTCATTCTCGGCCCATCGAGCAGCGAGTACGAGACCTGATAGTCCTATACCTATAATCACATAGTCTGCCTTCAAATGTGTACTAGGAGGGGAAGTCGTTTGTCGTAGCTTTTTGGTGGTAGATGCGGAGAATATGAAAGATTAGCGGAGAAAGGGGGAAGTATGTAGGGCTCTATAATGATAATTATGAATGGCTGCAAAAAACTGGCTCTCTCCAGACATTAATACTCTTAATTCGAGAAATATAGAATGAAAAAAGCAGCATGCGAGGCTCGATTGATCCTCGATGGTGTGAGATCGTCATCCTTCAGCCCCGTCCACTTACCAATCGAAATAGTTTGGGTAATCCTGCTGCTTGCTGAACAGCGACAGTTCATGATATTACGAACCACTATATCCACAGCGACTCAGTAAGCGGTATGCCTTATTTGAGTGTTATGTATGTTGGTTTTGTTGCGCCGTGTCAGTCTCACTGAACATTCTGATTGCTGCCAGCCCCCAAGCTGCCCCAACCTCCGTTTGCTGGAATGGAAAGTTGATTTGAGGTCCCGCATTCGTTCTATCCAATACATGTTTTGCTACTTTGTTACCTTGCTTACTATTTGCATAGAGGGCTGCTTACTTTTTGTTCGTTCCGCATGAAGGATTGGCCCGGTTGGGATATGCAGAACGCAGAGTTGGCTTAGCTCGGGTTGTGTAGCCGCACAAAACAAACATTGTAATGGCAATCGTTCCTGTTATGTGAGACTTACTACTCATCATATTTCTCTCAATGGCTTAAACAAGCACATACGACCATAGGGTGTGGAAAACAGGGCTTCCCGTCCGCTCAGCCGTACTTAAGCCACACGCCGGGAGGTTAGTAGTTGGGTGGGTGACCACCAGCGAATCCCTTCTGTTGTATGTTTTTGATCTTTATTTTGTATGATACTATCAAGTGAACTGAGGGTGTCATTGTTTTGTTGCAACAGTATTATAGGATAGTGCAGTAAACGAGATTAGATTTTGCGAAGCAAAGCTTGACCAATGTATGGCTCTACAATCAACGCTTCTGATTGGTAACAGAAACGCAAAGTCCCCCTTAAGATCAGAAGAACTATGTATTCTACCAGTACGAGAAATAGAGGGGCAGCATGCAATGCTTACTGGTGGTGCGTAAGACCGCGTCGTCATTCAACTCAGCTGTTCCACCAATCGAAGCAACTCGGGTAATCCTCCCGCTTGGTGAACGACGATCTTTTGGGACATCGGGAGGTCACAAGATGTTGGGTTTCTGCTATCTCCACGATAGTCCAGGGCGAGAATATATCTGCTGTAGTGGGTAATAGATTTGGGGCACACATTAAGTATTGCTAAAGCTTTTATGATCTTATGTTGGGTTTGTAGCGCATGAGAACCTCCCCCAGTCTGAAATAATGGGCTTGATCATAAGATTTCAGCTTCAAGTAAGCTTGGGTAGTGTAACCCCAAGAAAACATTCCTCTTCTTTAATCAACCTACTATCTATTCAATTGTAATGACCTTCTAAGCCGCTCGTCTTGAGCATTCCAATCTTATAGCAGTTGGCCGAGAATATTAGCTTTTCGCAGTAGGGAAGAATTTGCCCCTTAAATGCAATGGGTACAGTACAGGTTCTGACTCTCCAGTAGATTGCTTTCACAATATTTGCATCCGTTCGCTTTCGTAAAGTCATCATCCTTTTTATTATTGTTTGCTCTTTCTCCCTTAGAAATCTGCGATTGCTGTGTAAAATGCGTTAGTTACACAATGTATCTAGCGGCGGGATAGAATTGTCTGGGCAGAAAGCCTATTTACTAAAGAACGTTCTCTGGGAAAGTCTACAGTTTTTCAAGTGGGATAGAAGTGGCCTACTGATGATTGAGAATCAGTAGCTGTCAAAGAAGCCTCTACCTAATATTCACTGCGGAACGCGAGGAAACGCTATACATAACCTCATGACTCCTAATACCGCCTTATGCCACTTTTCCGGGGGTTCCGCTCTCCAAATGATCCTGTCTGATAACTAGACACTAGTCTGGTAATTTCTGCGGTTATTATATCTGGGGTAATGGAAATCTGCGAGTCTGGCCTTTCTATAGCGAAGCAGGATAGGATCAAGAATAAACAGCTTAATCTATAATTGATCTACATAAATGATGAAATCTATTACACTAGCAGCGATGTAATGAAAATTGTTAACTACTAGTATTTTAGCTGTACTGAAGTGGAGCATGAAGATTTTCTAGCCTGACAGTTACTCTAATAGAAAGCAATAAAATTCTTCTAATCTCATCTGACCGCTTACCAATAGTCTTTATACTGTTACATAGCCATTTTCATATTTGGAGGCAAAGACCCCACGAGCTTCTCATAGATCTTTTCGAGATTGAATTTCTTCAGTGATATACCCAGGAGTTGTGCTCTCCAGCAGTTCAATCCGAATGTTTTATCCTACGTCACTATTGTATTCCATACTCGATCGCGTTACATACTCCAAAGCTATGTTGCATCAAGCAACTGTAACAGGCTTTCTTACCGAAAGTCTCTTTTCAACAATAGCAGTATAAATAGAGACTACCAACCCCTTTACTCTCTCAACAAGTGATACTCCGAGTATAATTTTTTCCGAGCCCTCGATTATAAAGTTCACATTGTCCAAGACTGATTCTTATAATCCGCCATGCACTTCAGCTATCTCTCGGTCGCTATGCTGTCCGCTGGCTCCGGTCTGGCACAAGAGGGTGCGTTCAGTTACTACTCCTACCCCTCCTGAATAATGGTTCGACGGTGGCATAACTGATCAGTACCATAGACGGCGGCGACAATATCTCTGTCAATTGCTACTGGCTGGGGCCAGATCCTGGGTGTTCTCCAGAAGAGTGTTGGATACGGGATGATTCCCGCCCCTATCAAATCAGGACTAGTAGTTGCGGCGACGGTGACAAATGTATTCTTGGGGGTTACAAGAGATTTTGTTGCTCGTACAACTGGTAAGAAATGCCCTTTGCCACCCTTCTTGCCTCAATCAATTGTTACGTGGTACTAACCCTTACTCAGATGACGCGACGTGGGACTGGTGCCTAGCAACTGATGACTGTCGGCCCGAACCTTAAGTGCACGTTGAGTCGATGATGTCTGGCCTCCGCTTAGTGAAAGTTGTGCTCAGCCTGGTGCAGTCGCAGGGCATACTATTAGTCCAGCAGACAGAAGGGAGCAGCGCCGGAAGAGAGAGTGGGAAATGGCTAAGTGGACTTCGCCGGATACACAATTTGCATTAGTATCATGTACATGTACCAAGCTGTTGCAGGCTATATCAAATTCACCGCGCGTTCTTTCTGCCATTTACTTGAAGGTCTGAGCTGGCTTGATAATTTGGCTAGCATAACTTCTCTCCCTGGAGACCCCACAAATAACAAGAGAGATGAAAGAGAGCATGGCTACTGTTCGAAATATATTTTTTACTAGGATAGTCTGCCCACACTCCCCTGGATTTACCTCAGTATGTTTGTGGAATGGTAAGGTCCCGCAGGTTCTGCGGGTAATGATGGCCTTTTTGGCCTTTGTGGTAGTTATTTCTAGGTAGCTTCTTACAGCAGAAATGTTGACACGTTAAAATCTTAGAATACTGACAGTGCCCTAAGTTAATCTCAGGATACTTGACTAAGTAGTGATAGTTGAGGACATTTGAAGTGTTTAGTAAGCACCATCATATTCCTTCATCGCTTGTATTCAACCGTTTCTTTAGCAGATGGCAATAATTTTTCTGTCATTGGGCTAAACTGGCATTCTTGAATTCAGTCTGCCGGTGAAGCGCCTATTACGCCTGTTCCGCAGTACAGGCCCGATATATTCATCAAGCTGCCAAACGTTCAGGCAAAAGGATTCCGCCAAGCAACCTGAGTAATTCTACTTCGGCAACCAAACTGCCTGGGCTCTTTGAAATGCGTACAACGTGCCACACTTTTATTATCAGTCGATTGGCTCATCCGAGAAGAACGATCCTCGTGTATAAGACCAATACGGATCCCACTAGGGAGGCTCAAGTTTGGCAATGTGGGAGGGCTAAACCTCTCCAATACAGCAATATGTGCGACATGTCTCTGCAACATGGTTGGATCCTTGGTTAGGTGACCTGCATGCAGACACGTATGCATGCATCTCGCCTTGTACGGTTGTACCACCAGCCTCATGACCCATGGAATAGTAGAGCTCCAGTCCCCAACAGACCCACCAGTCACTGCAGCTTCTCTTGACACCGCTGCGGCCCGTGCGATCCTTCCGCGTCCCAAACTCTAAAGCTTCATCCCAGATCCACTGGCGATCCACCACATCCACCAAGCCCATTACATCTACTGCACCCACTCTATCCACTACGTGAGTACATCCACTTCGCCCACTATTCAGTCATGGGGCGTCCCACCACTGATGGGTCGCCAATTACCCGCTGATACGCAATACACAATAATCCTCTCCACTGTTTAGCCCCTAAGATACATTGTGAGTCTAGCATGCACTGCAAGTCCTACAGATTGCGCTTCAGAACTTCCGGGCTCTTCTCAACTGGGCTAGAGATCACCCTCACATCAGCACTAATCAGGTATCAACGTCTGTAGTCGTGTGCAAACTCATACTGGCTCGAGCCGGGGATTTGACGTGCCGTAAGACGCGTCAGCATCGATGGCTCCGGGCGCGGATTGAAGAATTGACAATTCCGAGATTCACGGGCCTCATTACTGGGCCGATTATCACAGTAGATCTTTTGCCAGTCGGTTGCAGCTCATGCGCGGCTAACATGACCAGGCTGGGATATGGACATCATTATACCGGGCTTCCTACAGCTAGCCGATGTCTGGAAAGAGGCGACGATTAACGCGACTACTTGAGCTCCAGTCACTACCGTTGTTATTGCAAGAGGCCTGAAAAGACAGGTGAGATCCAGTATCCTGATGTCTTACTATCTCCTTTTCAGGCAGGCATGGAATTCTCTCGCAAACAACCTCCTTCCTCTTGAGCTTGGCTTCGTAGGTTTGTCCAATGTAGGCTCTTATAATCTGAGTCTTGAACTTGCCCGTATGAGGTCTAATCTGTAAGAAGCGTTGGAACTCCTCCCATTTTCTCCGCCTTAGTAGTACTTCATTACTCACTCCATCACAAGAAAAGACCACCACTTATTGAGTTTCATGTAATTGCACAATGACTGAGTCTGATACTGCTGCAAGTCTGATACTGCTGCATAGTGGGCACAAGGTGCTCTAAAAATACCACGGAAAACGATTGCTTCCACACATCATCGATTACTTCGCGCATGAGAAACTTGAACGGGTCTTTGCTTGCATCCCAAAACCCAGTGATGTCACTGATAGCTTTCGTAATGTGACTATGCAACTCATGGCCGCAGCCGTGAATCAAATTGCCTGCTGGGTAGATCGAACCTTCCGCCAGACTGTCAGCCTGGATATGCATGGAAGGGAATGTGAGAAGGGGTGGGTTGTGGCGCATGGCTAATTAGCTTCGTGGACTTTATAGAAGGAACCGGAGCAGGAGCGTGCGAAGGTGCACCCGCCCTTCTCCTCCTGGGTGGGCAGATGGCTTCCACCGATGGACACGACATGTCTCAGTTGGCCAGTCCTACATTTGCATCTCTAGGATCGATCACTGAGACAATGTAGAGAGATGGTGTCAAGACTGGGTTTAATATTCGCAGTGAGGGCTAGCAGGTGGTAGCACAATCTCATCTCCCCTGTGCCACCAATCCAACCCATCCACACGCACAACCCCAGCATCTACATAAACAAACCAATCCAACACTCAATTCTTCTCACCTCCCCAAAGCTTCTCCCAGAAACCTCCTCTTCTTCTCCTTTACACCCAACGAAGCACTAACATCCCCATTAACCACCTCCGCCTCCACCTTCTCATCCTTTTCCATACCCCTCCTCCTCCTCCTATTCCACAAATCCCCATACATCTCCCTCGCCTCCTCCTCAGTCCTAATCCTCAGAAGATCATACGTACAGGCGGCAGTCATAGCGGCGTCCCGATCACGGGTACTATCCCCCTCGACAACTTGTACATTGACCCCTAACGCACGCAACTGCAGTCCCCAGAGACTGTCTTCCTGCGAGGTCACAGATACGCTGATTCGCGTTGGAGGGACGGGGTACTGCAGAAGGTAGAAGAGGGCGTCGGAGTCGACGCCGTAGGGGAGTGGGCCCAGGACGAAGGAGTCGTTGCGAGCGATGGCGGCGGTGAGGAGGGGTGGGTAGTGTGTGTGTGGAAGTATGTTTCATTGGGACCGGTGTTGATGGGGCCGGAGATGAAGGCTGTTTGAGGGGGGATGGTGGTGGGGAGGTTAGAGTGGTGGATGGTTGGGAATGAAGGTGGGATGATAGATGAGGGGTGTATGGAATTAGAGGGTATTGAGAGATTATTGTCTAGTACGGGGTTGGTATAGTGTATGTACTATTTGCTGTGTAGGCAGTAAGATGGAGGTGGTTGGGAAACGGGTAAAGGAAAAAAGAAAAAGAAAAAATGGAGCTGCGGGGAATCGAACCCCGGACCTCTCCCATGCTAAGGGAATATTATACCACTAAACCACAGCCCCATTTGATGAAAGATACATCATCTATTTTGTTATATAAGGGAAACTTAGTGCACTCTTTCCATAGATGCTCTTATTCGTAACCAGCGGTCTGGTGTCTTGGACCACGAGTTGGTTCAACGTCGCTACCAGAAAAGATGATGTGATTTACACTCTAGCTAATAACTTACTAGTTAGAGATCTTTTGATGACCTATTGGTAGTGTGATTGCTGCTTAATTCTGGTGGATTCACTGACTCAATGGTTGATATCCGCACTTGTGCGGCGATTATATATCTTAGGCGGATGTTAATAGGACTACTCGTACTACTAGTAGTACTGTATAACAGATTAATTGATCACGCTACACCCTACCAGGCGATGTCAGAGGAGACAATTTAAACCTTTACTGCCAATAATCGATGGAAATAGTCTTTAACAACCGTTGTATCATTCCTGCTGAGGCTGCCGGAACACTGATCATGGGTCTGTCACGGAACTATGGAAATACCCGGAAAAAGCAACGGAACAATCACGGAATAAGCACGAAACTTCAATGTGACCGAACTACGGCTCCACCCACCCACCAGCCCTAACTCGTCCATCGAGCCAGGAAAGGTTAAACCATGATCGGCATCGCCGAGAGGGGCATTTGAGGCCGATGTATCCGGTTATGCCACGGAGGCAAGCCAAAATCTCGATTGATGCAGTATCCTTAGATGACTGATTGTGGGATTGGGTAGATAAAAAGTTGACTCGGCTTCATTGAGCAAGAGGGAACTGGTACAGACGTCACACAGATTCAGCAATCAGTCCAACCCAGATGCAGGTCAATAGACAGATAACATGCTCCTCCATTTCAAGTGCTGAACTATCCGTGTCACAGCAAGAAGGCAAGGATCGACTTGACCCATAACCAAGCCAATATAGCAAGCCCACCATGTCGACCATATAAGAGACACAAACTGCCCATTCTCATTCCCACCACTACAATCACCATCCTAACCCCCGACCAATATCCTCACCTAAGCACCACCAAAGTATCACAGAATGTCTCCACTCCCCCAGAATGTCGCCTTCGTAACCGGCGCCAACGGAATCAGCGGCTACGCCATCGTGGAACATTTCATCCGCCAACCCAAACTGAATGGTAACCACCACTCATCTCTTCTCGCCGAGCTACAATCCCGGTAACACCGTTGTCAAATACTCAAGGTCCAGAATCATCGTCTCCTCCAGGTGTCCCTTGCCCACACCGTGGATCGACCCACGAGTGGAATTCGTCGCCGTGGATTTCCTTGAATCCGTGGAAACCATCATCTCCAAGCTCAAGGATATCTGTGCCCCCCGTGTCACACGCTTATTTCACTTCGTACGTGCATGATGATGACTTTAGGGTTCAAGTTGCAGTTGCTTAGTCTGCAGATTGCTGGTCATAATTCCGCTCAAAAAGCTATGAAATATTCACACATCCTTCAATTCGTATTGTACATGGACTTACCCTTTTATCGCTGAATTTATTTATTTTTGTTTCTTATTTTTTATTTATTTATTTTTTTCTTTCTTTCTTTCTGTCTTTCTTTCTTTCTTTCTTTCTTTCTTTTTTTACAAATTTCAGCTATAAAACGCCAAGGTTGTACTTCGAGTGTTTTCAAGATTGTTGTAGAGGTTTTCCGACTTGCTTATGTGCCTATAACGACCACAGCATCCTTGAAAGAACATTGGATTCCTATTACTATTGCAGCATCCATCTGTCGAATATTAACATATCGCCCGCCTTACTAACTTGGCGTGGTCATAGCCATACACTTAGATCTGCCACAAAGATACCGCTCGCCTTCCCCCTTCCTATCAAAATTTGCCGATCTCTGCACTTCTTGACCTACCAGCATGTCTGACTCTGAGACAGACCTCTTCCAGTACACTAGTGGCCGTTGGCTCTGGAACGAAGAGCGACAGCTCAAGAACCGATATACTCCTTTCAATGTGCCTGAGTTGAAGAGAATTGCAGCGCATAGTATCGGTGCAGGTACCTGCACCGCAATCACAAAACTGGGAGAAGGGAACTACAATAAATGCTTTAGACTTGAGATGGACAATGGATCATCCATGATTGCACGAATCCCCCACCCCAACGCCGGGCCCAGGTACTATACCACGGCATTTGAGGTTGCAACCATGGGATTTGTGAGACACAATAAATGCTCTAATATGTGTGATCTTTCTAACATGCAATCTAGGCTCGAACGATTCTCGGAATACCGCCACCCCGTGTGTATGCTTGGGATGCCGACAAGGATAACTCCGTCGGTTCTGAGTACATCATCATGGAGGAAGCATCAGGTACCATGGTGCAAGAAGTGTGGGAAGATCCTTCCATCGATGACAAAATGGATTTCGCACAAGAGCTCGCCGAAATTCAGAGAAAGTTGCTTCAAGTACCCCTAAACTGGTATTGTGTAGTTACCCGTCGATTCTGATATATTCATTTGCTAAATTTGAATTTCCACAGCTATGGAAGTCTGTATTATGCAACCTCCAACATCAAAGATGCCGTTCTGGCTGAGACCAGTGGAGAAGTACCCCCAGAACTTAGAGACGAGATACGCCGTCGTTTTGTTATCGGCCCAGTTGCGCTAAGAGACTATTGGAACAAAGAACGTGCAAAGATGGCTTTGGATCGTGGACCATGTTTGTCTCCCAGAAAAAGCCCTTCACAGCCTCCACTCCATTACCTATCTATTTACTCACTACTCTGATCTGACTAATGTTTTGAAGGGCAAGAACCGCAGGATTATTTACTCTCCCTAGCTCGGCGCGAAGAGGCATGGTTTCAGCAACACGCAACAACAACAACAGCAACAACATCGCCATCCGAGGATTGCCCCCAGGCACCCTCAGCAACCCAAAATGGCCCAGATAGTCATCTCTCCTTGCTGCACAAATATGCCAAAGTTGCACTCCATCTTCTCCCAACCGACCCTGCTATGAATGCACCCCATCTCTGGCATACAGATCTGCACGCTGGAAACCTCTTCATTCAAGACGGTAGAGTATCTAGTGTCATAGACTGGCAAGGACAGTGGATAGCACCACTGATGCTTCAAGGACGTCCTCCAAAGCTAGTCCACTATGATGGCGAAATTATCTTGAGAACCCCGAGCACTTCGACGAAATTGATGCACAGGAAAAGTCTCGGATCCGAGAATGTATGCGCAAGTCGATGCTGTTCTATCTTTATCAACTGCGAGTTAAGAATGGGACCCCATTCTTTTGGAAGTCTTTGGATATCCCTATATAGAAACTAGGAAGGATCCAATTTCTATGATGGGCAATACATGGGAGGGCAATACATGGGAAACGACATCATTCGATTGCGGAAAGTCTGGTAATGGTGGAAAGGTATTTACAAAGACGTTTCTTTCTCTTTTTTAGGGTACAATATCTTTTGAGTAATTACTGATCATTCTTCAGATATTGGGAGTCATTGGGATTTGACATCCCCTGTCCTATTCAGTTCAAGGAGGAAGAGGTACATGACTGCATAGAAGAAGACGAGATATGGAACAACATACAAGGTTTTTGAGACAAGGCTGCAAAAGTGGTGGACAGGGAGGGCTTTTCATTTCATGAGTGCTACGATCGTGCCGTTTTACTCTTTAAAAAGGTGCGAGAGGCTTGCAAGGAAGGTATGGAAGGGAAAGAAAGGGAAATGTGGGACAATCAGACATGCTGGGTTGAGAAGCATTACCGGGCTGATTCTTGATTGTGGACTTTCTCCCAGATTGAAGTCGTCAGAGCGAACCATCGGTATTTTGTTTCATCTCTCTTTTGTTACATAGCTATTCGTCAATGCCTTAATTCGTGAAGTTCTAGTGTGCTTCCACTTACTATCGTTCGAGATGCATTGCCTACTATACTCTTTGATGCGAACAAAACCAGAGCATTGGTCAACTCTTTTAGTTATATAATGTGAAAAAACTAACACGATGTCTACCCGATGCTCACGTCAATGGTTTGGGAGACACTGACCTACACGTCTTCACTGGTAATTGATGAACAGACTACTTCTTTGTTTCCTCATCCTGTTCCCTACGAGTGACTCAACGCTATGTGGACTTTACATTTAATCAAGAAGACAAGAATCGCCATGAAGTATGTCACTGTAGGTCTCTTGATGTGAGCTACGATTATTCGCGAAGATAGATGAGCACAAGAACCAGGAAGAGGGGCGCATAGCCCAATAAGAATCTATAATTTGAGTCATAACAGCAGATTAATGACGCAAAGCGACACACACAAAGGTGAACCACAATACACCCACAGTATGGGACAAATAAAAGGTGCATAGTTAGTTCCCTGTTCATCGCCCTTCTTCACGGCGCTTGTCTCCAGGTGGGTACTTTCCCGGAGGAACCCAATGGTGGTAGCCGTGAAGTTCACACCACAAATTCGCAAGATCATAGTCCGCCTCCAATGCCTGCCTTTCCAAGGCGAGGTACCCGGGCGCGAAAATCTCCAGCTGCGCTGCCCAGTATTCCCGAGTGTAATCATTGAACCTGAGTTCGCCATTCTGCTGGGCTGTGTCCAGAATGTCAACTAGTGGCATATCCAAGCTCAGACTGTAAGCGAGAGAAAAGGAGAAGATAGTCATGATGTCGTTAGCAAAATCCCTTTGACTCTATGTCGTACTCTTCTCATACGAAGGAACTATTTGTAGGGGGTTTGCTTACGGCTTGTTGTTATGGAGAAACCAGGGATGCTCCCATGGGTCTATCATCTCCTCCAAGAACCATCCTTGAACGTTATGATACAGCATGATTGCACCCGTATGCCAAGGTCGCAGACGCGTATAAGACTTGATCTGGCCGTTCGCGTGAAGTTCGAACATTATCAGCTGGCCTGTGTTTAAAGCTTCCTGGTCGATTACTATGAAGATGTCGTTATAGAAACCTGGAAATAGCACTTTCCCAGCGTCCGTCATTGTTAGATAGCGGAAGTCCGCAGATTCAAGGCAGTACTGCGTTATCAAGGCCTCAGGTGTAGGTGAAGACCTAGTAAGATCTGGGAAAAGGGCCGGGATCTGCGGGTACGGTTCAGGCTCATGCTCCATCGGATGAGCCCCGTCATTTTGGTGAAAGTAAAGGAGGATTAGGAGCTTAACAAGCCGGACATAATTGGACGCGTGCTTTTCGCGATCTACCGGCGCGAGACAGAAGAAATGTTTTTGAGAATGACGGATTCGAGTAAACAGAGGCAGGGGATAATCGAGGGCTGTTTCGGGCAGCGACGCGCGAGCTTGATAAGACTAAAGCCATCCGTGATCAATGCTGGGTTTGAATTACTGAGAGTACAGGAGTTACTTTACGTCGCGGAAGTCTTGACTCGCAGACGCCCATCGTTCCATTAAGCGGCGGCGTTGCTGGAGCTGCTCATCCAGACTCTCTGATTCGGTCCATTCTTCCTATAATTATTGTTAGATAGATCTATTTCAATGGGAAGAAGATGATATGGCTAGTCCAAACCTGCACAAATTGAAGCCAGCCTTTGGATATTTCAGCCGTATCAAACCAATCTATGGGGCTAGGCTCTACACGAAGGCATGTTGGGATGCCGCCCGGCCAAAGGTCTGTGGACGGAATGAGTGGCTCAAGCTGAAGCATTTTGTAGAATTAAAGATGGAGAGAGACTGGGACGATTAGGAAACACCCCAGGGACGGAAAATAGCAGGACGGACCGCATTATGGTAAAACCCTACGTGGGGCCCGTTCCGAAGCTTAACCGTGCATTAGGCACCCTCCAGTGTAGGCAACATTCTTGATCGCTTTTTCCAATTCACCACCATTCCGGAGAAATCTTCAGAGACAGAAAAAAACGAAAAATAAAATAATATGAAAAGGCCTCACGCGACTGGTTTGAACCGGAAATTGTCAGTCAATCCCCTGCCACACCTAATTGTAACATAGCTAGCTACTTAATTATGGAAGGCGCAGAAGCGCATTTTTGCTCCCATAGCAAAACCATGGTACTGTCTTGCCTAATCAAGAGTCTGAATGGTTCATGATGCTCGATGCACAGGGGTACGGAGGGTGCTACAGCCAGCTACAATTGACTGGGAAGCGATAAATTTCTTCACACTAATCATGCGATGACGGGTATTTCTGGCTAGGTAGCCAGTCAATTGGCCCCAATTGAAGCTTTTCTCTCAAATTTTGGTAGTCTAGACAATCCCGCATTCCGAGGAAGGGAGATGTGACTCTGGGTCTTTGCTAACTTAGTAGTGCGGGTCCGCATCCCTGGTTATCCAGGGTCTTAGCAGTTAGCACAAAGGAAAACATCCGAGTATCCGGGGCCTGTCACCTGTGATTGGTGGATCGGGAGGTCGACAAGCATTCGGAAGTCTCGGTTTCAAGCAAAGCATTCTCCATAGGAGTTATCGCAGGATTGGGAGGCACAATAGTCGCTGGTCGATTCACTGGAACGACCTCATTAGTGCATTTTTCAACTCATGCATCGAACGGCGAGTCACGTACCAGTAACCATAAAGGCTGCAGCAATTGCCAAATTGTGAGTTCAGGCAGGTATAGCCTCCATTATTGGCCCCACACAGACCATTAGGCGAGATATTGGCTGTGGGTGTCGGGGTCGCCGTAGATGCTGAGGTCGGAGTCAGACTGCTGGCTATGGAGGAAGCCCTGCACTCGCCGTATCCAGGGTCACAGTTGGTTTCGCAGTAGTCGCTCGTTGATCCACTGATCGTGGTTGGGGGCAAACCCAATTGGTCATCACTCTAAGCGAAGTCTGGTTCAACTCACCAGTAGCCAAATTTGCTGCAGCAGTTCCCAAATTGAGAGTTGGTGCACGAATACCCGGTAGACTCGCCGCAAGTTCCATCTGGGGAGGTGTTCACGGACGAAGATGCCGTAGAAGTCGCTTCGGAAGATTGAGTAACGCTGCTAGTAGTCGTCGTGCTCGCGCTGTTAGTAGCAGACGCTGAACTCATGGAAGCCGTTAGTCGCGCTGTTGCAGTGGCTATCATTTGACTGGTGTAGGATTCTGTCTCGGTCATCGAGGTCATCAGTGAGATACTGGTGTTGAAGGCTTGAGTCGGCAACGGCTTCGAGAGACCAAGCAAACAGATGCGATCGTATTCCTCCATGAAAGCGTCATTAGTAAGCATCTCGGATGTCAAGGAATCATCTGCAGAGATATTGTAATATGCCATCGCTTGCCGACAGAGAGTGTAATTTTGAGTCATTTCCCACACGGTGTTATTGTATGTAGCTGTAACGGTGGCGAAGGTCGGGCTCGTTGGAAGCAGCCACCTGAAGATTGATTCAATATCGCAAACGCAAACCCAACCCCAAACTATCGAACAGAATTTTTTACGTTGTAGTACGGTTGGCGGTAACGGTTGCGTTCAGATTGATAGTTGAAGCCAATGTGGTATATGCCGTCCAGCTTGTCGTTGAATAACCGGCATAGGTGTTGATGTTGCCCACCGCTTGAACGCACTAGTGGAATTGAAGATTCGAATAAGTTCCTCTCCATAATGGCTCTAGGGGAATGAATTACATACATAGCTATTGCCTTGCCATAGGCTAGAGCAGCTGTTGCCTAGTTGAGTATTCAGAAAGTAGAAGTCCGTTTTCGATATACCGAACATCTCTGTAACGGTGTCACATGTCTCGTTAATTTGAATGGTGTGCCAATAACCACAGTCAGTGTTCGAGGTAGTTACTGCATTGCTTGGGATTGGACTTTTGGGTATTAGCAGCGAGCATTATCTTGTCTCCAGAATCAAAGGTTCTCTCACACTGCGGAACTGGCAGACCGTAAAGGAAAGGCTGTTGGAAGAGATAAACTGCCTGGGGGACTGTTGTACCACGGGAATCAGTGTTTCTGTCATGTCGGTATCAAGGACAGTATAGGGAAGAGCGTTACCTTAGACAAATGTATTGGTCAACTAAGGTATTAAGGTTGGAACATTGCGAGTTAACCCTGGGATTCCATGATCGGAAAATAGGAAGAGAAACCTTCCGGGAAATGTTGGAGAGAATGGATGCACAGGTGTCATTAGGCTGCACCAGATAGATAGAACAAGTGCCAGGAAGACAAAGGGTTTTGTTAGCGGTCAGATACTGACAACCGACCCCCAGCGCGTTGAGGTCTGCCAGTAGTGGAGTAGACACATTGGAGGCCAGAGAGATATCTACACACGTTTCGTTCCCTTGCACGGTGTATAGATCGACATTGGGGTCACTGACATTACAACGAGAAGTAGCTGCTGAAGACTGACTAACAGTTCCGGAAGTGACAGATGCGGTGGCGACAGTACTGGAAAATGCATGGGCAGTAAGTGTAAAGATGAGCCAGCTCGAAGCAATCATAGCAGCGCATAATTGGCGAACCAATGCCATTCAGTAAGTTAAGGCCGCAAGGCAACGACCAACTGAGCAGAAATTAGCTTGAAGAAGGAATACGGACCTCCCAACATGAGAGAAGGTCCTCAACAACTTATACAGAGACGATTGTTCATTTTGTAATGTATCAATACAACGGCACTCATCCGAAGACAAGAGAAGAGGGCCACGAAGTGGATGGAATCTTAGCCTTTGTCGCTAGCGATCCAGACCTGCTCAGATGATAGGCAGGGTTTCAAGTAAGATCTGGTATTCCAATAGCTGGTGGGGATAAGGAGCGAATTTTCTGGTTGATGGTTCTGCGATGTGAGATGTAATTTCCGAGTCAATTGTGGATTCCTTACTTGATCAAGGACGAAGGATGTCATGTCATCTAAGTCGACAGAATCCAGGCGAAGGCATTCTGAGCGATATCTTCATATTCACCACCCCTGAAGAGTTTTCTGTAATTAATAGTTGAGGCATGCAAGATCGAATGGCGTGCAAACGCAGAGTTTGCGTCTAGTCAACAGGAGCCAAGGCGGGGATGTTAGTAGTTCGGTGCGTGATATTGCTGTACATTTGGAAAGTGGCCTAGTAACGATGTGACTTTGATCATAAGGAAAAGGTATGTGAACAGAAAATGGCAGGCATCAAGTGATATATAGAAGGTTTATCAATGAACATGTGCTCCCATTAGAATCCTTACTGCTAGAGTCTTAAGTAGGTTTCTGAAACGAAGCAAAGAATCCGAAGAATCCAATAGTAATATCTGGTTAGATAGTATTTTTCAAGACCACAGCTTAAATCTTGAAGCACTCTCTCATCTGACACATCTTCACCGGTAACATCGTTGCCTGAAATTATGAATAAAGCACTAGCCAACAAACCAGAATAACCAATTTACCTGACAGCCCAAGCGATCACTGCAAAATAACTTTTCCAAATGTGTCCTATCTCCACAATTCGCTTACCATAGTCCTAGCCCCTCGAGTGGATAATCATATACCAGGAACCACTACCTACAGCACCTGCATACAACACTAGCGCAGGGCCGTTATCACGCTAGGGATAGATATTTTCCCTTGATCTTGCATACAACCAATCGGGTACCTCAACGAGACCCATAATTGATGGTGGTTGCCTGGGATATATATAGGGCCGCTTCGTGCATGCCGGACAGACAGCCACCCTGGATAATACTATTGCCAGCATGACAGCACTACCGGTAACCCCAACGCAAGGAATGGAATGAGCTGATAAACCAAACATTACCCCTTGACAACAACCTCAATAACAATTTATTTTCTTCTTGTTTTGCTCGTGCGAGGTGCAAAGTTTATGTTCTACCGGCTTTCGTTTCTTACCATTGAACTCTATTCAATCTGCACTACACCAAAATTCCCACCACCAACAAAATGCACACCCTCAAATCCCTCCTCCTAACAGCCCTCACCCTATCATCCACCCTCACCCTCACATCCGCCACCACAACCAGCAGCAGCAGCAGCACCACCACCACCACCACCACCACCCCAACCTACAGCATAACCGAGCCCACCTCCGGCGCCATAATCTCCCTGAACACCGCAACCGTCATATCCTGGAACACAACCGAACCCAGCACCTCAAAGTTATCCATCCACCTCTCCAAAACCACCAACGAAACAACAAACTTCTACACCATCGCCACCAACATCTCCAACTCGGGCTCAATCTCCTGGTCACCACCGTCGCGCGTGGGCACCGGCTCCGACTACATCGTCGTCCTGGAACCATCCTCCTCTTCATCCTCTGAGACATACACCTCGTCCCCCTTCACCATCTCATCCTCCACCAACGCCTCGACAACATACTACCCCACCGAGGGGGAGGTAGTAAAGACAGGCCAGACTACTATTATTACCTGGGAAGTGGAGAGGAATGTCTCGGAGGTGAGTATTTATCTCATGGAGGGGGAGTTGAAGAATGGGAATGGAACTGCGGATGGAAGTGGGCTGAAGAATGTGACGACTATCACGACGGATATTGCCAATTCGGGGGATGTGGCGTGTGTATTGCCGGGGAGTGTGAAGAGTGGGGATGATTATCGGTTTGCTATTGTGGATGTTAAGGATGAGGGGAGGGTGAAGTATTCGGCGGTGTTTGAGGTTGTTAATTCGGGTGGTGATGGTGATGATTCGAGTTCGGAGGGTTCTTCGAGTGGTAGTGGTAGCGGTAGTGATAGTGGGAATGTGAGTGGGAGTTCGTCGAGTGGGGATGGGTCTGGATCTGCTGCTGGTAATGGGAAAGAGACTTCGGGTGCTGCGAAGGTTTGGGGGGTTGGGGTTGGAGGAAGATGGGGTGGGGGGTTGTTTGTTGGGCTGGTGGTTGGGTCTTTGTTGGTTTAGAATAGGTAGGATTTGATTTGGTTTGGTTCTGCTTGTTGTCAGTGTGTGTGAGTGTTATAGATTTGTTGTCTGAGTACGATTCAGCTATTTAAAAAGCAAAATGTAGTACAATATCGAGTGTACGCGTTAGTAGTTTAATTACTAGCTCTCCTAATGCATGATGTTGATTTAGGGCTAACGGCAGCGCGGAGCAACTAATTTAGTCGATCCACAGCGGGAATAACCTTGTCGAAGTACTCCATAGTCCGTACCAAGGTAGCGATATGGGTCGATCACGGTAATTGAGACGACGCACTAGATATCAATATTCAATGGCAATGTCAATATTGATTAATACCTCGAACGCAGGACGTCAACATAACATTTAAGCCGTGGCGCTGTCCGTGCCACAAAAGTGGTGAGAAACGTGGTCGTGTGTCGTGTGACTGACCCTGGTAACGAGGGTACATACTACGTACTTCCCGCGAAGTCACGGTGACCTGGCGGTACATTACATACAATACATACCTTAAGGCAACGTTCCAATACACGTAGTGTGACGAACCAATGAAACAGCCTGACATATGAAGACTGTTAGTATACTCCCTACTAAGAATATATGATATGATGCATGATATCATTTCCACAACTTTACATAGTCACAGTAGTAAGTATAGTATGAAATAGCCCCAACTCCACCCAACTCCTCTCCAATCCGATCCCCACATCACCAGAGAACGAAACATCCATGACCACAGAGAACCTAATACCAGCTGATGACCACACTTCCCCACATAATCCCTCCCAGAAAAGTAACAAAAAAAATATCAATCCCCCGTCCCAATCTCCAAATCCAACTGCACCCCATTAGTAATACTATAATCCCCGAGGGTAATAAAATCCTTAAAGGGGCGTTCCCCTTGCCTCTTCAACATAATCTCCCTAGGAGCCCTTCCAATCTGCGCCGCCACCAAGACCTTCAAATCCCCCACCGTATCCGACGGCAAACACGGCACCGTAGCCTTACTACCCAAACGATCATTGACCGTCACAAGGATCATTTCCTCCGTGCTAGCGGGCTTGAGTTTCTTCTTCTTCTCTTTCTTCTCTTTCTTTTCGCTGTCGGTTTTCTTGGGCTTGGTTGAGTCGCGATCACGGTCACGGTCACGGTCCCTATCTCTGGCTCTATCCGGGCTGTAGTCCCGGCGGTATCTGTCTCTATCTCCGTATCTATCGCTATTGTCTCTGTGGCTATCTCGGCGAGGAGGTGAGCGCGCGCGGTAGCCGCGGTCGAGTGGACGGTCGGTTTCGTGATTGGGGTTGTTGTCGTCGCGGGGAGGTGCGCGTTTCTCTTTCCAGCGAAATCCACCCGGGCCTTTGGGGGGTTGGCGCCGGGGTGAGCGCGAGCGTGAGCGGCGTCGCCGCGGGGGCGAGTCGGGCATGGTGGGTGGGACGGGTGTCCGTGAGGATGAGGGATGGAGAGGGAAGGAAGCTTTTTGAAGCTTGGTGAGGATGGTTGTTGACGTCGGGTGGGTGCAGAGATGGGCAGATGGTGACCGCTTTCTGTTTTGGGCAGGTACTGTTTTGGGGTGGATGCTAGTTAATTTATGTGTGGTAATGAGTCATCTATGCGGATTTGTGCATTGACTACTAAGTAGTATGCTTCATGTTAGATTCGTCTCACATACAATTCAGATCTTTCCATACATTAATATAATACACATCATATGTAGTAATACACAGACAGAACATAATCGCCGTGGGCTTATGTCCTATTCTCAGACCTATGGCTCCAGACGCCCGCGCCCATACATATGTAGTTCCCTATTTCCATAAGGCGACCTCGACATATCAAGAGAGACATGTAAATCAGAGCAATGACCTCAGTCATTCTCATCAAGCAGAACCTTCAGCTTCTGCAACTTGTCCTCACAGTTGACCTCCATCTGCATCACCACGTCCACGCTCTTCTTCTTCGTGATGAGCAGTTGCGAAACCAGCCAGAAGTTGTACCCGTTCTTAAAGAAGCCCATCGACGCCCACTCCCCGCTCGAAAGAGTGTTGCTGAGCGTCATCCAGTGCTCGCGCCATCGGGCCAGTGCGACTCGGATATGGGCTAGCATGAGGTCGTCTGGGATCGCCCGAGACTGGCTCTTCTCTGGGGGATCGAAGCTGAAGAGATGCTTCGGATGAGAATTCTGAGTCTTCCGGAGGATGGGACCTAGTAGTGACATGTGCGAATTGATAAAAGTGTACAGAACTATGTAAATTAGCTTAAGGGTATGTGCTATCGGTGGGTGACTTACCGTGAATCAGTATGAACATGTCGAGTACTGTCAGACTAGCCATACTGCCAGACGCGGATGAGTCCGGAGTGGAAGGCATCGTGTCCTTGGGATCTTCCTCGAATAGATTGTGAAACGCTTCCAAGATCGTGACTCCCCTCGAGGCCTGGAAGTTGCGATCGGAGTACGGGTGTTCGAGAGCGAAAAGGGACTCGGCGCAAGGAAAATCGCACTCGACTTCCAGATGTGACAGACGGCAAGGGTAGTTCTGAAAGAAGGAAAATGCACAGTCGAGAAGCAGAATGATGCTCATGGTACTTCTACCGTCAGCGGGGTAAATGAGAAGACGGAACCGGCACATACCGTATGCGAGACTCTGTCTGAATCCATTGAAACTCCGAGACAGCCTGGTGTTGGTTATGGCGGCATTTGGGAAGGCTCATTCGACGAGCGACCTGCTCATGTCAGAAACGTCACCTGTCTCAAGTCCATAGTAAGTACCTTGATGACTTCGCTGAACCGGTTTTCCATCGCTCGATTGCGCGCCGTCGGGCTACCCGACCAGTACTGCGCAATAACCATGATGAAGCCGGCCTGCAGGTTCTGAAACTGAATCCAGTCATTATTCCCACCATCAAACATTCGACGTCCACTGAAGGCCAAAGCCACCTCGTTCTCCGGAGAGAAGGTCTCGCTGGAGAAAATGTAGAGTTCAACAAAATCCATCACCTGCTTTGCAGCATGCTTCTCCTGCTCATCAGCCGTATACGTAGCACCCATGAACACGAGCGCTGCGAGCAGGGGCAACGCAACGGTGTTCACATTCAGTGATGCGAGGTGGACCATGGCACAACTGGGCTGCCAGTACTCCAGATACATTCGGACGAACTTGTCGATGCGGGCGGGCGTCAACAAAAAGCTTAGATATGTTGACAAACGCTCCTGCGCTTGGGTATCGAGAGGGACGGACCACGCCCGTGCTAGAATCGCCTGATACAATCCGGCTGCGTACGGTTCTTCCGGCTCATATGTAGGTTGCGGGGCGAACGCGAGGCCGGGATCTGGTATCGGGGGCACCATCGCAGGGAAGTTGGCCCCACCAGCATAGGAATCGCCGACTATTTTGTTCACATTTCCGAACGGACCATTGAAGAAATCGAGAAAAGTATCCTGGAAGAACGAGAGGGAAGCCGGGTCCGACTCGACGAACGCGGGTGCATAGTCTGACGGGTCACCTGTCCGGAAGTCGAGCATTCTCTGCCCAGCATCTTGCCGACCCTTCTGATTATGGTACTCAAGGCCGCGAGTGCGATCGCTGCGGGGAGGAAGGAGGAACTCCTCGGTGAAACTGTCTGTACCACCATTGAGGAGAAACTTGATTGACCCGCGATCCGAGGAAGCTCCGTAGTCCTCACGCTTCACCGAAGCCGAGCCGGAGACCAGCTCCAGGTTGTCGGCTGTTTGCTTGCGCTCATTGTTACACCGTAGGTTCCGCTTCTGACACGAGCTGCATGGGCTCAAACCATCGCAGCGCAGTTTCATCGATGTGCACTAGATGCCGACAATTAGCGACCATGTGGCGCACAATAGGCTGGGTATGCGATCGGCGGAAGGTCCAGGAGGGGGGGGGGGACTTACCGACTGACAGGCATGTCGCCTTCGGCCTCTTTGACCGGTCTCCGGGATCTTTTGATCCCCGCGCTTGGCACAGTCCGTGTAGTGATCGCGTAGGTTATCACTGAGGGTTAAGCAAAGGCATCAGCATCGTGGTTGGGTGGAGCGACCATGGCAAACATACATGCGCCGGTCGGGAAACCGACGACGGGCCAGGGGCGGGAGGGAGAGGGAGAGCAGAACACGAACCAACGCGCAAAGGACTCGTTGCAGAAAACGCATGAATAAGGGCGGACACCGGAATCTGACGGACAACCTTGAAGTTAGCGCAGGACGAACATTGAGGGATGAGCCAGACACGAGCCCGAAGCGGGCCGAGATGCAGGAAGGAGGGCGATAATGTTGGAACGTACGGCGGAGATGATGTCGTTTGAGATGGTCAATGCGGGTGAAACCCCGCTGACAGATGGTGCAGCAGAAGTGCTTGCTCGCGGGCTTCATGGTTAGGGGCGAAGGACATGCATCGGGGAGAAGGGAAAGGGGGGGGGGGGGGTGGAGGGGATGGGTGAGATTAACGGGGGGAGATGGAAAGTCCGGGGTAGATGGTTGCTTGAGACTAATTGAAGGGAGGGTGGGAGAGTTGGGAAGAGATGGCGATCGGAGCGGGAAGGTCAGCAGCAGCAAACGCGATCGGTTCGCCGTCGGGGGAAGTCCCTGGCACACTGTGAGCACCCGTCTCCCGATCTGCAGGGTAAAGGGCAAAGATAGATTGTCAGATCTCCGGTTGAGATCTACCCGGCAATGATCTCTTGATAGATAATAAATAGATAGAGAGATTAGATAGATTACAAAGGAGGCAGACGTAAAGATGATGAGGGGGTAAAAATTTGAAGATACGAGACAGACCGGAGGGAGAGGGTATGACACCATTCCCCTCAAGCACTGAGACTTTTTTGACAGTTGACAGGTCGGGGGAAGTGGAGAGACAAGAACAAACAGCAGAAAGAGGAGAAAGTTAAAGTGGCCAAGGATGTCTGCCTTCCCCAGCCGGTTTTCTGGGGTCTCCTTTTCGTGGACAAAAGTAATCAATCCTGAAAAGTGACCGGCTCGTTCCGTACTTACTGAGTACTGCCCTTTTCGTGGTATCCGCCATACGCTCGGGTTCACTGACAATGGGCCGCCATCTAGCAGATTAGTCGGTAATATTACCATCGAGTAACGCGGGTTCTCGGTGGGCCCGATAAGGGAGACTGCCATCCACCGCAGATAGATTACACACCACAGCAACTTCTACCCACTACTACTATCCAGTATCACGCTTAAGCTACACCAAGTGACCTACACACCCGGTTCACAGCTCGGGAACAACCCTAAATCCCATTCGGAGGGGCATGAAGACAAACCGGCAACAGAAGAAACGGCCAAGTTTCCATACCCCATACACGGCTATCTGCTCAATTCTTCACCGGCTCAACCACAGTCAAGGGAAAGTCCACCTGATCATCATCCAGATAGTTCACCTCGATCGCGTTATTCTTTTCATTCTCCGTCCATCCATCACCAATCCAGCCATTCGCGTTGTCATCCACATACTCGTAGGTGAAATCCTCCCACCGGGGATTCGAGAGTGTTTTCAGTGAGTGGAGAGACGATCCTGGCTAGGTCAATACGTGATCATCAAGGCCTAAAAGCAAGAGGAATGTTTTCATACCTGGCCACACCCCTATCACCCGTCCATCTTCCGCTCCCCCTTTATACCAGCTTCGGCATTTCTCGCTGTACACCGTGCGGGAGAAATACTGATCGCAGTGCTGCGTAAACCGTTCCACCGCATCCTTTCTAACCGACATGGACCTGGTGTTATCCCGCTGCATCTTCTGCACACAGGCGGTGAAATAGTCAACCACTTTCTCCAGCAAAAGTAACAGGTTGCCCTCCCCCAGCGCCGAATTAGGCCCGAAACAGATAAAGTAGTTGGGAAATTCGTCGACGGCGATGGAGAGGTAAGACTCGGGGGTACTCTTCCACCGCTCCGCTAGCGACAGACCGTTACGCCCCGTGATGGGGAATCTGGGTGTGAAGCTGGTGTCAAACCCGGTGGCGCACACTAAAACATCGGTGGGATGATGCACCCCGTCGGCAGTGATGACGCCATTTGCATCAACCCGGACGATCTCACTGGTGATGATCTGAACCTTGTCATCGGTCAAGGCCTCCAAGTACCCGGGCCCAGGTGTAAGTCGGCGGCAAACGGGCGGGAATGACGGAACGAGATCCTCAAACAACTCGGGCTTCCTTGCCAATCGCTGTTTCATGTTCTGGGCGAAGACATCTTTGGCCCCTAGCTGTTCTGGCGTGCCTAGCAAGGTTGCGCCGTGGACAGACTGTAGTTGAACCTCGATTTCTGATAATGTCAGCGCAAGCAAAACCAAAGTGAAAGAGACGCCAACCTTTACGGAAATTCTGATAAGCACTGTGGTCCTTGTTGAAGGTCTCGAGCTCTTCCGGAGTGAACGAGACTGGACATTCAATCAGCTAGACATTCATGTTACCAACTCAAGCACACTCACAGTTGTCTAATTTCGAACCTCGTCTCTCAACTTCTTCCCTAGCAAAGCTAGGTGAGATCCAGGTTCGGCTTCTGACATAGTGGTCCATGTGCGTCACTTGCGGTAGCATTCCAGGCACAATCTGAATACCGCTGGAGCCGTTCCCAATCACAGCGACTCTCTTGCCCTACGGACATTAGCCCAGATCAGCGATCCTTTTGGAAATGTTCAACATACACTGTAGTCATAATTCTCATCCCATCTAGCACTGTGCATCAGCTTTCCTTTGAAATCATGCAGACCTGGGATGTTCGGCCATTTCCATTCATTCAGAAACCCGGTGGCCGAAATCAACACGTCACACTGGTCTGAGTAGACCGAATCACTAGCTAGGTCCTTGACCTTTACGCCCAAAGGCTTGTCAGCTGCTGTGTCCCATGGTGACATCCGATGTATCTGACCTTCAGTTGCCATTTGCTGTCTTTTTCGTTCCACACAGCCTCCACGACTTGCTGTTTGAACTTTATGCACTTCTCGCAGCCATATTTATCCGCTACTCTCCTCCAATACTGGTATATCTCTGGGGCTGCAGCATAGAAAGTGGACCACTGTTTGTTAGGCTCAAATGTGGCCTGATAGGTGTGGGCCGGAATGTCTATAGACCAGCCGAGTTAGCCCAGGCATAAGCAGGGGGGATATGAAACATTACTGACCACATGCGCAGCCGGGGTATCTGTTTTCCAGCCACGTGCCTCCAACATCTGCATTCTTCTCGTACACGCATAGATCCAGTTTGGGGATGCGCTGTCTGAAGCGAATAGATGCAACGATACCTGAGATCCCCGAACCGATGACAACTACTCTCAGGGGTCTGGCTTCATCAACGGAGCGTTCCTGCACAATCCACGGATCAGGCGTCTTCTCAGGGGTGTTGGCAGCAGAAACGCCTAATAATTGTGCCAGGCGATTCATGGTTCTCAGTGCAGGGCTAAAGACAGAGTATGGCTAAGTTTTGAAGAGTGCTGCAGTAGAACACATAAGACTGTCACCCTTATATGTGTTGCGCAGTTGCTGGTATATCTGGGACCACCCCTCTCTGTGCATAAGCTCACTCGTGCTACAGAATATGTCAGCGTTCATGCGAATCTCGGCTGGACGCGAGGAACGACCGCGGCATTCTTCCGTCCCACCTCAGCCATCTGCGTGTGAGAGTTGTCTAAGGTGGGGTTGGCGATCAATGCCCGGGGAGGAAGCCGTGTAACCTTCCACCTTTGCTTGTCTTTCCGAAGTGTTGCTTTGAGCTGGAAGTGATCGTACCGACGTGGTAATAGTGAGGGGGCGTCTCTGTGGCAGAGTGGTATGAACCCCAGCCCGGAAATCCCCCAGCGATGGCAGTCGAGTGGAGTCTATACTGGCGATCAGATGGGCTCGAGGCAACCCTGAATTCCAGGCGGAGTCAACGAGGATCCACGGGTGCTGGTGATCGGACGGGGAGAAAGTGATCCAGTGGGGACTGCGGGTGGTCATGTAGCCAAGAGACACGATAACGAAGTCTACTAGTAGCTAGAGTTGTCTTTACCGTTTTTGACTTGGGCTGCCTTGCGAGGCGCTGGCACTAGCATGGGTACTGGCGGAGTAGAGGGTCGAATACGAAATAGGCGTGTGGAGAGATGTCTCAGGTTGGACCTTTAAGGGTATGCTCAAATTCAAGAGCTCTCTAGGGCCCTGTTGACACACGAGAAGCCAACAATATTGCCCAAGTTCGAAGGACTTTTGCTTGGCCGCACAGGTGCCTTGTGGTCTGTCTGGACTGCGTGAAGCTGCACCTGTAGTTGTGGGCTTACAATGTAACGGCTATTAGCGGTTAGCCAATGGCGTGCATTGGTGTGATATATCGCATACCCAATAAGTCCGGGACCTGCCCGAAATGGAGTGGCGCCGGCAGTACCTAGCGTGGTAACCGACTTTAATCCGTATATCCAGCCTATCAATGAACCTCCTCGCCAGGCGAGCGATGGGAAAAGCAACAATGCAACTGCTGCCCCCACTTGATTTAACAATTGACAGCAAACCGCCCAGCGCCACCGGAGGAAGAGCTGCTATGACGAAGGGGCTTCACCGGATGGCGCACGTATCCCAAGATGGGGGATTGGCTGCCGAAGACGGCCATTTTCCCAAGCGAATGTCGGTTCTACCCAATATTGAGTTCACGAGAGTGGACTAGACTAGTCTGTACGACTGCTCTGGTACCGGATATACTAGGCCCCAGTTTCAATGCCCCGGTAATAGAACAGCCGTAACTCAAGGCCGGAAATCCCCCTCACGCGGGAGCAAGAAGCGGAGGCGGAAGTAATCCTCTGGTCTGCGTGTCCCTATCCAGACCATTTGTACGCTCATTTCTGGTCTTGGTGGACCCGCAGCCCCCGCATGAGTTCCTGTGCCTTCAAGATGGCCGGCATTGTCTCTTTCGAGTTAACACAGTTTCATACATAGCCTCTTTGTGTTTTTCTTTGTGGTGTGAATCCCTTATGCCCTGCAAAGTATAATCCATGGACTGATAGTCTGGTTCTGTTTATCTTACAGTGGTGACGCACAACAAGTCGAGTCCTGACAATTCCAGAAGGTGGAGTCTGCCGGAACTTTCGGTCAACTTAGGACCTCACGGGAGTTGTGACATCGTACTGTTCGACTAATTGCACATACCTGTCTCCCAAGGAGTTAAACAATTACTTGGCTCATGAGGCCCGACACTTCGGATAGTTTAAGTCTAGAAGGTCAAATGATCTGGGGTGTGGCGTCCGTGAGGTCATAAGGATGATGGTTCCGTGGTAGGCAAAAGTTTCCTTTTCCTCGGAAGACATTCCAAGTTTCTATGGTTGTACCTCTCGCATTTCATCTCCAGCACGGACCTTTGTCGTAGAGGCAATTAGCCCAAGGCAGTCAATTGGTGAAAGCAGACGGGTTTTCCAGATTGCATACCGCTCAACCACTGTCGGATTTTGAACTGAGGTTTCCAAGAAACTCCTCGACGGTGCTGTGTGCGTACCTCTTCGTAACAACCCCACACTTTCATAAAGCCGCAACCTGTCAACGCTAGGATGGAGTGGCTAGTCGTAAGTCCACGATTCATACTGTTGGTTGCAACCAGTCGGAAGCGTAGGATCGGCGGGTTATGGGAACATTGGGGCCCTCGTCTGTTACGCGAACCGGCAAGGATGTTGCCGATCAGGGCGATTGGTGAGATTCTAATAATCAGCCGTCAGCAACTGGCTCTCCACCTCTGCTCAGTCAGCCTCCCATAATGGAAGTGCGTGCCTGAGGCCACAAGCCCACGGCCAACCAGCGTGGCGGATCCAGACAAACCAAACGGGACTATATCCTGTCCTAGATGGCTTCGTGGGGACCACCCCAGCAGTCATATAGCTGGCCAAGATCCGACGGCGGTTGACTGGACACTTGTACCTTTCTAAAATGCCCGGTAGTTGAATTCCCAAACCAAGTGACCCTGCCATACACTGCCCACCAGCTACAAGCCCTCGCTAGTCGAGTGCGTTCTTTACACTATACCAGCGGAATTCATTTCAAACCCGGACTCTTAGAACCACAGACTCGGCCAAATGCCTGTCTTCACCGAGTTTGCAGCATCCTCCCGTGAACTTCGTGTTCTCCCCTCCTTCGCGCCGCCCCTACCTCGCCTCAGCCCGAACGATCCTCGCGATGGAGTCCCAGAGCGATACGAAGTCGTCGTTGTCGGCGCTGGTCCCGCCGGGCTAATGCTCAATCTCCTCTTAGCCAGATATGGACTGAACGATACATCACTATTGTGCATCGATGCTAAACCGGGAACGCTTAAATCTGGCCAAGCCGACGGCCTCCAACCCAGGACACTCGAGGTTCTGAAGACCCTCGGGCTAGCAGACGAAATTCTCACCGATGGATGCCACATGGAGGAAGTTGCATTTTGGAACCCTTCGCCTAACAAGGATGAGATCATCGAACGGACGGCGATAGTGCCTGATGTTGCCGTGCCGGCGCGATTCCAGCACGAAGTCACAATCCACCAGGGTCGCATTGAGAGAATCCTGGAAACGGATCTCCTGCGGTACTCGAAAAGGGGAGTGCAGCGAGATACTAAACTCTTAGACGTGACAATCGATGAGGATGGCGATTCAGAATTCCCTGTGGTGGCGGAGGTCGAGACGGCTGGCCAACGACGGACAGTTCGATCGAAGTATTTGGTTGGTGCGGATGGCGCCCATTCCGTGGTCCGTCGTTGTATGGGTCTGAAGTTGGTGGGCGAGTCGCTGGATCACATCTGGGGTGTTGTCGATCTTGTCGTCGATACCGATTTTCCTGATATCAGGAGACGCTGTGCGATCCATGCCCCGGCTACTTCAGTGATGGTGATTCCACGCGAGCGGATTGCGACCGGTGACTACTTGACCCGGTTGTATGTTCAAGTGCCAGACGAAGCCACCCCAGATGAGGACCAGAAGCCAGTTAATGAATCCACGCCAAAGGACGCTCGAGCTCGCAGGAGCCAGGTCACTCTCGACGGGATTTTTCATGCTGCGGCCGAAGCCTTCAAGCCGTACTATATCCGACCGAAAACGGACGGCGCCGTGGACTGGTGGGCGGCGTATCAGATTGGCCAGCGAGTGTCGGATCAGTTCACAGTGCAAGATTCGAAGGGAGCTAATCGGGTATTCATTGTAGGAGATGGTTCGTATATTCCTTCTAATTGGAGTGCTGCATGCTAACGCTCATTTGTGCCAGCTTGCCATACTCATAGTCCCAAGGTATGCACCCGCTAAACGATCGTGTTAAGCGTCGGTATACTAACTCACTTGAATTAACAGGCAGGTCAGGGGATGAACGTCTCCATGATGGATTCTTACAACCTAGCGTGGAAACTGGCTTATGCAATCAATGGTCTCACTCCCGCCTCAACATCGCCAGGAAAGCCTGATGCCGTTTTGGATACATACCACACTGAGCGTCACACGATCGCCCAGGAGCTTATAGAGTTCGACCGTGCCTTTTCGTCCATGTTCTCTGGAAAGATCGGCGCAGCAGAGGACGGCGCAGACGGCCTGACGCACGAGCAGTTCTTGGAAGTGTTCAGTACTGGCAACGGGTTCACCAGTGGCTGTGGAATTGAATATCCTGAGAGTCCGATCGTGCAGAAGGTGCAGGGTGCCAAGAAGAATCCCATTGAGGGAACTGACTATCTTTCTGGCATTCTTCGTCCGGGTCGGAGACTGCTGAACGTCAAATACCGTAGACATGCCGATGGGAACCGGCGGAACTTGCATGATGGTAAGTCCGGGTGTAGCAAAGCACGAAAAGCACTGAAACCTCAAAAGCCGACGGTAGCTGACAGGAGCAGATTTCTTGTCAACTGGTCGATTCCGTATTCTTTGTCTCACGTCATATGATCTGCTGTATCCGAAGGGCGTCTCTGCCCAGACATTGCGGACGATAGGGTCTGCAGTGCTGCCCCGGTTCCCTGCATCCGTGATCGAGCAAGTTGTGATCCATCCCCGTCTGTCTCGGGAGTTCACTTGGCGTGATTTACCAGCCGAGCTCAAAAGACACTCAGAGATGAGCTTTTACAGTGGCTACGAGATGGACGACGTGTACAAGATCTACGGTGTAGATGCTGCCCAGGGGGCTCTGGCTGTTGTTCGACCAGATGGATATGTGGGCACGGTAGCTGCATTGGACGACGTAAAGCGGGTAGAGCAGTATCTCGAGCGGTGTTTAAGAACCGTCCAGACCGCGATATGATGCAGCGGTAACCGAGTGTGCAAGGTCATCCTCTCTGGCGGAGACCCACAGTCGGTGCTACCTAGAGTCTCATCGGGCACAAGGACATCGCTGCGATCAAAGAGGAGGCATTGGACTAGCAGGGACCGTAGGTGCATGGTAATGTGCTCTGCTTGGTCCAGGCCATCGGAGATCCGAACGGGTGCCTGACGGCCTTGTATCAGATAGTAGCGTCGATAGGTCAAATTGACAGCGCAACGAATTATGATTGGTAAATAGCATACATCGTCATTCATACATACATCAAGGTTGTCCTCAATGCATGGCCGCGAAAGCAGAGCATAGCCGGATAAATATCCAGAACGGTATGAGTCAACTGTCTGGTCGGAGAATAGTAAGTGATCGGCAGCAACAACGATAGTGACATGCAGGCGACAACAGTGTAACACGACAGTGTATCGGACGTCCGCACGCTGATCAGGCAGCTCAGCAGGGAATGCATCCCCATCAATCGCATCCTGCAGGCAAAGTTATCCAAAATTGGCCAAAGTATCAAAGAAAGGCGGCGGGGGCCGCCTCACGTGACCCACGTGACGTGCCGGACAGCCGACAGCCGAGCCTCCAGCCAGTCACGTTCTCCCGTCACATTCCAAGGCAATGCACGTTTGCAACGGTACAACTCCTCTGCAAGTTTTCTCGCTTCCCGTCAACGGACACGCAGTCATGGCCTCGTGCCAATCAAAATGACCCGAAAGCAATGCTCACAGGTCGGATTGCCCGTTTCGATCATAATGACTCGGGCCATGCCGCTCCCGTGCACAAATCGTTGATAAGCGTGGAGCCGAGCTGACTGGTGGACCGACATCAAGCTTCACCTGCTGGCCAATGATGGCTTCATCCAGTGCAAATTCTAGAAATCCGCCCCACAATCGGCGTTAACGGGGATTTAATCGTCGTCTCGACAGCCATGGATCAGTCAGGATGATATAATTAACCGGGCTGCCCCAGGCCCAGGTTTCAGTTCTGTTTTTACGGTGTTCCTCTTTAAGTTTCGGCTTGGCTGGGAGCTGTAGATATAGTTCCCTTCTCTGTCTTTGGTCAAATTCTGTGGTTATGTCCAAAGAACATTCGTTTTCGGAAGCCGGGTCCACCAGGTCAAGGTCTACGTCGCTGTCTAGCTCAGATGATGGGTCTTTGTCGGGACGGCCTTACCGACTGGGGACGTTGAGGACGCGGACAAGATCGAGGTCCAGACACAGTACAACACAGGTGGAAAGAGTACATTCTGGAAGACATCTCGATGATCATTCTGTCTACCACAGCGATAATGAGCTGGATTTGGACTCCTCGTCCGACGACCGGGGGGAGAAAGACGAGCCTGTCCTCGAAGTACGCGGGGGTGTGGTGAACGAGCGTGACCGCGATCTGGAAGCTGGAGCCCAGGCATCAGGCTTGGAGAAGTCACGGACTGCACGGTCAGACAAATCTAGAGCGGACCCTAAACTGGTATGTCTGATTTATTTGCTGTGTTTCTAGTGCTAATAGGATAGGTCACCTGGGATGGCCCCGACGATCCAGAGAACCCTAAGAACTGGCCAATGAAGAAGAAGTGGGCGGCGGTGGTGACGGTATCCTGCTTCACCTTCATCTCGCCCGTATCCTCCTCCATGGTGGCACCAGCCCTAAGTGCGATATCTGCAGAGTTCAACATCACGGACGAGGTCATCTCACAGCTCACTCTGTCCGTGTTCATTCTGGCGTACGCCATTGGGCCGCTCTTCCTCGGACCTCTCTCTGAGATCTACGGTCGAGTGAAAGTCCTGCAGTTAGCCAACCTCCTGTATCTCGTCTTCAACATCGGCTGCGGCGTCTCACAGACTAAAGTACAAATGATCGTCTGTCGATTCTTCGCCGGGTTAGGCGGTAGCGCTCCGCTAGCAGTAAGCAACCCCTCATACACTTCAACACATCCCATCTAACAACCTAGATCGGCGGTGGCGTCCTTTCAGACTGCTTCAAGCCCGAACAGCGCGGCAAAAGTGTAGCCATCTACAGTCTCGCCCCCCTCCTCGGGCCAGCCGTCGGCCCCATCGCAGGCGGCTTCATCGCCGAAAACACGACCTGGCGCTGGGTATTCTACGCGACGTCCATCGCGGACGGTGTAATCCAAGTCGCCGGCCTCTTCTTCCTGCAAGAAACCTACGCCCCCATAATCCTCAAGAAGCGCGCCAAGAAACTCCGCAAAGAAACCGCCGACACAAACTACCAAACCGAATTCGAGCGCCAAAACAAAACCCTCGGAGAGATCATGGGCGGTGCCCTCATCCGTCCCTTCCGCCTCCTCTCCACCCAACCCATCGTCCAAGCCCTAGCGGCCTACATGGCCTACATCTACGGCACCATGTACCTAGTCCTCTCAACCTTCCCCTCTCTCTGGACCAGCCCAGAATACTACAACGAATCCACCGGTATCGGCGGCCTAAACTACATCTCCTTAGGTCTAGGCTTCTGGCTCGGCTCCCAGATCTGCGCCCCGCTAAACGATCGCATCTACCGCCGTCTCAAGGGTAAGAACAACGGCGTTGGGAAGCCCGAGTTCCGCGTCCCGCTGCTCTTCGTGGGCGCCTTCCTCATTCCCGCCGGCTTGTTCATCTACGGCTGGACAGCCCAGACACATTGCCACTGGATCGCCCCGAACATCGGTGCGTGCCTGTACGGAATGGGCAACATCATCTCCTTCCAATGTCTGCAGACGTATATCGTCGATTCGTATACGCGGTTCGCCGCCAGCGCGTTAGCAGCAGTGGCGTGTATGCGCTCGCTCGCGGGATTCGGGTTCCCGCTGTTCGCACCGTATATGTATCAGGCGCTGGACTACGGATGGGGAAATAGTCTGTTGGCGTTTATCGCGATAGCGCTGGGAGCGCCGGCGCCGGTGTTTCTCTGGAAGTTTGGGGAGAAGTTGAGGAAGATGAGCACATATGCAGCAGGTTGATACCCTAGTAAATATACTAGTACTACTACTTATATATAGAGAGAGATAAAAAGACAATAATTCACACCCTCGATCGAACAAATAATCATCCATATCACCCTCTTCATTCACAGAAAAACGAAAAAAACGAAAAAAACAAAAAAAGGTGGGGGAGAAAGAAAGATAAGGTGGAAAGATGGGAGAGAAGAAAAAAACAAAACGACAAGGACGTGATTCGAACACGCGCACCCGAAGGTATAAGATATCGTCTGTTGGATAAGAAACAATCACCGTATTTCAGGTAATCATCCCCAAAAGCCAGATTCAAGTCTTACGTCTTAAACCACTCGACCACCTTGCCGTTGTTCATTACAGTTCTGTTTCAGCGGGAGTTTTGGCCACTATCTGGGGCGCATATGGGTCTTATTAGTCAGCATCAATCATTCATGAATCACTAGTTAATTGAATAATTGGTTGGAGTATTGATTGCAGTGTAGTTGTGGGTTAGTCTGTTAATAGATTATGAAAATTAAGATGTAAAATAAGAGAGCTGTAAAGATAATACATATTATGTATGCTTGGTGGGGTTGATTGAGAAGGAGGATGATGGTAGATAGGCTGTCTGTCTGTCTGGAGTTTATAGTTCATCTGCTCAGGGTATCTTTTTTTTTCACTTGGATACATCTACTTTTAAGAGTCAGTGTAAACATTTTCTCTCTGTAAATAATCAGATTGTACCTTCCAGACGTATCAGCCTGTTTTATGACAGTAGAAAAATGCATTGATTTTCGTATCATATATATTGATTAATGACTGTTGACTGAATCAAATCTGACAAATATGTATTTGCGGAAAGAAAGGAACTCGGTACTTCGTTTCCTCTTTCACCTAAGAGTATGTACTTAGCTTGACGGTTCATAGAAGATTTCGTGGCTTGATGAGGGCTCTCTTTCTATTTAGTAGAAGATGTTCACATTCACCGGGGTACTGGGTTATTTCACATCCCCTTTACTCCACTCAAGCCACAACTTCGCCTTCCCCCCTCAAATACTCCCAATCCCTCCGGCCAGCCCACATGAAAACACCAAACTAGGCCACGTCCTTGTCCGTCCCGGGGGTTAAGTCACGCGACCGCCAACTCAAATCCGGCTCCTTCGCGACGTCTCCTTCGGTCGGCGACTGTCGTAGCACCGAGTGGCCTGAGGGCAAATTTATCCACAGTATATCTGAACATCAGGAAGTCGTTGTCAAAGAACTAGCCCCTTGGCTAGTTCTTGTCGATGAGGGTGTCCCTTCATGATTAGCGTGCGGGAGGGGTAGTCGTAGGTGATTCAAGCCTTTGTCAGGAGGAATTTGTCTTGTTCTGGGGATTGGGTGATGAGGGTTGGTGGGACGTTGGTGAAGTGGAGGTAGGGTGTTTGGTTGGGGTCGGTCTTTTTGTAGAGGCGGCGTGTGAGGGTCGTGTGGGTGTAGGGGTAGGTGGTGCAGAGAGAGCTGAGGGGGGATGTTTGGGAGCCAGTTCTGGGAGGACATTTTGGAGGGTGGTGTGTGTTTGGAGATGTGTAATGGATGAGTTCTGATTCTGCGTTGTGTAGTAGGTGTTATTGTGTTGCTTGCTGGCTGAGGTTAGTTATAGTTCACTGCAATGTCATGACGGGTCATAGATGGAGGGGATTTCCGGTTAAGGTTGGGAAGTTCCATCGCCCAACATGTCGAGATTACTTCTGACTGATATTGAATAGAAGTTATGCTAACCTGGCGATTTTGGAATAGTTCGTGGGGATAGTTGAGGAAGATTCAGTCGAGGGAGAGAATGGCTTTTAGGACGTTCGGTCAAGAAGATAGAAATGATGCTGGGAAAATATAGGCGAGAGGTATGGGAAAGAGGAAGCCCAAGGCAGCAAACAGAAAAATAGGCACAATTATCAGGTGATGAGCATATCTGTACAACAGGTAAAGGCATGAATTACATGAATTACCACATTGCTTCCAGCAGATCTTACTTATTCAATGAATTTTATCGGTACTCCAATCAAAAACCCCTGAGTCCATCCTTCTACTCCAGTATCAGAAGTAGTAAAACGAGCGACTAAGTTCATATTTTTCCCTCGCTATCCTACATCTGCAACAACCAATACAAACACCTCACAATCGAAATCAAAACTTAAGCAGAAGCACTGGGGGCGGCGCCGCCGCTAGGGGCAGAGCCACCGCCACCGCCCATACCAGAGCTGGAGGAGTCGTTCTCGACACCACCATCAGCAGTGTACTCCGCAGCAGGAGTAATCTCGCTGTTCTCAGAGACATCGATACCGAGGGAGATCCATCCAAAGACACCGTCACTCACATCGTCACCGAGGAGGACATACTCAACGAAGGGGTCAATAGTGTCGGCCTCCTCGGAGAGGATGCTGTCATCAGCGTTCTCGGTAAGCTCCTGGGTGTTAGTGCTGTAGGGGCTGGTGGCCTCGACCTTGGTAATCAGGTCCTGGTCGAAGAAGAGCTGGCCGACGTAATTGGCGTGGGAAGTGTAGAGACCGGAGATGGTGTTGTTGGGGAGAGCAGTAGTCTCGTTGGGGGAGTGGGAGAGGACTGTTGTTGAGTTAGTGATTGAAATATTCTCAGAGGAATGGGACGTACCATGGATGTGAGTAGCACGGCTGGTGTAGTGGCCGGGGAAGATGGAGTTGAACTGCACGACACCATCAGAGTCGGTCTGCTGGATACCGCGGAGGAAAGTGGCGTCCAGGTTGGAGGTGTCGCTGGAGTCACCGTTGCCGGAGGCAGCCACGCCAGAGTAGACACCCTATACATGTTAGTATCGCACGACGCAGAGAGATGAGGTCAGCGGCAAGTGGCTTACAGTAGCATTGCAGTGCCAGATGTCAATGTAGATCTCGGGGACGGGCTCGCAGGTGCTGGTGTCAATGAGCTGGATGTCCAGGTAGAGAGGCACACCCTCCTGGGTCTCGGTGATGTCGTTGCGGATGAGCTCGCCAGTCACATCTGGTCTAATTAGCTACATAAATGCCTTTGGAGAAAAGATGGCCATACAGTAAGGACCCTGGGTGACATCCGGGCCAAGAACGCAGGTGGCGTTGGAGGCAAACAGGACGTTGGGGTCAGTCTCGGGGCTCACGTTCAGAGACGAGTGGTGGGTAGTGTTGAGGATGGTGTCAAGGTCACGAGCCTTGAGAAGGGGAGCGTCTGTTATCTTAATTAGCCTAGATCAATCCTGACGGGTAAAGTGAAAACCATACGGGTCTGCAGGCCCCTCTTCTGGCGAATGGCATTCACGGCGTTCTCGCGACGAGCAATGCTCTGCCTCTCAAGGCCGCGGGCCTTGAGCTTCGTAGAGCAGTCGCTCAGACTACGAGGAGCACGCTTCATGAAGGCAGCGCGCTCAGCAGCTTCGGCACGGATATCGTGGCCGGGATGAGCAGAGACGACGCTGGCAAGGCCAGCCAGGCCGGTAAGGAACGTGTTAAGCTGAACCATCTTGATGGATATCAACTGAAAAAGAGGGTAAGAGATTGAAGGTAGATGATGAGCGGTAATGAGGATGTTGTTGGATGCTAATGAGATCTAACCCCAGGGCAGGTTGCTTTATATCTTTTTCTTCCAGAACATCATGCCCATCAAGAAGATGCTAACCAGCTGACGCAACCAAGAAACCAGACTGCCAAATGAAACGCCGGCAATTGTTCAGCTGTCGCCAAGGGCTTGGATGGCTTCGAAATGCTTCATCGTGCTGGGGCCAGACCTTTGGTAGGTAGGGCACGATCCCCCATGACGACGCGGCCTGACATCCACTTGTGGAGAAGGGGTTGCTAAATTATGGCTAAGTTGTGACAGGCTTATGTATGAATGGGCGTCTTTTCAGGTCCGCAGCGTTTTCGGTTTAGCTCAGGGTAGTTCAGGGTAACCCCATCTCGATAATTGGGACCTGTATGGGTCTTGAGAAGCTTCTAGCTTCGCTAGCTAGATGTCTCCAACCAGAAGGGTAGCCATAAAAGCTGAAATCTAGTATCATGGTATCTCATACCTACCAAGCAAAAGCAGGTCAGCCTTCTTATTCCCAGCATATCCCTCCAGCTCAGTCCTTACAAAATTCTGGAGAGAGAACAGCGAATACCTCGGCCAGTCATCAGTCAACAGCAAAGTATGCTCCAACAGGGATCTAACTCCAACACCCTCGCTACCGAGCCACGATCCAGGTTGATCGTCGTCTCCACCAAGTGGATGTGCCGCTTAATCATCCAGTTTGAGGAGGCTTGGCACCACCGGCAATTGAATGTCCCAAATATCCGAAGCTTGTCGTCCTATTAATCAATCTCCTTGCTGCAAAAACTGTCCACAGGGTGCTTAATGATCCGGATGCCGCCGGACTTGGCAACCAGGAGCAAACAAGGAGCTGTCGACACACATGCAGTTTCACGGCCCGAGGACCTCGAAAAGCTGTTATTGGCCGAATCAATCAGTATCGGGCCATTTCATGCATCGGTCACGCCAAATACCCGTGATCTGAATGGAGAGAATCCGGAGGACCGTGACGCGGACTGACAGGGCCGAAGTTGAACCGTTCGAGGAATAATTTCCTTCCACAAGCAAAGCAGATGGCCGTGCATAGATCAACAGCATAGTCAACGCGGATCAAAGACCATACCCTATCATGTAAACCCAAGATTAGCACACCTCCAGCACAGAGCCATCGCAGCCATTGTCACTATGAACCTCGTCATCCAGCATCGTACCCTTATCACAGCCTCCCATTAAGGGCACAAACTGGAGACAGCCAGCACGTAATCCCTTGACCCGCTCCGGCGACAAGGTAAGCTATCCATTTAGGACCCAGGACCCTCTAATCGAAGGGAAATATTAGACAGGGACGTAAGAAAGGAAGAAGACCCCCAAAATCAGGGATAACCACCCTGTCACGTAAGCGGGTTTGCCCTGCAAGGCCGTGGGGGGCGTCACGCATATCCACATCATTGGGAATAGGCTCATCACGCACAAACAGCCGGTGGCTTGGCAAGCACACACACACTGAGTAAACAATGAGAGGTGATTCGTGGAGCCAAAGACATGCGTTGCGAAGCATTGCAACGGGCGGAGAGAAAGTGAGAGAAGATCGGCGGCGGGTGTACGTAGGCCCTCCGCCGCGGCGTGGCTTGGCAGAGCGGAACCACGCCTGATCTAATTCGGCACGGCGGATGCATTCTACTACTTTTACTGTAGATAATATGATTCTGGTGACTAAGTAGACCCTTCTGTAACGTTGATTGTGCTTGTAGATATAGTGAAGCAGTTAGCAGCAGTCGCGGCAAACTACCTCCACACCACGCCAATATATACTCCTACATAGAAGCATAAGCATTTTTATGCGCCAAACGGGATGACCACGAGTTCACTTCGGGACCCATCGGGAACTTCCCTCGATCTAGATAACTCACAGGGATATGATGACGATGCATCGAATCCACTACTTGTACTGTGTAGATGGTTGGGTAGCTATTGATTTTCCTTGATGTATGGATGGCACTAGTGAATTGTGTCTGCCTACTCTAGTCTACTACTATACAAGATCGACATTCAATCCATAATTCGGCAGTACGAATAAAGTTCATCATGAAATTAGCATATAGTTCAGATTTGGGGTGATCGATAAGGAACGCAAAAGCGCGATCAAAAAGAGGTGGGGTAGTCCCACGGAAAATAAGAAAAAAACGGATGGGGCAAAAAACGACAACAGACGGGTTCGAACCGCCGCCTCCGAAGAGAATAGATTTCAAGTCTATCGCCTTAGACCACTCGGCCATGTTGTCTTAGTAAGTTCTCTGTCTTAGCGAACTATAAGGGTTCTCCGACAAGCCACATGATTAGAATCAGGGACACAACAATCCCCACTTCCTGTCGCACCAGCCAATTTTTACTGCGACATGCTCCTGGCGGGACTGATAATGTGGTTTCCGCAGTACAAAGTATCTGATAGCTTTTTCCCCTCTTAGCGAGGCATTGGAAATTCCAAGTTGCCTGGATTTGTTATATGAGTTCTACCCTGCAAACCATACGTGAAGACAAGAAGGAGAGGGATAAGTCACAAGGATACGAAACATTGGTATCATGCGTCATTACTTAGCTATCACTAACGTAAAGTAAACAGAAATAAGCAGGACAGATTAATCATAATAGTAACCGAGCATACCCTTCTGTATGCAGACCCACCAACTCGTCGTCAGCAGCAAACCACTGTCGAAACTGACATCCCGTCTCTCACACCTCCTGGTGAACCGCAGTAGCCTTTTCGGCCACAGCATTCGCAGTAAGACCCATCTCGGCCGTAAAGGTGCCATGCGGTCTCCACTTGGCCGAGGTACGGGGCGTGGTCTCTTCCATCATCTTGTCCACCTGCTCAAGAGTGAGACCCTTGGTCTCCGGGATCAGGAAGTACGTGTACACAAAAGCGCAGGCGCACAGTGAGCCCCAGATGAAGAATACCTTGGCCTTGAGGTCACCCTTATCCTTGTCAACCATGTAGGGGGTAATGACAGCGATAATCTGATTGGTCAGCGTGTTATGTCAACAGGGGAGCAAGGGAGCAAGTCACTTACGCAATTCCACAGCCAGTTTGAAGCCGTCGACAGAGCCACACCTCGCGACCGAATAGGCAGGGGGAAGATTTCGCCAATCACAACCCAGGCGCCCGGGCCCCACGTACTAGCGAAGAAGAAGATGTAAATGCAGATGAAGGAAATCTCTGCGCTGACAGCGTGCTTGTTGCTGCCGTCCACAGTGCCGACGATAGCGACAATGAACTGGCAGATGACCATGCCAAGTGCTCCCCACAAAAGGAGCGAACGGCGGCCAAACCTCTCAATCGTGTAGAAGGAGACAGGGGTTGAGCAGACGTTGACGATAGTGGTAATCATGCTGATGAGGAAGGGGTCATCGATGGTTCCCAACTATACTCTGTCAGCGCATCATCTCGGGCACAGATCGATCTTACTCACCGACTGGAAGAAGGTCGTTCCAAAGTAGAAGACAAAGTTGACACCGGTCCACCTGAATGACGGTTAGTATCTCTCTTCACACTTTGTGTGTGGGTGTGGCAAGGTTGTGACTTACTGTTGCATCATCTGCAGGGACGTACCCAGGACTGTCCGACGAAGGTTGCTGTTGGGAGAGAACAGACTGCCGCGGAAGCAGTTCATCCAGCTGACGAAGTATCCACCTTCCGGGATCACCTGCATCTCGTACTCATGGTTTGCCACGATCTCAGCCAGCTCATCCTTGATATAGTCCGAGTCTTGGGGCTGGCCACGAACGCGGGCAAGGACCTCCGCAGCCTTGACCAGGTTACCCTTGCGAACAAAGTAACGAGGGGACTCGGGCAGGCAGAGCAGACCACCTCCCAAGATGATAGCCCAGGCGAGCTGAAGGCCGATTGGGATACGGTAGGAGCCCGAGTCGAGACGGTTCTCAGTACCGTAGTCGACGCATGAGGCCAACATGAGCCCGATAGTGATGCAGAACTGGTACCCTGAGACAATAGCACCGCGAACCTTGCGAGGTGCAATTTCAGACATGTACAGGATGATAATGGCGGAGACAAAGCCAACACCGAATCCCGCGATCAGACGCCCGGCAACTAGCAGACCCAAGGAGGTCGAAGCGGTCTGCAGGACAACACCAACGACGAAGACCACACAACCACTGACAATGGTAGTGCGACGACCAAACCAGTCTGCCAAGTCACCCGCAATGAGGGCACCAAAGAAGGTTCCAGCCGAGAGGATCGACGTGATCAACGATTTTTTCCAGGACGGGAGGACGAAGGAATCTGTGGGGGTAGTGTTATAGTCCTAATAGATGTCAGTCCCCTCTTCACTTATTAGTTGTCGCAATGACGCTACATACCAAGCCCTCAAACTCCTCGATGAAGTATCTCATCCCCATGACACCGCTGATATAACCCGAGTCATAACCGAAGAAGATACCACCAAAAGCCGCAAAGGCACACATCAAGTAAGTCTTGAGGGTGACTGGGGCCTCGACGCGCGAGGCGTCCACGAAGCCATCAGCCATGGCTACTGAGGATAGACTGTGTGATGGTCTCCGCACAGTGAAAGAAAGTGACAAGAAGGGTGGGCAGATGCCTATATGGCAGCAATGAGAGAAAGGTAGCGGCGTTCACACGAAGACCGGGGGATATGAGGGAAGGTGACGGAGAAAAGGAAGAGGGGAAGCACCGAGAAAGAAGACAAGGAAAAACGAGATCAGGGGTACTGGTCGGTTTTATAATCCTGTGCGAGGGTCCAAGTTGCATCATGCTCAGCTCACTGCTGGACTCGCGACTTCCCGTTGAGAATCGGGCCAGCATCGGTACCGGGGAATGCCCATGGGGTTCCCCAGCTGTGGCCACCATGCCGTCTGTCCAGTTTGGCCGCCGGCCGTGACTCGTTGGGCTGCAGGACGGCCATTGCTGTGGAGCGTTATTCACTGCAGTCGACCGATGGCATGCACAGGGCCCAAAATCCGAAATTACCACCAGTCTTGATTCGGATGACTGGCTTCGAGGTAAATGCCTCTCATCCTGCCTGCATGTCCAATCATCAGGCTGAGGTAATTTCCCGGAGAGTTAGGTTTTACCGACAGGGGAAAGTTCTGTACGACCCCAGACCTGGTTTCCCCAGGTTGACCGTAAGAGATGTACCCACCGGGGGGCAACGGTTTACGGGGGAGTCCAGATCCAACCCAGTACGAGTCACTGCTATACTCCATAGAAGGTATAGTAAGTCTGCAAGTCGAGCTAGTATAGTACGACTTGTTGACAGGATTTAGTTGCCAACAGCCAAACAGAAACTCGGTCCAGGCCGGCAAACCCCGTCTGGTTCTGGCAATCACTCTTATTGGCAGGGTTTCACAGGGGTCGGAAAATTGAACCTACCACGTGCTGCGCAGAGGAAGGATTCCCCACAATCAAGTGCCAGTCTAGCCGGATCTGCTTAGTGCTGTCATTTTGGGTTTCCGATCACGAGATGAGCTTCTTGGACCCTGATCAACCTTCACAGTTCACACAGACTACTAACATAGCACTCCTGTCCTATCGGGGTAACTTAGTAAGCATCTTTCTTTGACCCTGGCATGTTACCCTCATTGTTCTCGATTCCCTATTTCACTATTCCCAGAAATCATCGTTCGCCATGTTAAGCTCCAATGTAACCTTTCCGACAATGGTCCATGACCGTAGCTAATCACGAGCCATCCCCTCCAGAACACCTGGTAGCGAGCACAGACGGCCGCGACGCCACCACGACTATTGAAGGTTGCCCAGCCCGCTGAGTCGGAAGGTAACTGGTCTCCTGTCCGGATCCAGGTCTTGGTCCGAAGTGGCCCTCCGTCCGCGGGATTCTTTGTTGGGTCTGTATCCCAGCTGGAGGAACAGCCTCGGACCTGACCGAAAGATTCTTTCAGCTTCACACGTGGTTTCTTTTCTTTTTCTTCTCCTGGAGTGGCCTATCCGGGTGACTTGCCTCCTCCAATGGGTCTATTTCGGCCCTAGCTCGCTTGTTCCAGCGTAGGAGAATGTCCTCGCCATCTCAAATCAGCGTGTCATGCCAAGAGGCTTGGCGACCACGACGTCTCGTCCCGCCAGTGCATGCGCCATCCAGAAAAATTCAATTTTAGCCGAAAGAGTGTCAATACGAGATGCAATCAATCAAAGTAGCCGTTCTATACGCATCGTAAGTTGGGTGCGCTAAAGGCGAGAGAGGCCATGGATATCAAGACATCATGACGGGAATTGCCTCAAACCATGCTAACTACCATGGATCAATGACCCGGTGAGCATTTTCAGTCATCTAGACTATTGAATACACAGCTTCCGCTTGCCACGAATGAGATAGGAGTATGTCCGAAAGGCGTCTCAAGTGCAGTCACACTGCAAGGGTCTGTCATGTCGGTGTTACAGGCTACTGGGACGGATCCCGGTCATGTGAGGTGGTATCCGTGAGAAGTGAGATCCCTCTATTCTCTGGGAATAAAAAGCAACCACTACAACAGTCTACCTCCTTTGATACGGACTGTATCACCATACACCTATTCAAGTGGATACTGTATGATCGGTGGTGATAGTAGCCTTATAGTGATCTTGCAGTAGCATGGCTGGAGTCCATCCGCTACCAATTATCTATTCATTCTATTTAACTCCTGTCAAAATATTTATCTTAGCTACCAATACACAGAATTTATCGATTAACTATATTATGATAACTTATTCTCTTTATACACTTCTTCAATCCAGTTCAAGAAAAATCTTCCATTCCCCAAGCACCACCTAACTACTAAAGTTACCAACACTGCGGGGTAATAAGTAAGGCATCACCCACATGGCCCCCTTCCTCCGCGTGGTCAGGCATCCTGTCAGCTCGCTCCGACCAAACAACCAACCTAGTACTCACTACTAGGTAAGAATGTGGGGTACTCTTAATCCAGCCAAGCTTTGCAAATACGTACAACACTACAGCATACCATGATATTAGAACTACAATCAGCAAAACAAGGACATAAACAATTAGTTCAGCTCTGATACCCATAATACCAAAGCACACCAACACCATCTACTAAGCTCAAGTAAGCATAAGCATAATAAGCCTAAGCATAATCACCATCCCCTTCCTCATCACGATAATAATCAACCATCCCATTCCACAAGAAAGGTAGCACAGCCTGTGACTACTTGACTAATTACCTCACGAGTGGAACTTACGTACGCACACAGTAAGCACAGCCCACACTTTCCATAAAGATAGAGAATTAACCAACCAGAATAGCACACATCATATGCATGTAGTACTTATGTGGCAAGTTGATGGCTGCAACATTCCTTAAGAGGTATATATATATATATATATCATATATAATAATATGTAGCAAGGTAAGGTAGTAGTGAGTAGTGCCCTGCCCCTCATCAGGCATATTTACATTTACTAGTAGCCTATCATCTAAATATTTACTACTATAATCTGGCAATATTCCTCTGGTTTATTGAGACTCAATAATAATAAAATAATTCATCATTCGCTATGCAATATCTCCCAATCATACAAAATAACTCTGTTTCCCTCCACTATTGGTTATCTCCCCATATCTTCCGTTCTCAGTGCTTGCTTAGTAGATACTAACGATGTATCTAAGGTCCCTATAATCAATACCCCACCACGTCAGCCCAATTCCACACCATAATAGACAAAACTACGATAAGACAGATAATAGTAGATAGACGTACCTTGAACACCAACTCCCCATTCTCATTAGAAATCTTATCCGCCAGATACAATCCCTGCAACTCTCTGTATCCACCATCCCGCTTCCTCAAGTACGCCGTCAACTTGGGACCGCGGCCAGTGTTCTCGAGCTGAATGTCATTGGCGGTTTCGGTGAAGTTGGAGCCGCCCCAGATGAACCAGCCTATACAAATCAAATTAATTTAACAGTCAGTATTACCAATATCATCATTCACTTTCTAGTATCTGCATTTCGAAAGAAAATAGGGATAAAAGGGAGGGGGGGAGGGGGGAGGGAAAGGGATCATACCATCGGTATTTCCAATATGTCTATCAAGACGGATCTTGCGAGCGACATACTCTCCATTCGCACGACGCACTTCAGCGTGCAGGAAAGTAGCACCGGGCTCGTGGATGAGGTGGATGTTTTGGCAGCTGTTGTGGAAGGACATTTTCGTAGGTATTTTTTCTCTTTGAGAAGGTGGGAGGAAAAGGAAAAGGGGTGAGGTGAGGAGAGTAGAGTAGAGTAGAGTAGAGTAGATAGAAGTTGAGCAAAGGAAGAGGGATTAACTGGGTCAAGTGGAAGGGGGTTTATATAAGTTGGAAGATCGCAAGCATTGCTGCCCTACTGAAACTAAGAACTAACCACTAGCTGCTAACCTTCTGGATGGAGACCCTGAGACTGGGGATTGCTGCTGCTGGTGAAGTCACCCTGCAGGAAGGGAAGCTCGGGTGGGTCGATTTTCCTTCCCTTTTCTTTAAAAGAGGGGTGGAAATTGTGGATGTAGTAGTGGGGCTAGGCAGCATTTACTTGTTTAGGTGCTGGAAGGTTCTGCTGCTGGTGATTATTTTGAAAGGGGGGAGTAGAATGTATAGTATATTATTTATTTAGTACCTTAATATAATTATCTACAATGGTACTATATTGTATGGCTGGTTCGGTTCCGCCCGATGGCCAGTACCGTTGAACTGACTGAGAGGAAAGGATCGGGCTTAAAGAAGAAATGATGGAATGATCCGCACAGGGATCGAGTGGGCCGGATAAGACAAGGCGGTCGCGTGACTTTCAATAGTCTAACATTGATCTTTGTATTGAGTTAGTTACTATCTACGGAGTAGCATCTTCAATTAACTCAAGATTAGGAAATTTACTAAAGTAAATAAGAGTATCCTACTTGTCCATGTCCACTAGAAGCATCGATTTCTTCCACACTTCTGCCTAAGGCACCAATCTCTCAAAAGACCAGTCATATCAATTCACCTGAAACCGCAGTGGGCTCATTGCTCCAGCCACATTCTAAAAATATAAGGTGATCTAGACAGCCACATCACTAGTAACATTGGCATCGCCACATCCCCACTCCACCGCTCCCCTGGGAGGCAAATGGTCATTTTACTTACTTTACTTACTGCTGTGGAAGGCTTGGTGTGACTACTACTTATCATGCTTGGCAGTTATGACGATGATTCAAGTTGGGTGGTGGCACAGTCACCGGATAAGTGCTCCTATTCCAGGTTGAGTGATACTAGTAAGTAGTACTTGTGGTACTGTGGGTGTTGTGTAATATATATTATCATGAGAGTATATTCATACTAGTAGTATTGACCCAGATTGATACGTTGCAGAGGCTGCAGGGTGATGATGTCGATTGTGCCACTGTGGTATCACATTTACCTAGGGTTTGTGAAGTACAGCGCCAGTACACAGCAGAATCGTTCTGTATGATCTTTCAGCAAAGAAAGAAAATGAATTAATTAGACTAACATTCTAGATTAAGACAGTGTATATATATCTATAAACCCCGGTTCCCAACCTGGCTATGCAAAACCCAATATCATGTGGCCAGTACAGCTGGCCCCGAACGAAGGAAAGAAACACCATAACTTGAGAAAAGAGAATCCCACGGCAACTGAATCAACTGCTGCACCCTGCCATCCCCCCGTCAATCAGATGCAAATCTCCATTGACGTACCCGCCTGCCTTACTGGCCAGATACAAAATAGTCCCAGCAATCTCCTCGCGCCGGCCTGCTCTTTGCAGCGGAATGAACTCGCGGTCAAATGCGCCTTCGACTGAGATCTCTTCGTTGGCTGGGCTTCCACACAGATTACTTGGGAACACTGTTTCAGTTAGCACCTCGTCTCAAAATGCAGAGGGAAACACTCACGGCCAGGAGAAATAGTGTTTGCTCGAATCCCATGAGGAATCAAATATGTCATCATCTTCCTCATCAACATTATCACAGCTGCCTTGCTCATTCCATACGCACAGCCCCCAACGACTCTCCGGTTATGTGCTGCAACGCTGCTCACAGCGATGACCTGACTCTTCTGAAAGACATTTCCTCGCTTGTTGCCCTTGTCCAGTAATGATATAAAGGCCGCAATGGTGTAGAATACCCCTGTTGTGTTTACCCGGAACGTGTCTAGAAATTCATCGACCGGAGTATCCATGAGGAAAGATTCCAACTCATCAGGGGTCGCATTCTCCTGTAAAGTGCGACCGACCTTTACGCTGATGGCTTCTGGTGAGTCCATATAAAGCATCCCTGCATTTGCGACGAGCAGGTTGATGTATCCGGTTTCAGTATGAATCTGATCGGCAGCGGCAGCAAGAGAGGCCTTTGAGCCTACATCAGCAACGATAGGGATAATAACACCGGGATGCATGTCGGCTGTATCTTCGAGGGTGTCTTTGTGGCGGCCCAGGATATAGACTCTGCTGGCTCCATTGCTAGCGAGAGCGAGAGCCATTGTCTTGCCCAGACCTGCGATAGTAACATTGTCAGCTTGTGTAAAGAGGATTACAAGAGTGAACCGCAACACACATACCAGAGCTCCCGCCGGTGATGACGGCAACCAAGCCGCGCACATTGAACAAATCTTTGATATCGTACGGCATCTTGATGGAATAGCCCTTGAGTGATGTGATGTGAAAGAAACAATCAGAATTTTTTAATCCATGATCCCCGTTATATAAATCCACCCACAGATCGGTGATACGTCAATTGACACCGGCAAATCAGTCGGTATGTCGATCATGTTTGGATGTATCACAATGACACTCCCAACTTCGCTGTACATCCACGTCGACACATTCTCGTCGATGTCATATTGTCCAGATGAAGCAAATGATAAGTTATATTGGGTTTGGAAGAAAGACTCAAACGTAGAGGTTCCTACCACATCTAACCAGTGGCAACACAACGAAGAATCAAGCCAAACCTGAAGCTTGACCCCGTTAAACTGCCCCAAGTTACCATACTTCGGGCTTCTCTCGGGGAAGCTGAGTAACAGACTCACCTAGGATATGTCTAATCTATCATACCCAACCCTGCAGGAGGTGCATGGACGCAAATTGTAATGAACACAAATCATTGCCACTTGGTTCCAAATTACATAAGAGTTGTGGGTAAGGTTCTTTGTCCATCTATCTAGTCCGCTGGTTGGATGCTTCTAAGGAGGTCATAATCATCAGCCGGGGGTTCGTGTGGGAAGAGACTTAGGTTATAAATCTCGCTGCTGGAGTTCTGATGAATTAGAATTGAAATATGGTTTGCAACTTACATTTTCAAGGATCTAGTATGGTCTACACGACCTCATCAGAGCGCTCTAGATCCTACTATACCTGGTAAGTGGCTCTCCTGGTTGCTTGTTTGTTAGATGAACAGCAGGTAATTGCAGAGAGATGTAGTATCCTGGACAGCAAGTGCAGTATCGCTCAGGAGAGCGCAAGCACCTGGAAGCAATGGTTCTTCCCTCGGCATGTGACGTATCGCACGCAAAAACTAGAAGGAGCGTCTACTGAGAATCATGATCAAGGTTTGAACCAGAAAGTTCCTTGACCGCCTGACCTTCCCTAAGTCAAAAGCATACAGATATTATTCGCTCACGTATATACACAGCCGAACCCAAATGTTTTTATACTCCCTTCATCCGTCTTAAGTAAGGCCTGACCTCCAGTGTACATGTTAACAGGCATTTTAACTTAATCAGAAGTGGCGGTGCAGTTGACACTCAGAAGACTCTCATCGACCTGGACAGCGTTAGTCACCGATTTAGATCTTCACCTGGCTTTGGCCGACTCACATTATCGCAAACAAAGTCATTGGTTCCATCTGGGCTTGTAACATTGATATTGGACGTATAGATATCCGAGCAAGTCTAATGGGTGTGAGCCTAATACAGACTAAACGCCTATGCTGGATGACACTTACATCAGGACTGGAACAAACAATTGTCCCAACATAGGGATCTTCCGATCCCGACGTCGTACCGCGGAAGTTCTTGATGTGGACGTCCGAGATGGTGAGAGAGCTCTATTAGTGTGTTAGGATTGCTTCGGGGAAGCGGCTGAAGGTCTACTAACCGGGTACTCGTTGCACAAGGTAGTATTACTCTGCCCATAGCACTGCGTGATTTCAATAGCCCAGTCGACATTATCAATGAGTGCGGTGTCGTAGGTGATATTCTTCACGCTACCCGAGCCACCGCCGCCTTGAAGATCGGCAGATAGCGCAGAGGGAGTACCAGGCCAAACCTTGATGCGGGCCATATCCTGCAACCAAGTTAGTAAGAAGTTTATTATTTGGTTAAGGTTCAGACATACCGAAGCGTTAAACATAGAGATATTGTACACATAGACATTCTCAACGATATCAACCTCATCCTTGTATTGGCCGAGAGAGCCCACTGAAATGCCGTGGGAGCCATTGCAGTGAAGGTTCTGAACGAGAATATTGGTGCTGTTTGGCTTGAAGGAGACACAATCTTTATTGGTTTGCAAGTTAGAATTGTTGAAGAATGACGCTACTAAGATTGACTCACCATCACCGTTATTGATCACCGAGTTTTGAATAACGATATTGTTCGAGCGGTAGGTATCCCTACGGGAAGAAAAGGTCAGTATGACCCTCAATGTGAAGCAGGTATAAACGCACCATCCATCAGTGTTCTTGGCCTCGTTATCGCTCTTACTATAACCCGAAATGTCAATTCCATCAAAGAGGACATTTGACGAATTAGCCACGAAGTGGTAGTACTGCGGCGAGTACCGTAACTTCAGCGGACCGATTGTGCCACCGTTCAGCCCGATGATGCCCATCAAGACGGGACGCAGAATGAGATCATCTTCGGCATACAGATCATACCACACCTGTCCGTTGCCATTGATTGTACCACCACCGTACATATTCACATCTTCACCACCGAGTTGGAAGAAGGTCGTAGCGTTCTGAAAGCCCTGTTTGAAGGAGTTGGCTTGCCAGTATTCTGTATCGTTGGTGAATAAGATTGTTCCGAGGACCTCTGTTGAATCATAAGGTTAGTCAATTGTCAACTTGATCAATGGATCTGCATAGTAGGCACCTAGGTCAATGTTCTTCAGGAAGGTCATATTCAGCGCCGTCCCAATGATGTATTCCTTGTCCTCATCGAAAACGACCTTTCCACCGTGGTTACATTGGTTCAATGCGGAAAGGATGTAATCAGAGTCGTCAGTGCCGTCTCCATGGCTGCGGACATGGCAGGTCTTGTCCCTGCTCTGACTTGTAGGTAGAGGCCGGAAAGGCTTTTTTGGGCCGCAGGCAGCTTCTCTGGACCGGGAGAAGGCCTCTGCTGTGGCCCCTAGCGCAAGAAGGCCAAGCGTGTGTGAGAGAACGTGCGTGAGTCTCATTGTGTGAGATTGGCAGGAGACAAGTCTGGGTTCACGGACAGAGCTTGGGCAGAGTTACTGCAAAGCAATGACGATCGCCACTGGGCATTTATATCCATTGCACTGGGTCGACATAACTCCCCCGCAGTCTTGCCCACACTGACCACACCACCCATGTCTCCGAGTTGGGGAGTTCGCTGGACTTCATATCCGGGGGAACGCAGTCAACCAAACGGAGCGAGCAAACCACGACTGTGGAGCTATGCTAAGCTTGTGGCTTGCTCCTGTAATCAACAGGGGCACTTGGAGACAGTTAGCTGCTGGAGAATGTGGTGGTGGGGGATTGTGTGGAGGAGCAACGAGAGACGATGTGATAGGAGGGCTTGTCGGAGACGATTATCCGATTGGGGGAAAAACGTGTTTCTGGGGAATTGGCAGGGAACTTACCCCCTGCCATCTTCTGCATCATGACTTCATTTGTAATGGAGAGCAATACCCGGTTATTTTTTAATCCCCGTTAGATGATATTGTCGCACAGGTCAATTCCCGAAACCTGCGGTAAGCGCAGGTCCGTGCAAACTCCGTGTGGTACAAGCCTCCTGCACTATACATACCACCACTAGGATGCCAGGTTGAAAGGCCGACAGCTGCTAAGCTTCAACTAAGTAGATATATGCTGTAACAAAATTACCGAAGCGTCTGCTCTCCGAGTCTAGGATTACATGAGCCGACCCCCGAAGTCTCAATGGTCTACAACACTGACAAGCATAGAGGAATGTCGATGCAATTTATAAGGGAATATGTACATATATAAGTCGGAGTCGCCTCCAGCCAACTTCATCTCATGATATGCTCTATGAGCCTACTCACCAATGCCAAGGGGAAGACAATCTATTGTGGCTTAGGCTGCACTTTACGCAACCCTTGTCCCAGACCAAAGTTGTTTAAGCAGACTTCTCAATGGCAGCCTTCGCCTGAGCAGCAACGGCCTTGGCGTCGTCGGCCACCTCGTGTTCCAGATCCTGCACGGCGGCGGCGGTCGAGCCATCAAGGTTACGGCGGTAGTTGAGAATGCGGCCGACCTGGACAACACCGACACATCCGAGGAAGAAGTTGACAGCAGCGAGCCTAGCCAGTCAGTATCCTTTCCACATTATCATAATCGGGGCTCGAGGTACATACAGGTAGTTCTTGGGGGTGATGATCATGCACCAGCGAGTCCAGATGCAGCCAGTGGCCATCAGGGCACCGTTCTGAGTGAGGGAGAGCTTCTCGGCAGGGCGGCTAAAATCGGAGATACCGGCGATGACAAGAGCCCACTGGTTGAGTCAGTGAGACAGCACATAGATACAGCAGGATTATCGCGAATAATGTGGAAGGAGATTCCGAGGAACAGGTTTCAGCAAGGTGCATGATGTCGTACCTTCATAACGGGGGCCCTATGACACATCAGTGTTAGTATACAATGCAATACAAACATTTACATGGTTTGGAAAAAGAAAGAAAAGATAAAAAGCAAATGCAAAAACATAATATCCGAGTATAACTCACCAGAAATGCACCGTCTTCACACCGACCGGGCTGTTCCATAGACGCTGGAAAGTGCTCTGTTGCTCAGCGGCGGCAGCATCGGAGCTCTGGAAGCGGAAGCCCTGGGCACCAGGCCGACGGAAAGGGCCATATGCGTTGCGGAAAGCAGCCCTGGTGTTCTGGAAGAAGCGAAGACCAACACGGGAGGACGACATGGTGATTGATTTTATATGGCGCGGATACGGCGTGAACGGGGCGAATCAAGGACGGCGGTAAGAAGGTACAAACCGGAGAGAAAAGGACAAGGATCGGTCCAATGGAAGAAGAGAGTGGAGATGTTCAAGATACGCCGTGCGCAACAACAGCAATAGGCGACCAGCCGGGGAAATATGAAAATGGAGATCTTGGTAAAATGACGAAGGGAAGAGTGAGTCCCAGCGGCCCCGAGGTCGGCCTTCCGTTGGGGGTTGCGGCTCTTTTCCGGCTGAGGTAAGCGGTGACAATCACGCTTGACCGGATTGGTCTGTACGGGCTCAGAACCTCCAGCGGGAATCAATTCATCGTCTCCTCCCCCAGAGTCCCTGTGATCAGCTTCAAGCTCCCATTATCGGTCCCTGACCCCTCCGTCGCCCCCAATTGATACCCTGCGCCGATTTTTACGGGGCTGATTATTGTTGTTGACTCTCGTTGCGAACTCCGGTCCTCCCGTCTATCACGATCTTCCCCCACAATGTCGTCCAAGTACGTCTTCACCAAGGGTCTGAAGGAGCTGCGCTTCCTTTTCTGCCAGACCTCTCAGGCTAGCTCTGCTACTCGGTGAGTCTACAATGTTTCTAGTTGGTATTACATGAAGGGGTTGCTGATAACCTGTATCTGTAGCTCGTTCTTGCAGCGCGCATACCCGACCATGAAGAAGCACAACCCTCACACCCCCATCCTGATGCGCGAGGCAGCTGGTACTGTGCCTAGGGTGTACGCCAGATACGGTACGACAAAGTCCTCAATGCCACATCAACGGTGGATAAATGATGACTAACATTCTCGCAGCTTTCGGCCAAGAGAAGCAGGAAGCTCTGACCGGTAAGATTCTTGAGCGGAGACTATCAATGCAAAACTGACCATGATGCACCTCCAGGCTTGACGGATCAGCAGATCGAAGAGAAGATCACTCAGTTGGTGAAGGCGTCTTCATAGCGAAATCACGACGCGTCCGTATATGTTCATGCACCGCATTTCCAATTTGCACTGTATCTATAGATGAATTGAAACTCGTTCGCCGTGATAACCCAGTCAATATCTACACGATTCCATTGTTCGCTTTCCACTCTACAAAGAACTAGTACTGTTGGCGGTTTCGCCGAATCTATATTGCGCCCAACTCATGCTTCCCTCCTTCAAGGTCCACAGTCTCCTTCCAACATCATCGCCCGCAGCACCGGCTCCAATATGAATCGGAAGCAGGTGGTCGAAATACGGGTGTGCCTGCCGAGCATCCGGCCGTTTCAGCAAATCTGCCATAGCCTGTTCTCGCTCCGCTGGCGCTTTCGTGACGGCTTCCTTCAGAGCTTCATCGAAGCTGGCAGTATACGGCAAAGGCCGCGGGTCACCCCAGGTGAATTGCATATCGCGCAGGTTATGCACCGCCATACCGGAGACGATGATCAAGATGTTCTCCTCACGGAGTCTCGAGACCGCCTGACCTAGTCGGTAATGCTGGATAGGATCCTCCGTTTTGAACAGCGATACCTGCACAACAGGGACATTCAGAGGGTTCTTCTCAGGCTCAAAAGCTACAGACGAAAGTCAGCATCTCCCAGCCAAACCATCGTCCAATCTCAATCAAACATACCGCACTTAAAACTCGCCCACACACCATGATCAAGACCTCTCTTCACCCCCTCACCCTTAATCCCCGCCTGACTCAACGCATCGAGGACCTTATTCGCAACTTCCCGACTCCCAACATTAGGATACTTCTCCTTGTAGTAATGACTAGGGAAGCCATAAAAGCTAAAACCAACGTTAACCAAACACCAAACCACCAACCACACTTAGGTAAGTAAAAAAAAAAGAGACCAACATACTCATAAATCAAATCCGTAATCTCCGCCGTATTAACCTGAATAGTATCCCTCCCCGCCTGCCAATGCGCCGAGAAAACCACCACCGCGCGCGGCTTCACCTTGGTAGTAATTTCCTTCCCTATCTCACCCAGCTTATGATACGCCGGGTGCTCATGATCATACATGATATTCGGCTGCACATAATCAGCATCCCAACCCCAATCTTTATACCACAAAACATAAAAAAGGTGAAAAAGAGAAAAAATAAAAAAAGAGGATAGGGTAGGGAAAACTCACCCCACCATGACTCAAAAAATAAACCGGCGTTCTCGCCATCGTAACCCGATCTTCAAACCCCCCTTCTTCACCCAACTTCTTCTTATTCTTCACTTTATCCGAAAAACTTCCACTACCAGGAGTAGTAGTAGTAGTAGTAGAAGTACTAGCAGCAACAAACCCCCGCGAAGCAGAAGTAGCCCTACCACCCGCACCCAAAAACCGTCTAAGACCGAACAGATTGGCGTCAGCACTCCCACCACTACCAGTACTAGTACTTCCCGTATAGCCCCAAAAGCCAGCGACAGCAATGGCCAGAAGCAAAGTAATCAGCGAGAGGACCGCCAGGGCTGATTTCTGTTTTGGTGGTGTGCTAGCAGTAGTAGCAGTAGTAGTAGTGTTCTGATGAGATGATGGTGTGGAGGAGGATGGCGGAATGGGGGCAGAAGACATAGATTATCTATAGGAAGGATTCGGAATGGTCCCGGTGCGGGCTCAGATCGGGGTAGCTTAAGAAAATGAGGGGGGAAAAAGGAAGGAAGACAAGCGAAGATGCATGGAAGGGTGCAGAAGGATCTTTCTTCTATTTGTTGCGGGTTTCACGGAAGGATTTTTTTTCTCTTAATGAGTTGTGATTGATTTATTATGCAGGGGTCTTGGGGGTAGATTGTGGCTCATTGAGTATGGTGTGATGAGGGATAGGCGATATTGTAATCATTAGCGATCCGATCGGGAGGAGGCGCTATCCGTCGGAAGGAGTGCGGAATTGCGCCGCGGTGCTTTGAACTTTCTGCAGAGCATGCATAGGTTTATGTTTATACTAATGTACTGCAAAGTACTCTGTTCATATAGGCAGTTCATTATTAAGGTATTATAAAACAGGGCATCATCATGCGGTGTCTAGTCTAAGCAAAATAACCATGGGTGTTGAAGATGCGGTCCGGTACAATCCAGATTGACCGGCCCAATTCAGCAATCATGTCCCCGATGGAATTCTCCCAGGCCAGAAATTGCAAGCATCGTAGTAATCCAATTCCAGCTCGTTAAGTGGGTATAAGCATTCGCCAGCAATCAGAAATCACTGGCAGACAGGTCCAAAAAGAGTATTAAACTGGTAGAACGAAATCGTAAACATCCCCCGAAATTTCCACCATCCAGTTGTCATGCTCATTTACATAATGACACAATCGCCTTCGTTCTGCTTTTGTTGATTGACAGCAGACCGGGACAGTCGGGTCTTTTGCATCCGAGCGCCGCCCTGCTTGATCTCCTCGAGACGCTCACGCGCTTTGGGAAATTGTTGTGCTGTAGTGAAAGTACATTAGCGATCGAAAGTGCATAAGACAGTAGAGAAACTCACCAGCTGCCCGCCAGTACCACCTCTTCGCATCATCCAGGTTGGCAGCTACACCGATACCGACTTCGGTGAAATATCCCATCGCGTATTCTGCTTTGGCGAGACCGGCAGTCGCGGCCTTGCGCGCCCAGAGATAAGCTTCTGTGTCACTCTGCTGGAGGATACCCTCCGCTCCAGTAAGGTACCATCCACTCAGAGCAAGTTCACTCTGGTGCTCCCCTTGGGCGGCAGCATGAGTGTACCAGATGATACTCTGACGGAAGTCGACAGGGCATCCCATCAAGCCGTACTCATACGCAGATCCCAAGCGGAATTGAGAAAACTTGTATCCCAATTCGGCCGCCTGGTGGAAAAGTTGGCTTGCGTAGGCTTCATCCCGAACAACGACATCATTGGGTCCCGCATTTGCGTACATAAGAGCAAGCTCATGAAGCGCATGTGGGTTCTCGGCATCGGCACGCTCTGCGGCACGCTTTAGCCAAGAGATACCTTCGCGAGGGTTCTTGGCCTGCCCAAGAAGGCCTTTGAGCAAGATCATTCCCATCTTGTACATCGCAGGCGGGTCTCCCAAGGATGCAGCACGCTTGTACCATTGCACCGCCTTGAAAGGATCGCGTCTAGTGCCTCCGCCTTCTTCTTGTCCTATCTCGCAGCATACAGCGACTCGGTAGGCAGACTGGGCATGTCCCGCCTTAGCAGCGGAATGATATAGGCTGTAAGCTTCCTTAGGATCCACTTGAAGACCCATCTGTCCTGACCCATAACAATCCGCGAGGAAGAACTGAGCGTCCGCATATCCACTGGATGCCAACTTCTTGACGATTTTGTAGCCATCCATAACATACCTCTCGCGGGCTTTCGCTTTGGTCTTGGGATCCATCCGACTGCTGTCAACCAGGACGGTCGATGCCTCAACCAACTTCTTCGCAAGTAGAAGCTGGGTCTTGTTGTCTGACGGCCTACTTTTGGCCATCTGTTGAAGTTGTTGAAGTTCCTGCTGGGTGACAGGACCGGATGCAGCTGGTTCCACGGGCGCGGCTTGCGGCGGGGAAGCAGCAGGAGGGGAGGCTGATGCGTTGGCATTGCTATATTGTCGTACCGGTGCAGGTTTGCTTCCCTGATCGTGGCCCGGACGGAATGGAACGGGGTGGTGAGGGAGAGAATCAGGATTCTTTTGGGGATCCACAACTTCGGGCTGATTCAAAGCTGGTGCTGGTTCAGTCACAGGCATCGGTTGATTGGGCCTGTAGGGGCGAGGTGGATTGCCCCGGACAGAAGGCTCTGGGACAGGATACCCGCTATTGGGTTCAGGATAAGCTGGCATTCCAGCGCCCCGGTTCCCCTGATCTTGAGGGTGGGGCTCCTCGTAGGGATGCGGATTGTAACCATATCCAGCACCAGCCTGAGTATAGGCAGGTTCAATTGGTGGACCCTCATTCGGCAGGTCAAACTGGAAGCCTGCACTTGCAAACTGATTCGGCGCAACTGCGCCCCTGGCTTCCACTGGAGACTGCGGATAAGGATCGCTCGCTGCATGAGGGTTGAACGCGGTGTATCCACCACGAGATGAGGGTGGCGACTCGATGGGTGCCTTGGCCTTCGGCTGTTCAAGGCCGGGCAAGCTTTCATCAATCACTCCGCCCGTCGCGAAATTAGGCATCGCATCGAAGTTGGGCATATCGGTCTCACCAGCATGAGCCGAGTTATAATAACTGTCCACCCATGCCTCAGTATCAAAATGCTCATGCGGACCCGGTTGCGGTTGAGAGTAAGGATCCTGGTAGGTTGATTGCCCAGGGTACAGAGGCTTGGGCGGCGGAGGTGACATTGTCGGCTGGACCGGCATGGTAGCACTTCGATTGACGTGTGGTACAGGCGGCGGGTCATTAGGATCGGTGTACGGCCTGTTGCTTCGAACAGACGAAGCTGCCGGACGGCCAGTACTTGCTGATCGCACAGGAGCGGCGGGATAGTTGCTTCTACCACGGCCAGGGGATACAGGTCTAGGTGGTCGCCTACTATGCGAGGTATGCGGACGCTCCGGCACCTGTGAAGGGGGTATTGGGCCACCATTGAGGTCCATTGCGGCCATTTCACCTTCAATACTTCTCGGTCCGCGGGGGTCTTTCGTGGGGAAAGATGGAAATGGATTATCAAATGCCATCTTATCAGGGGATTGTGGCGGACGAGCAGCTAGACTACGTCAACGGCATGTTCCAAGTAAGTGGGCTCATTTATACTCACGTCGTCTCATCTGAGGAGGTGGTCTGTCACCGTAGCCACGACGGCTATCATATCCCTGCGGCGGTGGAGGGCGTCCGCGATGTGCATATCCACGAGCCTCCATCGGGGGTCCATAGCCACCACGCGGAGGCCGCGGAGCCCCTGGTGGAGGCCCATAAGACCGTGGGACTGCGCTATCACCGGGATAACCGCGTCCTGAACCCTGAGGACCATTACTGTATCCATAGTATTGGTTGTCATAGCCATAATCATATTGTGCATTTGGCGGCGGACCCTGGAAGGCCCCGCCCCGGGCGGGAGGAGCGCGGGGACCATAGTTTCGCATCGGAGGAGCCCTCTGCGCTGGATGCTGAGGGTATGCCATTATGCCAACAGTAATCTTGCGAACTGTGCAACGGAAACGAGTGGACACGGGGTTTTGAACAAACGAATGCGGATCCTGTATCCGGGTTGGAAGCGCGGGGAACAATCAATCCACTAGTAGACAATGCTCACGCCCCCCTTTCACTATCTACACCAATAGGAGGTCAGCCAGTGAGACAAAGGTACATATGGCAAAATGCTGCTGGTCCCTGGTAGTACTTGAGGGGGGGGGGGGGGGGCGCTTAGCTTACTGGAAGCTAGGTAGATATGCGAAAAGTGACACCGGGACTAAGATTCAACAGTTCCATGCGATATATGCAGCCATTAGACCCTTGAAGAAAGACCAGCGCGAGACTAATGTATCCTAGCGAAAGGGAAAGGAATGCTGTCAGCGGTCGAATTGTGGGCGCAAATGACTGCAGAAGCCGGGGGCGCGATCGCACGGCGAATGCGCGAAGCCGGACCAACTCACCAGAACACGAGGGATAACCTTCCCCCCGCCAGGAATGAAGGAATGCGGGACCGGGGCAGGGAAAGAAAGATACAAAAGATGGCAAAGGAAGAATGACCTTTGTGAGAAGATAAAGAGCGTGTGACCTCCGTGGGAGGAGGAATTTTAGGTTAGTGACAGAAGGGGGTGGTGGAGGTTGGCGGAGGTAAAGACGATAAGTGTCTTTGGGTGGTCGAGGGTTATAGGGACGGAGTCCGGAGTAGAGTACCTGACGGGTAAAGTAGTCTGACTGGATGGAGAGGGGAAACAGAAAGCCACCCGTGATTTTAAAACTTCCCCCTCTGCTAGTAGACTGGAGTGACAGAAAAAAAAAAAAAATAATCTAGGAGCGACAACACAAGGGATTATGATTTATTATTATAATTACTGATTGATTGACCGCGACGATGAAACACTTTATGAATGCCCACTCATTATGCCTTTCGTTCTCTCCTCTCCTTTGTCTCTGATCAACCATGCGCGACTCCTAGCGAAATACCCATAATGCATGACTGAACTGTTCGTGCACCCACTTAACTATCTACTCACTGGTCGGCTACTGACACTTTGGAACGGTTCTTCTGAACTGACCCACGCCCGTCCCGCCGGGAATACTGTCGCTGGTCAGAGTTAGATATCGGTGTCCACTTCTCGCTGGTACAAAACGGATCTCCTCCTCCGTCGCCCGACCCCATTCAGTCTAGTGGCAGCAGGAGTCATGGCTTTGGAAGTTTGGAACCTGGGTGAAGGACATTAAAGAGGGACTGGTGGCACTCGTGCCATGTATCGACAGTGGGTAATCATATCCCAGTGCACCGTCAACCAGACCTACCAGCATTCCCGACTGACCCTTCTTCAAATACAGAATCAGAAACCGTTGGAGTCAGATAACCGCTTGGCACGGCGCTACCCAAGACTCCCATCTAGGAAATGACGTTGGATATCCTCTTAAGGCTATTGACCCCTGAGACATGAGATCAACCGCAACCCAATATTTCGAACAGCCATTATCTGCCCATCTCCTACAAACCCCGCTGCAAGGTCTTGAGCCTTTTGATCATCAGGGGTCTGGAAGACTTGTGCCAATGGATAGTCAGTAAGCAGTTAATCTTTGAGGGGCTCCTAGTTTAGTACAACGACAGCGGTCAATATGGATCAAACTCCAGCGCAATCTCCGTTCGAAACTTAGGCGCTGCATTTCTATTGGTTTATACGAATACGACATAGCCCCATGCGTCGAATTACAATGAAGGATAAACACTCGGAGTTCGACAACCAGCCTATGATGTTATCGATCATCAACCTATCTTACCTAACCCACTCCCTTACTATTCCCAATCACTAGTAATATCAAGTGGCTCGTCGAGCCCTATGGGGTACAACAAGCTGATGGTCCGACACAATTTACGGCCTTGAATCAGTTGATTGTCCAAGCGTGTCTCTTCAGCCATAGCAGATATTAGTTACCCCTGCCGCGTTGACGTATCAGATATGTCGCATCGAAAGATACCAACGTGGACCTTAGCCAACCTTGCGTCTGCGCGAATATACTCTATCTATCCACATCCCACTTTCGCAAATGAGAATGCACATTAAAATCAACAACGCCAGATGATTTCTCTCTCGTAAAAGCATTTGACTAATAGACTTCCTGAAAATAAGATAATGATCAGCTGCATCTGCGGATGGAAGTCCCACGCCTAGAATGGAGCTGCACATGACCCAAATGAGTAAAGTAATTCTTCATACCTCGCAAGTGCTCACCAATGAAGCAATTCTACCGACACCCTACTTTTGCTCTGTGATTATATTTAGAAGTCGATATATCAATGCCGAGCGGACCGATGTCTAAGACATCCCGACATCACAGTAACCTTTCAAATAGAGGAGACAACAGAGAACCTCTACAGACTACGATATTCCCCGCCCCTGGGAAAATCAGCAGCTCATTCGCACAAAATCTGATAGTGTTGTTCTAGTGACATAGTGAGTGGAGCAGCAGCAAGCAGCAGAACTTTTTCCCCTCGGGAGAAGGCCAGCAAAAAGGAAGTCCGCCCGAACAATTCCACTCCGCTTCCCTAATTGGTTTACAATTAAGTAACGGCCACAAACCTGCGCCACCTGCATTAGCCTCCACTGCTGCGCCACACACACATATGGATCGGCGCTGCCGAATCCCGTGTGCGTGATTACGATGATGATGTTGATTGATGTCGGAGATCAGACGCACTTCCCGAACGATTCCTCTGTGGCTTTCAACGATTGAAAGACATCAACAACCAACCAACCTCTCGCGTCTAGCTAGCCATTTACAGCAGGGCGATCTCCACCTGCCTTACATCACTCCTCGTCCCAAACCAAACAACAAACAAACAATTGTCTCCCAGAAAATAAATCATCCTCCACCATGTCTCGGGCAGGAACCTGGATGAAGATGCTCGGCGTGTAAGGCGCATCCCACCCACCCACCTTTTTCTTTCCGCACTTGCCGCGCGATTTTTCTAACGGGGTAAATTACTACTATTAGCGGCATCGTCATCTGTGTCGGCGGTCCGGCTTTCGTCCAATACATCCGTCCTACCGACGAAGAATTGTTCAAGCGTTATAACCCGGATCTTCAGAAGCGGAGTTTGGAGGAAGGGGATCGCCGGGCTCGAGAATTCGATGAATATGTTACCCGGATGAAGCAATGGTCTAAGTCTGATAAGTCGAGTGCGTTTATGCCTCTTCCCCCTTCTTTTTTTTATCTTGTGGATTGTCTGTGAGCAGTTATACTGATGTCATGGGTTGGTTAGTTTGGTACGCGGCGCAGGAACAACAGGAACAAAAGCGCGTGGAGGCGGAGGTACAACGGAACCAGGCTAGGGATGATGCTAAGGTACAACGTGAGGAGATGAGGAAGGAATTGCTGGGTGAGAAATAGTCTTGTTGCGGAAAGTATATCCCCACGGGAGTGAATTTGCTGTGACTAGCTCAAACTCATTTCTTGGAGATGTAGCTGGATCGGACATGATGCTAGGAAGGACTGTTGACTCCTGCATCGTCCTTGTATTTATACCCATTGCGTCTACCTGGGACATGTCCAAAAAGCATTGTGGGGGAAGCATTTGGCTCAGATTTTGTGGAGTTTCGGAGGCTACGGTCTATACTGTATTATATTTAAATGACTGAATGGAAATCCTACGCTTGCTTATATATTGTGTCTCTGCCGTTCCTGTTCTTCGGATTACGCCTATGGCAGCCGAGTATCTTGTAATCGTGGTAACCACGAGGCATGACGTTGGGGTGCTCCCGTTACTGCTCTTGTAGTGGCAAGCGTTATTCGGCAGAGGAGTCACTAGCAAGACCAAAATCTGTGGACATGCGGCTGGGGCAGATCTGGAGAACTGAGGGCACTTGAAATGACCTGGAGTAACTCGGCACAGCTATACGCATGCCAAAGCCATTCTTAGCCGCACGGCAACCTTCATGTGTGGAAAGAAATATACTGTATTAGATCAACTTCATCAACGCTTATTGATATGAGTACTACTGGCCCGGTTGGTCCCACTTTCACTGCGTATGAGGAAGGCCTTCAGACAGTATCCTTGAGACCTATATCAACTTCTTCTGGTTTGAGATGAGTTGGCCACGCGTAAACATGGAGGTTGTAGCCAATGAGCACCTCTGCTGAGTATGACGATCTCATATCTGAGATCTTCTCCGCCCACGCTTGAATGAACTGTCGGGCCAAAGTTGCTGCAATCGTCGTATTGATGCTCGCTGTATGAATGGAGTTGTATAAATCGCTCAGATACTTGTCGCGGCTGTAGGCCTGTAGTTGTCCGTTCAGACAATTTCCGCATCCATCAATCAAAATTGCGATGCAAAGTGTTGCTGTGGATTGTTGTGGATACTAACATAGCGCAATAAGTGATCGCGTTACGCCCTTGTGATTATGAAAGAGATATACTTTGCACCATAGGTCTTCGAATTAGGCGTAGACCGTCCCCGGTTATTTTCATAATATGTCTCACTCGTGAAGGGGGAAAAGCATGACGCTAAAAGCACTTGTTTCAATTAATAGGAAAACAGCTGGTATGAGCAACAAATCTAGCCAAGTCTAAAGCAGATCGAAGAATGCAGAAGTTGGCAGGATTCTTTCGGCAATCAAGTCCTTATCGTATCTATTATCTAGATATCTGGAAGAAGGGTCCACACTCCATACTCGTTAAGGCAGGACTGCCACGTGATGCATGTGACGGAAGGCGCAGCATGCTTACATAGGACGCACCGCCACATAGTAGGGCGTGTTTCTTAAGCAACGCATGAGGTCGGGCAGACCGTTGCCATACTTCATAACACTTGGTAGTGAAGGGTGCCCAATAGACGGACAACTGGTGTTGCTATTTCTGTCGGTATTGCTTTCTCTACCAAATTTGCAGGCATACCTGAGCCTTGCTCCTGCACCTAGTGCATACATCGAGAGTATTGACAGTTGTAGTAGATCTTCTACTTCCATGTGAAGTAACTAGGTGGATATGGACAGGGTATCCTCTCCTTTTCCATGGGCGCAGTTGTAGTCAATAGAAACAAAGTAGCAGCAGTCTCTATACAGCCACTCAACCTTTTGACTTTTCACCTTCTCTTTGTTTCCATTCTAGCGGCTGGTCCAATTGGGTCTCACCACTAAGCACAAAATAATAATAGCTGCCTGTGCCGGGGCGTCCTTCCCAATAGACCGCGGGTCACGTGAAACCGCCCCGACCGAACCGAAACGCCTGTAATCTCCAGAAGGCGGGCGGCGATTCATCACACCTTGTCAGCTTCCCTTCAATAACGCATCCTACTTCCCTCCTGCATTCCATCGTCCCGCCACCTTCCACACCATCCTCCGACCTCCACCTTTCTCGCTTTTCACCGTACCCTCAGTCGTCGAGTCTGTCGTTGCGACTTACCGCCTCATCCCCTACGACAGCAACAGGCAGCAGCCCGTCACTTTCCACCTAGGTAGTCTGGTGACTTACCAGGTCCTACACCCCCGAATACCGAGTTCATAGAATCTATCGCGCACGAGAATCATGTCCGAGCAGCCTTACGACCCCTACATCCCCTCTGGCGCCAATGGAGCCGGCGCCGGCGCCAGCGCCGCGCAAAATGGCGACCCCAGGACAAGGGAAATCGACAAAGTAAGTTGCCGAAACGCCTCGCGGCCAACTCTTATCGTACCACAAGGATCTGTCGCCCAGGCTGGATAGGATGTGACGGCTTGCCAGTGCTCATCTGGACGTCCATCTGGGTTCATCTACACAGGGCGGCAACCCCGGTCTTTTGGATGTTATTGAGCTTGTGTCTATCATGGCATTTGTCGCAAAGCCCTTTACTAACACTGTGTTTCTTTTTCCTTTAGAAAATCCAAGAGACTGTTGATACAATGCGCTCCAACATCTTCAAAGTTTCAGAACGTGGTGAACGTCTAGACTCCCTCCAGGACAAGACGGACAATTTGGCGACATCAGCGCAGGGATTCCGCAGAGGTGCCAACCGCGTGAGGAAGCAAATGTGGTGGAAGGATATGAAGATGCGCGTGTGCCTTATCATTTGTATCATTATTCTGCTCATTGTGATTATCGTCCCTGCAGGTAAGATCAGCGCTGTTCTCCGGCACTCCACCCAGCTGGACCCGGTAAAGTATCCCGGAATGCGCTAACAGCTTTCTCCTTTTAGTTGTCGCAACCAAACATTAAGCTACGACTTCAGAGCGCGACAGTCATGATTGGCTTGGGAATGGATGACGATTTTTCTTTCGCCTGGCCCTGGTTTATCTGTGTTGAGACGAAGCCGTTGTTTCCAGCTATTAATACCACCTGCTTTTTTCTCGGGCGTCAACCTCGTTCTCACGAATAAAGTCTTGTTGTCTCTATACGCCATGGACGCTATGAGCCGGTATGGAGATTGAGGCTATGCCACATGATTCCATCGACGGTGAAGATGTAAATGATACTCTCCGGTGCTTCCTCGTGTTCAAGTATCAGTGCTGTTTGTTGGTTTTGGTCTCCTATGTTTGCTCCTTTTCTTTTTCTTTTCCTTTTCTCTTTTTTCTTTATGTATTTCCTTTGTGTCTTTCCCTTTTTAGCCATTAATGGACCTCTGCTCCAGATTACACTCAAGAGTACACTGCGAGTATAGTACAGGCAACCTAATCTGTCCTTTTGAGACTTGCACCTGCATAAAAGCGAGAGGGTGAAAAACGGAGAGAGAGAGAGAGAGCAGGACTTGACGAGAAAGACGGTCAGGGCACTCATCTAGCCATAAGTCCGACCCATCGTAGCCTGAGACACGGGTAGATTCTCGTATTGCGGATACTACTACGGAGGAGATTACCAGCCATAGATAAAACCCGCACCCCACGGAAAAAGCAAAGGGAGGAAAGGCTCGGATGGAAAGGACCGAAGAGCAAGGAGATGTGGACCACATTAATATGGAATCTGGATACCCAGTTGTACGTGTTAGGTAAAGGGAGGATCAGATAACGAAAAGGATCCATCTGCACTGACGGATTTGACACCTGTGGCCTGAGTCGTGCTGGAGCACGACTCCAGCGAGTCAAGACAGTGATAGGCTGGTCGGCAATTAGCGAGATCTGATAACGGCTTGAAGAGTTATAATGATTGATGGAAATTGATCACAGGGGATCGTCGGGATCCATATGCTGGGTTTTCATTACGTGTGACGATGCGAAAGAGGGAAGCGAGGTCGAGATGGATGGGGGAGCGAAGGGCAACCGGAAATAATGGGAACCGGGACCTTGGAATAATAGTAATGTGGTGAGTCACTTTTTTTCGATACCCGGCTCCGAAAGTCGCAGCCAAGCCAGCGTTTCGGGCACTTGTGCGGACTGGCGTTTATCCCTCGATATATACCTTAAGAAAGCCGGGTTTTGCGCAATTTATTCCAGTGGCCAGATCGAAATTCGCTCACATACTATAGTGACAGGTTCGACGGAGATCCAGGTGCCCCTGGTTAGCTTGTGAAAACGGCCCAAAAATCGAGGCAACGCGTGGGGAGAGAGAAAGATATAAAGGGCGCTCCCGAACGCGGCAAAAGAGCGACATTGAAAGAAGGCTTTATAAAAAACCTAAGGCTTAACTTAACCCAAGGACAGAATTGGTCACAGCCGAAAAGTAAAGAAAGAAAAAAAACCCACCTCCGAACCAGGCGATTGCGGCCAGCCATTGGGTCGGAGCTAACTAGTGAGTAATAATTCCCCTCTTCCCAAAGGGCGCGCGCCCGCTCCGAAGAGTGGCCGATAATCTCTATCTGGACGATCAAACTCTTTGGGGGGTTGCGGCAAATTCCCTGATGAACCCGCACTACCACCTCCGCACAACCTTTTTTCCCTCTTCGTCACCTTCTCCTCTCAACCTTCATTACCACTTGCTATCTCTACTTAACTCCTTCTGACTCCCACCCCGTTCTCCCCTCCTCTAGGTCTCCCTCCCTCCGACCTTCCTGTCCGATATAGGCCTCAGCAGCTGCCGCATGCTGGCTGGCAATATGTTCTCCCTTCGCACCGCCGTGCGGAGAGCTTCCTCCAGCAAGCCCCTCCGCGCCTTCTCCGCACAGCATGCTGTTTCTTCTGCCAGACTGGGCGGCGCCTCTGCTCGTCAATCCCTGAAGGCCTCTGCGGTTCCCCTGTTGCAGAGTCGTCACTACTCCCGTGCTACTGACCCCCAGCTTTCCTCCACCCGCTCGACCGTTGTCCAGCTGCTGAGCAACATCGGTTCCAAGCGCGAGGTGCAGCAGTATCTCTCTCACTTCACCTCCGTTTCCTCCCAGCAGTTCGCTGTCATCAAGGTCGGCGGTGCCATCATCACCGAACACCTCCAAACTCTTTCCTCCGCCCTTGCGTTCCTGAACCATGTCGGACTCTACCCGATCGTCGTCCACGGTGCTGGACCCCAGCTTAACCGTATGCTGGAGGACGCCGGTGTCGAGCCTCAGTTCGAAGATGGAATCCGAGTCACCGATGGAAAGACATTGGCTCTGGCCCGGAAGCTGTTCCTGGAGGAGAACCTGAAGTTGATTGAGGAGTTGGAGCGCATGGGTGTCCGGGCGCGCCCTCTCAACGCGGGTGTCTTCACCGCTGATTACCTGGACAAGGACAAGTACAACCTGGTTGGCAAGATCAATGGCGTGAACAAGAAGCCAATTGAGTCTGCCATTGAGGCTGGCTGCCTTCCCATTCTTACGTCTATGGCTGAGACTCCCGATGGCCAGGTTCTCAACGTCAACGCTGATGTGGCTGCCGGTGAGTTGGCGCGTGCGCTCCAGCCGCTCAAGATTGTCTACCTTGCCGAGAAGGGTGGCTTGTTCAACGGCGACACCGGTGAGAAGATTTCTGTGATCAACCTCGACGAGGAGTACGATCACCTGATGACTCAGTGGTGGGTCCGTCACGGTACCCGCCTGAAGATCAAGGAGATGAAGGACCTGCTCAGCGACCTTCCTCGTACCTCCAGCGTGGCCATCATCCACCCTGCTGATCTGCAGAAGGAACTCTTCACCGACTCTGGAGCCGGTACCCTGATCCGCCGTGGAAACAAGGTCCACGTCAAGACTTCCCTCTCTGAGTTCGAGGATCTCGAGAAGCTCAAGGAGGTCCTGGTTCGTGACCGCGAGGGCCTGGATGCCCGCGCCACGGTTGACCGTTACGTCGAGGGCTTGAAGGAGCGTGACTTCAAGGTCTACTATGATGAGCCTATGGAGGCCCTGGCCGTTGTTCTGCCCCCTCAGAAGGACGCTACTTCTTCCCTGGCTCACTTGGCTACCTTCACCATCACCAAGTCCGGCTGGTTGACCAACGTTGCTGACAACGTCTTTGCTTCCATCAAGAAGGACTACCCCAAGCTTGTCTGGACCGTCAAGGAGGATGACGAGAACTTGACCTGGTTCTTTGACAAGGCCGATGGCAGCCTCAGCCGTGAGGGAGAGGTTCTCTTCTGGTACGGTGTCGAGAGCGGTGAGGAGGTCAAGCAGCTGGTGCAGGAGTTCAACCAGCACGGTCGCCAGATGTTCGGAGACATCAACCTCGAGTCGCGGCTGCACCGCGCCGCCCAGGCCGCCACTCACATTGGCAAGGGTTTTGGTGCTAGCGGCGCTTCTGCTGAGCAGAAGCGTGCCTTCTCCTCTACCAGCAATGCTCTGCGTGCCGCTCGTTCCGCCCGTCCGATGGTCCCTGTGCAGACCGTCAGAACCTACGCCACGACGAACCCTAACCCCCCGTTGGGAGAGAAGAACATGTCCAACACCCGCCCCGCCAAGGTTGCTCTTATCGGAGCCCGTGGTTACACCGGTCAGGCTTTGATCAGCCTGCTCAACGCTCACCCTCACATGGATCTGCGTCACGTCTCTTCTCGCGAGCTGGTTGGCAAGAAGCTGCAGGGTTACGACAAGCGTGAGATCATCTACGAGAACCTCAGCCCCGACGATGTTAAGCGCATGTCCTCCAACGGAGACGTCGACTGCTGGGTCATGGCTCTGCCCAACGGCGTTTGCAAGCCGTTTGTTGATGCTGTGGACCAGGGTGCCGAGAAGGGCAACGTCATCGTTGACCTGAGTGCCGACTACCGCTTCGACAGCAACTGGACCTACGGTCTGCCTGAGTTGGTCAGCCGTTCCAAGATTGCCCAGGCTACCCGTATCGCCAACCCTGGATGCTACGCTACTGCCGCTCAGATCGGAATTGCTCCCCTTGTGCCCTTCCTCGGTGGCCAGCCCACTGTTTTCGGTGTTTCCGGCTACTCCGGAGCTGGCACTAAGCCCAGCCCCAAGAACGATGTGGACAACCTCACCAACAACATCATCCCCTACAGCTTGACTGATCACATTCACGAGAAGGAGATCAGCGCGCAGCTTGGTACCAGCATTGCGTTCATCCCTCACGTTGCTGTCTGGTTCCAGGGAATTCACGTATGTTACCCTTGTTTTTATGCTGTTTGATACCACATTGAATCGAGGCTGACTTCTATACAGCACACTATCAGCATCCCCTTGAAGGAGGAGATGAGCTCCCGCGACATCCGCAACATCTACCAGGATCGTTATGCTGGTGAGAAGCTCGTGAAGATCGTTGGCGAGCCTCCTTCCGTCAAGGACATTGCTGGCCGCCACGGCGTTGAGGTTGGTGGCTTTGCTGTCCACTCCAGCGGCAAGCGGGTCGTCGTGTGTGCTACCATTGACAACCTGCTCAAGGGTGCTGCCACCCAGTGCCTGCGTAAGTCCTCCAGCCTAACAGTCCGTGGACTCACTTGGATAGAATTGAAGCTAATGCTCGCTACAGAGAACATGAACCTTGCCCTTGGCTACGGCGAATACCAGGGCATTCCTCTTGACTAGGTGTCTCCTATAGGTTAGATACACCTCATGTACTATGATCTGGTCCGGGGTAGGTATAGAACCCCCTCCCATACGGGGGCTTTACTTTTTTGGAATCGAGAAAATGTCCTTCGTGTTTTAAAGTTCTGGTTTGATCTTTCTTGCGTGTCTCATACCCCACGTGCATCTTTCTGGGTTGCTATGGGTTGGAGATATTTGTAGCAGCATTTACCTCTTCCTTCATTTTCCATAGTCAACTTGATTTTCTTTCACTTTTTACTTGGTTCTCGGTTTTTTCGTCCTCTATAGACCCCTGGCTTCTTCGGTTGTTGTTCTGTATTGCCATAATTGTGTTGTCATAACGGGCACTGAAAAGTACCTTCCTTGTATAATGTTCTCTGTGGGTTCATTGACGTTTCTTGATACTGGTTTAGTGTAGCAATATAGAAAGGGGACAAAAAATGCTCACACAATTGGATGCAGTGAACTACCGTTTGCCTCTAACGCGGCGTACATTCCACCAAGACAAATCTAGTCTATTAACGTGCACATGCAGTTCGAGTATCATCTGGTAAAATCAACGGAGAAGTGTAACAGAATATCCTACGTCCTGTTATGGTGAGCGATTTTTGAGTTGACTGTCATGCTCCGATGGTGATTTCTCACTACTACCTGCTTAATTCCCAACTCTAGTCCCATCGCCTTTCAGCTCCACTAACATCCCTCACACTCCGACTCTCCCTCTCAGTTCTCTTTGCCGGTATTTGATCACTTTTTCTCATAAATATAAGCCCCACACTATACCTCTCTTGCTAGTCACGGCAGACCACCATCATCTGTCTTACCATTATCCTGCCCGCTCTAACTCGAGCAGTGGCTGGCTCTCAGACTTCCCACCCCAGCGGAAGACAGCTGGCCCAGGTAACAAGCCTTTACAGTTGGAGCCAGAAGCTGAGACTAACTTCCGCCTTGCGAAGCATCCCAACGTGATTTAGTTCAGCCGGTCAAACCCGTTCAAAGATATACAAGGTCTCTTTCTCCACTCAAACCCCGTCTGCTAATAGGTTGGCGGTGCGGTCCTAAGCTACATACAGCTACTGGAACGATCCACGCGTCTAATATCGCATGCAGTGGTTCATAGATTGAGCATCAGCCTGAGGGACGCGTCGAGGACCGCTCCCCAAGGCGCATAAGAGCGCGAGGTCGAAATGTTCTATAGCCATGAGAGTAAGTGGATCAAGATGTGGGATTAATTTGAACCTGGAGCTTTGCGAATGCTATTGTCGAATAACTACTGATGCACTTCTCCGGATAGTTCTTACTTCTCCTGAACATGGAGTTGCTACGGTCTGGTGAGTTGTCGCGTTCCCTCCTTAGACCTGTCTGCTCTATTGTACTAATTTTGCAATACTCATAGGCTTGTTGCCACCCTGGGCTCGAAATCCGTCACTAGGAAATTGAACAAGAAGGCTATACTGGATGTGGATGTCCCCAAGACGTGTGGTGTCATAATGGACCCGGTGGCGCCGATGGCTTTGAGGCTTCAGGGGAATCTGCTGTAAGATCTCCTGTTCGCAAACAGGTCAAAAGGCTACGTTACTTATCGCATTATACTTCTTTAGATATGGGGTGTCGAGGGTATACAGCCAACAGTGTGGATACACCCTCACCGATGTTCAAGCCATGCATGACAGGATGAGAGCTCTGCTGAAGGTTCTACCGGGGGGTGGTCTTGACCCTATGGCAGGGAAGGCTAGGTCTGTACTCCTGGTGTCTTAATATTTGCAGACACTGTGACGATATCTCACTGCTTACTTCCTTACAGACCAGAGCAGCTCATTCTACCCTACGATCCGAGTTTCCTTCCTGAAAATAACCTCCCTGGCTTGGGACTAGATTTTTCAAGCTTGAATCTGTCGATTGACCTAGACCTGAGTCAACAGCCAAGTCGGATGTGGCCTCAGACCCCTGATCTTAGCCAATCTGCTCTCTCCCAGACTGATAGTCTAAAACTTGAGTTATCTTCTAATAGATCATTGGTGGATATAGATGGCTTCAGCGCAGGTACCAGTGTGAGTCGGTATGGAGGGAGAGGCATCGACTTCGGCGGCATCGAGCCCCTCCAGCTTGGTGAAGAATCAGGAGTGATCCTGCAAGCTGACTTTGAATTTGACGAAGATGGAAATATCATAGAGCTTGCTGGATCGGTTCAGCCTGAGACAAGATTGCAAGGGAATATGTCCGTCATGGAAGAAAGAGCTGCAGATGCCATGGAGGTTGATGTGGCAGAGAACTTCGTCATGGAAGATCAGGTACGCCTCTTGGATCACTTATCAATATTTCAATTGCCTGACAAAACTATGGAATAGCCGGCTTTACTTGACGAAGGACCCAGGACGGAACTACCAGATCTAAAACCCAAAACCGAGAGCGTTGACATACAGAAATCCACCCAAAATCGAGCCTCTATCTTTGACCAGGTAGTGGACGATGAAGATGCTGTGGAGTCGAATATGGCATTTCAGAAAAAGAGAAGAAGCCCCAAGCTCATTGGCTTAGATGACCAAATCGCACTGCGAAACACTGAAATGGCCCAGTTGAATAGTAACTATGTGCAGAACATGGCAGCAGCCTCGAAGCAGAAACAGAGAAACAAGCTTCCAACCTTGGCAAAGAAGAGGGCTGCCTTCTGGGTCTTCGGTCAAGGCATTGGTTCTGTCGGTGTGGGCGTGGGGTTGCCTCAAGTCACGCACCCATTGAATTCTTTCTCGGGCAAGCAGCTGTATGAAAAGCTCCTTGACGAGCCAAATGGTCGAGTACGCAAGCGTGTCCATCCCTCGATCGAGGGCGGGGATCCCGATCTCGATACCCGGCGTGTCCGTCCAAGGGTGGAGGACGAAGATCAGATCGGACGTCACGACGACAGGTTATGGAACGAGGTATGTATATGTCGACGTGCTCTTATGCTTACCGGACCAAAGCTGAGCTATCTTGGGACGCAGGACGTCGAAATTGGTCGCAATGCACCACCCTCTCTTCGCGATGACCACTCCATTCAAATGCCATGGAACATCACAGCATCGGTCCAAAGCTCTCGGCAGGGCTCGTCCGCTGCAAATATCTTTCGCGGTTTTGGCAGCGCCAGTGACTTCTCATCGCATGGCATTCCTGATACCGGATTTGCAAGAACACGCAGCCGTCTCACAAGCGCAAGTCCTCTTGCTGGTCGTGGGTTTCCTTTCGATGCTGAAGCGCTCAACGTCCTCTCCATTCCCGGCAACGAATTTGGTGAGCTGGACAACCTTGACGACTTTGACATCTCTCAGTATCTACACACAGAGCTTGCGACAGAACATGGCGGAGCCTTTGAGGACCATGTCATGGGAGCAGGTCATGAAGCGCGCTCTGTTGTTCAGGGCCTGCAAGTGCTCAATAATGAATCACAAAAGTCAACACTTGACCAAGACAGCTTAAACTTCCTCAAGTACTTGGAAAGCATATTCACGACCACGACACCTGCAAACGAAGAGGAAGTTTATGACCCGAATAGTCCGCCCGGGGTGATTAAATCAGTAACATTCTCCACACTCCTCCCTCCACAGAAGACCTCTCACATCGTGGCTACTCAAGGCCTCATGCATGTGCTTACCCTTGCAACTAGAGGTATACTTTCAGTACAGCAAGAAGCCTACGAGGACCAAAGCACTGAAGAATATGGCGTGCGATATAAGTACGGAGAAATTCACTTATGCATACCCGAATTGTCGGGGGCTGCAGCAGCACAGCATTGATCATTCGTTGTCAGACCTGTAGCTGCAGAATCCCCCGTTTGTACTGAGTACTTCGTTTCTCTTACTATTTTCCTACTGCTGGCTGTTTTGAGTAGAGACATGCACGTGTCATTCTATTCTATCAATTTTCTTATATCATCATGTAAAGTACAAGTCTCCATCACAAAACGCCTAAATAGCTGATCTATCAAATTTACTGTTCATACCATGTCTAAGACACCAAACCTATCAAATACAGTTTTAAACCAAACTTTCCGACGCCTAATACCACTAAACCGGCATCATGACCACCACCATGTTATCAGTACGAGATCCCCAAGCCCATATCAAGCTAGGAAAATAAACCTCGCACAACAGTATCAAGTACGCATTGACAAATCAACGTAGAGAAAACCATATCGATGACGTCCGAACATAAACCCGCAGACATACATCTGAAACAAGAAGTGTGCCCCTTGACCCCAAGCAAACAACATACGAACTAACTACAAACGAAGCGACGCAGTACAAGGCGTCGACGAAAGCTCGCAATTGGCCTCGGAAAATAGGTGGGCCGGTGATCTCGTCATCATCAAGAGGAAGATCAGATCAGGCCAGGCCAGGCCAGGCCAGTCTGCAGTGGTTCTGGTCCAACGCAGAAAGTGGAACAGGCGTAGTAGTAGTAGTAATATTGCAAGCCATAAAGCAACCTTTTCAGTTTACTTTGAAAGTAAGTAAAGTCGAAAAGAACATCGTCGTCATTTTCGCGCGGGTGTAACAACAAATAAACGGTCTTGATTAGAATCCATACCAGTATGGTATACGAGAGTACATAGTACTAAAGTTAGTAATAATAAGTAATACGTACAAACGCTTCCATTTATGGATGGAGGCCGGCGACACCTAAACAAAAATAGTATACAGATTAATACATGACGGTGTTTAAACCAGCATAGCAGTATTATATCAGAATAGTATATGTTGATTTCCGTATGTATTGCGTCTTCAACATCGCACAATTGAAGCATGATTTTATCCTTTCACTACTATCTATCTACATTCCTTCAAGAATGACGATGATGATTATGATGATGTTCAGGGGGGGAGGGAGTTCGGTTCCTTCCTCCAAGACACGGCAAGACACGCGAGGTTGGCGGTGGCTGTGCCGCGCTGCGTCTTGCGTTCCTTACACAGCATACTACTTACTGTGTGCTGTCACAAGAAGTTGCGATCGCGGTGAAATGATTCAATTAGTATGTCCCATTTTTGGTGATGATGATTTAAATTCAAGACCCCTCATTTATGTCTCAGGTTTGCAAAATGAAAATGCTCCAAATGCTCCATCTAATAGTGATGGGTTGAACGAATACGAACGGGGGCATAGATAGATAGAACAACACAGCAAGTTTACTTCTTTTAGTATCCGCGCGGTCCGGCCGTTTAAGTGGTGGCCTTGTCGAGACGCGGTATATCGAAACTTGTAAATGTGCCGATCGTTCCATACCCTTACGGCGATACCAGTAACACGGTATAACTATCTATCAGGTATTTAGGGTACGCAATCTAGATTTCTTAAGATAAATGGATGGATGTATACCACAGATCTAACTATAAATCTACAAATGCTGTGGAATAAAATCTCACAAAGATGATCGACTCCTTTAGCTGCAGCTCTGCTCGATTTATTTGTATTCCCTGCTCCGATGCATTGAATGGT